GGGCGGTGTATGGTGGGGTGTTGTTGTTTTGTTGTTGCAGCCACCGCAACCCCAAACACAAGCCAGCAGGCGACCCACCACTGGATCCCGGGGCCCTTGTTCGTCCCCTCTCCTTCCATCCCATGTCACCTCGTCACTATGGGGTCGGGGCGGTCACATCACAACATCAGACCGCAGGCCATCCAGCTGAATCCGTCTCGAAGCCTTTCTTTTGTTCTTCATCACCCGGCCGGCTCTCGGTGTCCCGCCCAGCCGCGCGCTTTCTGCTCTTGCGTTGTGGTACATGATCTGGTAAAACAGATTCTCTTGATGTGGCAATGCGTGAGTTTGGTTCTACAGAGATCGTCCGTGGCAGCGGCAGATGCAGATACACGTGACACCACACAGACTGTACACCAGTAATGCAATACGTACGTACAGGACGTGTGGTGTGGATATACCACACCAATTTTGTACCAAATCACTTGTCAGTGTGGTTGTCTAGGCATTTAGATGAGATTAGAGGAAGATGAGACTAAAAGCGACAACTGATGGGATGCAGAGGGCAAGCATCGGCCGTGTCTCTCAGATGCTCCGTTGGCCCGTCTGTCTGGTCTCCAAGTAAGCATTATCCAAACCATCTCCCAACAAGCACCGAGGCGCTTCCTTAGTTGTGTTTGATAGGAGAGCAGCATGGTTGAACCTCACGGCTCGCCTTGCACGTGCGAGAGCTAGCACCACCGAACAGACCATCAGACGTGGCCAGCTCTGTGTTGTTTATGTGACCGTGCCCTCACAATCTTGGGGCGGGAACCCAAATGAGATGGCAGAAAACAAGGGCAGCTCTTTTGCGCATCTATTTTGCCTCCGGTTTCAGTTTAGAGAGCTCGCGGGGGCCATCGCCTGATACATGCGACTCTCTCTGGCTTGTGTATTGGTAGACGAAGGCATGTCTGATGCATGTCTTTGACGAGGTATATCAACAGAGATGGAACAGACCGACCACGGGGGACATGCAGATGCCCATGGGCTGAAAGGGCTCCGGCGACACGAGGAGCGGCGATGGCGGCGCCAGGGCAGACCTAGTGAGCTGCTCTCTAGGTCGGCTCGGAAGTAGAGATGAATTGCTGCATGTGTCAGAAGCCAAGCGAGGGTGGCTTCACGCCGTGCAGCTGTGCACAGAAGTAAGGGAAGTAAGGAGACGCGAGAGCGGAGGATTCTACCACCAATGAGGGGATAACCCATGCTTGGCCCGGTACCTTGATATCCAACGGGCTCACAAGACTGAGTGAGTTTGCCCTCTGTGCATCCGCTAGCACTGGCCGGTGGGCCTCTACCGACCGAGCCCTTGACCGAACGGTGTAGCATGTTCCCAAACTTGGCCGAGTGTTGCGGTGCTTTCTTGCTGGTGGGAGGGGGGATGGCTGTGGAAAACGCCGCTTAGGGTTGGTTCCCTGGGCTCTCGGGCATGACCATGGCGCAGCAGCTTCGGACAGATTCAGGACAAGATAGGTAGGTATCTAGCAGCGGCTTTTGCTAGCCAGATTGTGCCATCGTCTAAATTACCATTATCGGCAACACGCGAGGCTCTCGGGGCCATCGGAGAAAAGCGAGTGATTAGCAAGGTAGAAGGAGGCAGAGGGACCACAAGGTGGCCAGTGCCCATCTCATTTACGGGTTTTGGTCGAGATCGTTGGAACGATGTTGATCCGTATCGTGTGGTGTAGGTATTTTAGGGAAACGCACTTGACTCTCTGGCAGACCGGGGGATAAGAGATAGCAGGTCTCAGCCGATACGCGCTAGGAACGATGACAATCCTTCCTGATGGCCCCCTGTTTCCGTTATACCAAGTGTCTTTTCTTTTCCCGTCCACCTGGCCCAGCAGCCAGTTTTCTCCAGTATCCATCGCATCGGGGTTCGACGGCGGCCATGAGGGACTGGGGTCTGATCCGACTGGGGTCCAACTTGGGCTGCTTGTTGGAAAACAAGGGAGACAGAAGTGGATGAACATGGCCTAGCCTGGTCGAGAGAGAGAGAGAGAGAGAGAGAGAGAGTCAACAAAGAAGCAATGAGGTTACGATGGAGGCTGGGTAGCACGTGTGGCATGCGAGGTTAGTAGGTAGGTAGTGGGTGGGTGTGTGTGGTTGGTCTGATACTGGGGCGAGCAGCGGCGACAAGAAGGTGAAGAAACGGACATGATGGGTGGCGGTTGTACCAGATGGCTGTCCGAATAAGGTGGCCAAGAAAACAAGGAAGGCATTCGGTTCTTCATCGCTTGGGTTAGTCGGAAAGGGATGGTGGTACGGAAAGGGAGGACGAGAATGAGAATGCCAGATGCTCGTCTGGTGCGATATTGGTTGGCATTGGTAGTAACCGTGACATGTCAGTTGTAGCTGCCGAGGGACACGGTGGAATAAGCAGGTAGGCGGGCAGGTTATATTGCCTGACCCGCTCTCCCTCATGGGGAATTAGGCGGATCGATGGGAGGACAAAGAGAATACTACCATTATATCCATGCGTACGGAGTAGACTACGGACGGATGAATGGATGAATCAAGGAATGAATGGATGGATGGATGGATATACACCACTAGGTAGTAGCGTAGGTATACCACTCCGTACCTAGGATAGGTGTAGGTAGGCCGTAGATGTTAGGGTCGGTATGACTATGGATGATGCATGGACGAGGAAAGCGGCTGAGCGGTCCGCTGCAGGAAGCAGGAAGCAGGAGGCAGGAGGCAGGAGGAGAAGGCCTCTTTCTCCCTCCCTCTTCTGTGTCTCCGTCTTGCTTACAGTACATTTCTGTTCTGTCGTAGGCGGATGAAGAAGAAAGGAAGGAAAGGAAGAAGGAAGGAAGGAAATCATGCGGCGGCAGCGGGCATAACACGGCGAGTTGGGTAATTGTTGTTATTGTGTTTTATTTGGCTGCTTATTTACTGCGTACCTACTTGATTGAGGCAAGTAGAGCGAGCTGCAGGCAAGGAATGGACCAATGAATAGTGCAGGACATGACAGGCAGCCCCCTTGACCACGCGCTGCCCACACCAACCATGGAAGGCGAGCACGCAAGTCGAGGCAGGCGAGCAACAGGGCAGGGAAGGGCGTCTCCAGGCAGGCGCGAATCGCTGCAGGAGTTGCTGTACGAGGGGAATCAGCGGCTGGCTTCTCACTGGCTCAGGCTCTCCCGTGTCCCTTAGCAGTCATCTCCTGTTGCTCCAGTCGTGGTCCACCCGCCTTATGCACGCCGCCCGGCCAGGTACCATGGGGTGTGTACTGTGTCTCCCGCGCTACGTACCTGGCCACACTGCATCCACTGCGTTGCGCGTACTGAAATTACCCAAGGTACATACACACGCCAAGTACTGTCGGTAGATACTTGGATATGTAGGGCACACCTATACAAACGGCAGTACGGATACAGCACCCAAATTACCTACCTACCCTAGCCTAGGTACCTACGGCATCTGCTATAGACTACCTACGTACGGTGCAGTTCCTGCAAACATGGGCCCGCCCCTCCTCTAGTAGCATCGCATCAACAAGGCAAATGTGGACTAATAGGCAAGGTACCTACCTACCTTGGCGTAAGTATTGGCCTGTGCATACCCCACTCGACCCATGCCCTCTTGGGCCCGGCGCCATTTTCTTCTCCAAAGAAACGACCGGGGAGGGAAAAATAAGAGAGAGAGAGAGCGAGAGAGCGAGAGAGAGAGAGAGAGACTCACACACACACACACACAAACACTGAAGGAGCGAGAAAGACAGAGCGCGCGCGCTTGTGTGAAGGACGGGACAGTGCCCATCCCACCTGAGAAAACAAAGTAGAGCGGCGAGCCCAAGACAGCTCTAGAGATAGATATACTACCAACCTCTTTGTACACAACATCTTGTTTGTATCAGGACACTACACTACCTATCTACTAACCTGTCTACCTACCTACCTAGATATTGGGTGGTGTACTCTCCGTACACGTACACAGAGACACAGAGACACAGAAATACAGAGCTGTGAGGGCAAGACTCGCATTCTTTCCTCTCTCTCTCCCAAAAGTCCATCCTCATCACCCCCCTTGCACTTCCTCTCTCTCTTGCTCCACGTCTACCGTCATCCTCGAATCCCAGTCTCTCTCTCTCTCGGTCTCCTACGCATACCTGGTCTCCAGCTCGCCTGGTTCAACCCCGACTTATCCTCCATTACGGTCATCGTCCCGACCCTCCCCAGCCCGGTTCAGTCCAGTCCGAGCAGCCTTGACTTTTCAACCTTGGCCTGGCCCGGGACCAGGACCACCTGGACCTGTTTGTACCTGGACCACCGTCCAAAAGAACGAACGAACGAACGAACGTCCGTTCTTCCCTCCCACACGCTCCATCTACCTCCAATCCCACTGCCTTCATCCACCCACCTTTTCAACCTTTACTTCGACCTACCTTGCCTCTCTACCGCGTTCGACCTGCCTGCGCGCGTCCTCTTCCTTCTCTTCGCTCCGCACCCCCTTCCTTTCTACTCTTTCACTTCTATTCCTGGTCTAACCCGGCTTTCTGGAGCCATTGGTCGCTCGCATCGCCTCGACATCCCCAGGCTAGTTTGTTCCTGAGATCGCGGTTGCGCTTGCTTGACTGGTTTGACCCCCCCCCCCCCTCCTTCCGTCCGCTACATACCGTCTTTCTTCCGTTCTGGACCTCACTCTCGTTGACCTCTTTGCGACGCCGCCTGGGTTTTGATTTCCCCTCTGCTTGCCGTTACTTCTTCGCCTCGACATCATCCTGATTTCACGAGTCCCCTCGCCGTCTTCTCACGTCGCCAAGACCGCCAAAAAGACACCCACCCGCTCCGCCCTCACCGCGAGCCGCAACGCCGATAGTAGACGCACATTTCTCACCGCACGACCCGAGATACTGGCCCATATGTCTTGACGATGCTGAACACGTCTCTCGAGAGCATCCACGACCCTTTCGCCCGCATGCTCGCCCTCGGTCTCTTCTGTTGGTTCTCCGCGTAGAATAGTCACGTTCTGCCATCATGCAGACCGTTCCCAGTGTAAGTTGCTTTGCTTCCGCTCCATGGCCATGTCCGTCCACACATGTCGTGGCGACAGGCATCCCCCAAACACCGCCCAGCACAATCCTGTCGACGCTTTCTTCTCCCGCACCCACGAGACACACCGACGCCCGTGCTATATGGGGCTTCCTCATTTCTCATATACTCCTCCATTCCCATCCCCCAACACCGATGCTCCCTGATACCTGCTGCCTTTGCGTGGTTCATCCCATCCCCCCCCCAAAGCTGACTCGTCGCCTCTCCTTCCTTTAGCTCGTGGGAACTGGCACTGCCGTTGCTGCGGCGGCCCTCGGTCTCGTTTTTGCTCATCCCGACGACGAGTTGAGTTCCACACAGTCCGCCTCGAACAAGAGGAAACTAGCCTCAGACAAAGACATTCCTCCGAACCATCCACTGAGCAGTCCTGCTGTCTCGTTGCGCCCCGGCACCAGTTCTGGCGCCCAGCAGCTGCCGACTCCTACAGAAGACGCAGGCTACACGAATTTTCCCAACCAACAATTCTCCTTCTCGAACTCCAACGAGCCCTCGTCCGCGCGCCCTTCCCGTCCACTCAGCTCGCATTTCAGCTTTGCGCCGTCGTTGCTGCACAGCAGAAGAGCGTCGCACGTGAAGCAGGGAGACCAGGCGGCAACGCCCTACATCGCGGAGGATCCCAGAGACTCTGTTTCGTCCAATGGGTCCTGGATGAGGCGCTTGTCACTCCGGCCATTATCACAACACGGGAGCATTAGATCAAGTCTGGGCCTCGACAGCCACTCCGTCGCCTTCTCACACGGTTCCGCGGCCCCGATTCTGTCGCCCACCGGCTCGATCCCTCCGCCGTTGCCTCCGAATAAACTGGTAAAGCGACCCCCTTCGTCACAACGGAATGATCCTGTGACGCGCCGCCGGTCCAAAACGCACCTTCCCAGTCTTCGCCGGCCCGCCACCAGTCACCAAAGATCTGCCACTTTGCACCAGATTCATCTCGACGTGAACCACGTTGAGCCCGATACCGACCCCAAATTCTCCTTCGACCGCTGCCTCCAAAACGCCGGAGACAGTGCTGCAACTCGCCCTAAACAAGAAAGCGACTCGACTTTCCAAAAACCGAGTCCGAGTACTAAGTGGACCTCGTTCTTCCACGCGCGCAGAGCCAATGTCACTGCACGGATCGCTCCCGATCGCCTAATTGACCGCAGTCCCAGCACACGATCCCCCTCGGCGACAACAAGGCGTCTATTGGTGTCCAACGACAGAAAGCACGGTATCTACCTGGTTGGTGGTGGTATGTTGGGGAACACCGTTGCGCCCTCCGAAGACGTCCCATCGCTTGTGGAAGACGAAGCAGTGGTTGAGGACACGTGCGACGACGTCGGAGACACGAGGGAGCCCGAAGAAGACAACACGCCAGCAACGCCAGACGACACGCCTTCCAAACGTACCCGAATCTCAATGCATTTCAACTCTCCCAACTGGATCCCGAGGGCGGGCAGTCTTCGACGGACAAAGCGTGGAGCAGGATCCAAAGGCGATGGTGGAAGTAAGCGACACGTCTCTGCGCCTACGTCGATGTCCCCCGGCCGCGCCCAAGACGACGACCATGCTGCGCCTGCGGACGCAGACGACTTTCAGACGCCGCCAGGCCATCAAACAGCCGCCAACCTGGACCTCGCATCAGCTGCACAGATGAGTCCACGCAGTTCTCCGGCCCCTCTTCCCCCGTTGTCGCGACTCTCCAGCTTCAATGTCGACGTTTCCCGAATAGGCTCATCGGGAGGCGCTGGTCCATCCCCCCGGTCTATCCAACCATCTGGCAGTTCTCAGGGCTCGTCGGCGTTCGCTGCGTACAACCGCAGCGCCCCGACCGATCGAAGCTCGACTCTGAACAGCTCCGACTTCGACTCGAGAGATTTTATCTCGGGCGATGATGACACGGACTTCAAGAGCGAGACCATATTTGACTCATTACGAACTGCCGAGTCCGACCGTAACCGCGCGGTCGAGACCCCGCTCGATCACATGTTTGACGAGTCGCCGCCAGGCACTGCTGGACACCCCAGGGCCAAGCGACTGTCCATCCACGAGATTCTCGGCCGCTCATGGGATGCCGATGACAGAATCATGGAGGAGGATGAGAACATGCCGACGCCGGTTCGTGTCAACCACGAGCCAAGAATACGCACCGACTCAGATATAATGGCACCACGCTACAGCTTGGAGCGACCTTCGAATGAGTATTCTCTCGGAAGTAATGACTTTGGCCGCTTGTCGATTGAGGACGATTTCGACGACGACTGGGCTCGTGACGAGGATGACATGGACTGGGGCAACCAGCTCTCGCCGCCAAGCTCGATGAACTCCCGTGGCGTCAGTCCCCATCTGCGCATGGCACTCGCTAGTATCAGCGGCAACGGAAACGCCGATGCGGCACACGACCCTAGCGAACGGCCTCGCAGCAATATTTTTGATTGGAGCGAGCCGACCCAGGACAAGCCAGATCACAGCAGTTCGTTCCGGCCAAAGACTGCCTACGGAAAGCAGGAACTCGATATGAGAGGTGGTCGTACGGCGGTTCGAAAGGGCCCAACGGCTATGCACGTTCGCAGTCAGAGTGTGCCCGTTGTCCATGATCCCACAGATGGTGCGACAATGAACCCGAAGTTCGGCACATGGGGGCTGAGCAGCAAGACTGTGAGCGAGGACTGGGACGATGACTTCGAGTTCGACGGTAACGAGAACGAGGACAAGGAAGCTGAGAATGCATTTGCCATGGTTGTCCCCGCCTCCATCCAGGCCTCGCAGCCGAGCCTCAAGCAACATACTGGGCACATCAGAGAGTTGTCTTTGCTCGTCAATGACCTCAAAAGGCTGTGTCGACTCGGCCGAGACTTGGACATGCTCGGTGGATCCAATGCCGGTGTCTGGAAGGAAGCTGAGGGGATCATCGCGCTCGCATCGCCCGACGAAGATGAGTTGGAGGGCATGGACGTGGACTCATCCTCCATCATGAGCGGTTTTGACGCTGTGTCGCCCGTTCCAATCGAAAAAGAAGACCCCTTTGACGAGGTTCACGAACTGAACGTCTCCAAGACGGCCGTTATTCGGGAGCGAACCGCCGGCCGCAGACGTTCCGTCTTCTCGCCAGACGATGACATTTTTGGCGGAAACAGCCCAATCCTGGACGAGCTTCCTCCTCCACGCCCAAAGACACCTGAGAACAACATCAACATGGGCGGGCACGATGTCACTGATATCGTCAGATCCGTCCTCGACGCCATGCAGCAGCGGTCCGTTTCTGACTCGGCACGCGATGACAAGCTCCACTTCGGCACCAACAGCCTCAAGGCTTTGGTCAAGCGCGCAGGCGATCTTCGAGACACACTGTCAGAGGTCGTGCGCCGCGCAGACCAGATCACATCGAGCCCTGCTCGGACGCCCCGTCAGCACAACGACAGCCCGGCCTTTACCCGGGTCTTTACGCCAGACCACACTCCGTCCCCGTCGAGCCCACCAAAGAAGTTGCCTCACAGCAGGAGCACGAATTCTGGGCTCGGGCGCGGATCGGTAGATGCCTCGCCATCGAGTGGCTTGCAACGGATGCAAATGATGACGGTCAGCTGAGATTGGTGGCGCAAAGTTGGGCCTGAATATTGGAAACCCCTTCAGAAGCTCCAAAGTCAGCATCTGTCACGGGTCATGTCGACCCTGTACATGTACGAATAATTGTCGATTTTTCTTGTCTGCATAGCGTCGGCTTAGGGTTTACTGGGTTCTTGGTCCTTTTCTTTTACTCGCCGCAACATACAACATAAATACGACCCGGTCTCACCACTGTCCACCCGAGGGACATGCAGAATCTTTTCTACCGCAACATCTGTGGCTGGCACGAAGCCGAGTACACAGAAGCACTTCGACTCTTTTGTCTCTTCTCCTTCCCCCTACTTCTTCTTTTCCCAGCTGGATATCCGTGACGGCTTTACTATCTTTTTACAAAACGGAGAAGGCTTATGATGACATTACCACGCACCAGCTCGCCAGGCGAACCTGAGTGCCCAGGCAAATTTGACCGTCGGGCACCGGACAGCCATCGTATGGTGACGAAACGGGAGGACGACGATACGGGCATGCGAATGAGGGAAGGAAGGAAATGATGAGGAATGCAATCGATAAACCACATACGATGCTCGCCCATGTTGCCATGATGAGGGTCACGAGCCAACCCAAAAGGTCTACCGCGCGGGGGCCTTGTTTTCGTATTTTGATTCTTCTCGGCCGGTTCAGCTTCTGGTATTGTACAAATGGTTGGACGAACAGGAAAAGCAAAAAAAGCCTGAATCAGGCCGTCGGGCGTCTCGCTGCTCGGATCACGGACTCGCTACCTCGTCAATATGATTCGCACGGGTTTCCAATCGGCCGTGTTGTTCCTTTTCGCATGGCGGCATTTTTCCTCGCCACTTCCGATGTTTCATGATCATGAGGCGGACGGACGGGCATATACATACATGTTCACGCTCCATCGCGGCACCATTAGATTGGATGGGGCAAATGTTCATTTCTTCGCACGAAGGACAGTCTTGCCCGGATAGAGGATTTCAATTTTTTTTATTTTTTTTTTTGCGCATTCGCATCTCGAGGACGGGAACTTCCTCGTTATATCCTTCTCTTCGGCGAGAGAGGGATGTTTATGGACTATCACGCTACGGCTAAAATAATACATTGGTCTTGGGCAAAACGGAAATGGCATTGCGGGTTGGGGTTTCTTTTCATGAGCTTGCTTCCAGAAAGGGAGGTTGGTCACATCAGGGCTTACGGGTAGCATGGAGGACGGTAACAGATGGCACGTGGGGATCGTACATAGTCTGATGAATACACACATTACTTTGGTACCTCCCAAACTCGCTGTGGCCGACCACCTTGAAAAAGGCACATGAAATGCAACTTGGGGGGCCCAAGGTATCCAGCGGGGGCACTACTACTTTCAGGCACGATATGTTGAAGGGGCTGGTCTTCAACATGCATGTTCTTCCACGATATTCACTTCAACCTTCATCTCGCCCCCGAAGGGCTGCGCATCCCGGTTTACTCAGTAATATAAGGTTCGATCATCGCTTGTGCGACGGAGTGGCTGTATATAGAGTTCACAATCCCACATTCTCTTCATTTGTCGATTTCACACTCCTGATTACGGTAATGCACATGGAAACAGAGACTACAAAATCCGTGTTTTTTTTTCTACGTCCTAACGCGGGCTAACAAGTAAATGGTTGGCTCTACTGGGAAAAGAGCTCTCTCATTAAATAGATTGTGTGTGAATGCTGTTCCCGCTAATTATAGTAGCAGAGGACTTGCAACAACAGTCTGAATAAGTAACAGGAGGGTATCCAGGAGAATTTGGGGACCTTATAGGAAGAATACAAGTAGCAAAAAAGCAAGGACAATATGAAAACAGTTGACACTGTTGAGTGTGTGTTTGTGTGTGTGTGTGTAAGATGAATCCGAACCCCTCGCTATGTTGAGACCTTCCCTATTCGTACATCGTCATCATCGCTTATCTCTCCTACCCTGCTTGATCTACCTGGTATGCCTCAAAGTTTCATCTGCCGAATCATCCGGGAAACTTACAGCCTCCCCGGCTCGCCGCGTTTAATACCGGAAGACGACCTTGGAGACTGACGACTTGGCCGCATCCTCGAGCCAATCGCGCCCGTTACCGCGGGGCGTCAAGCGTCGGAGTTCGGCGCCGTAGAAACGGTTCCACATCATTTGGCCGTTGAAGCTGACGAGCTCCGAGGGCGACGAAGCGGACACGTCGGCCTTGGCACGCCTGACACGCAAACGGCGGGCCTCGGTGTCTTCGGCCTTCATGGGCGCGGTGTCATGCGCGTGCAGACGGGGCTTGGTCGGCGGTATCCACATGATACCGGTGTCCTGTGGGATTTTCACCACCGGAGCAGACCAGAGAGGAACGACGTGGGATGCTGAAATTGGGTTGGTGAGTTCTTCAGGCATGGAAAAGGAGGATTCTCCGGTAAGGACCAGTGACGGGCTGAAGAAGACTGGGTTGGCGATGGCGGGATCGCTGATCGCAGTTGTTTGGACGGAACCTGCGAAGGCGGGATGCGACTTGGCGGCATCGAAGGAGGAGGATTCTCCGGTAGGTGTTAGTGACGGGTTGAAGAAGACTGGGTTGGCGATGGCGGGATCGCTGATCGCAGTTGTTTGGACGGAACCTGCGAAGGCGGGGTGGGACTTGGCGGCATCGAAGGAGGCGGCAATGGCTTGGTTCAGTGCCAAGGCCCATTGCGCGGGAGTGGCCTCGACCCGAACAAGGCGCGGGGACGGGGTGGTCCGGACAGCCTCGTTGAGCGCGGCCTCCCACTCCGCGGGCGTGGCCTTGGTGCGGCGGAAAGGTTCCGGCCGCGGCGCTGCCTGAGCCGGGGGGGACAGCTTGGTCTTGAAGGAATCCCACCAAGTAGCCTTCTTAACGGGGACATCAGGCAAAGGTTCGAAGTCAGACACGGCCTCCTCATCGTCGGATCTCGTTGATGCGGTATCCAAAGATGGTGTCGAGCGGCCCAGTGAGGCCACCTCCAAAGGTGAGCCGGGCCTGACAGTGGAAAAGGACATCCAGTTCTCGACCCGAGTCACAACAGGAGTAGGGGACCAAAGACTTGTTGACGTGAGCTGTGGCAGCTCCTCAGATGTCACTCTGGCACCCGAAGGCATGCCAAGGCCAACAGGCTCGGCCGACGTTGTCCTGAAGCAGGCACGCTTATGGCTGGTATTGAACAGACCGGTGGACTCGGTATAGACGGCGGGAGCCTGGGCAGCCCACAGCGTCCTGGCAGCCCGTTGCTGCGGCTTGGTCCACATCAGACCGGTCGTCTTTGACGCTGTCTTCTTTGCTAGCGGGGCCCAGAGAGTGGTGCTGTGGATGACGGCAGGCTCTGGAACACGTTCACGAACACGCGGGGCAGCTTCCAGCTTCTCAACGTAGCTTTCCCATGTGCGAGCGTCAGGTTGCGGGAGACCTACAGCCTTACGGGAATGGGTAGCGGCAGGCTGAGCCGCCCACAGTGTCCTGGCAGCCTGCTGATGCGGCTTAGTCCACATCAGACCGGTCGTCTTTGACGCTGCCTTCTTTGCTGGCGAGGTCCAGAGAGCAGTGGAGTGGATGACAGCAGGCTCCGGGACACGTTCACGAACGCGCGGGGCAGCTTCCAGCTTCTCAACGTAGCTTTCCCATGTGCGAGCGTCAGGTTGCGGAAGACCTACAGCCTTACGGGAGTAGGTAATAGCAGGCCGAGCCCACAGCGTCCTAGCAGTCTGTTGCTGGGGGTTATTCCACATTGAACCGGTCGTCTTTGACGTTGTCTTCGTTGCTGGCAAGGTCCAGAGAGCGGTGCTGTGGATGACAGCATGCTCCAGGACACACTCGCGGACGCGCGGGGCGGCTTCCAGCTTCTCGACGTAGCTTTCCCATGTGCGAGCGTCAGGTTGCGGGAGACCTGGGACCTTGCGGGCGGTAGGGAAGCTCTTTGGCCTGGGGGTCCAGAGGAGGGAGATTGGTTCCGGTGCGGCGGGCGTGGCCGCGGCAGCGATAGTGATGACCATGCTGTCGTGCTTTGTGTCCTCGTCTGCCACGGAGGTTTCCTCGGAGTCGTCGTACTCGGACTGCGAGCGCGGGGAAGAGTGCTCCTCCTCGACGAATGAGTCAGGTCGGTAGTATGCTGGCTGGGGGAGCAGGCTGTTCTTGGAAGGCACCTGGTCAGACTGCAAGAGGCTGGCGATCTCCCAGAGGGTTGTCTCGTCGAAGCCGTCGTCGCTGTCGTTGTCGAGTTCAATGTCAGAAACTTGGTCGTCGCCCTCCTCCTCGTCGTCGTAATCGTCAAAGAAGGACGAAGAGTACTCTGCAGACTCGAGTTGCTGTGCGCGAGCTTCCAATGCGGCACGAATTGCTGATCCACCAGTTGACATAGTACCAGGCATAGCCATCAACATATGACTGGGCCGCGGCTGGACTGTCGCAGTGTCCGACTTCTCGCCCCAGGGAAACTGGAAGATGCCGAGGGTGCCACGCTTGTCGGGAAGCGGCTGCGGGCTCTCGAGGATGTCGGGTAGGAGAGTGACGCGTCTGTTTCGCCTTGGCGGTCGCTGTGTGACGGGACGCGGCTGGGGCTTGGGAGGTTCAGGGACCCAAGAGGCACGCCATAATCCGGAGGTGGGCCGCAGCTTTTTAGCAGCGGTGTGGTCAGGCTGCCAGAGTCTCGAGCTTGAGATATTGAGGGGTTCGAAGACCTTGCGCGTCGCAGGGCGGACGGATAAGCCGGGCAGGGAGTGGCCATCGCCGCTCGGGACAGACGACTTAGTCGCGACATGATGGTGTGCCGGGGCCCAAAGCAGGGACGGTTGCTCGCGCTCAAAATAAACTGGCGAGTCGGGGCTCCAGAGGCCTTCCGGTGGTGTAGCTCGCTCGCTCGGCCTGAGCCTCGCGAGTATCTGAGCGTCTTCGGGGTCGGACTCATCGGTGTCCGGTGGGGTAGGACTGCCCAGCTGCAACGCCGTGGCGCTCAAGGGTACCTTTGAGACAGACAAGAAATTGAGGTTTCGCTTTGCCAATAGTTCGGATGCGTTCTCCATATATTCTATCTGGGCATCTGCCAGCCGCTGTTGCCAGAGGCTAGTGCGGTTGTCGCTCGAGTTGGACTGGGATGAGATGGACGAAGCGCTTCTTGGGTCCTCGTCAGATGACTTGCTGATGGCCCTCATCTGAGAGCGGCGCGCGGCTTGGCGTTCCAACGATATGTCGTTGCGCTGGGGAATCACTTGAGGCACAACGTCGATGCTGGGGACGGCTGGCGAGTTAGCCATAGCAAGCTCGCTCTGCGAGTTGCGGACCGAACTTGTTCCAACCGTGGAAAGCGAGTTGCGGCTGAGGCCGTGCTGCATCTCGTGCCACTGGTCCTCCTGCTGCCCCATCTCGGCCTCCAAGGACTCGAGCAGACGAATCCTCTGCCCTTCGCTCTCATACGAGTCCCTATTGGGCTCCTCTAGTTTCTTAAGCTGCGCCTGGATCATCTCGTACGCATGCTGCGGCGACTCCAAGGGGGAAGGCTCAGCGGCGTGCATCACAATCGCTATTTTCTTGACGGGAGACCGCAATTGAAGAGGCATCGGCGGGGGCTGTCTGCGCGACTTTACTTTTTCCTTGCGCTCAGTGAAGGTGATGCTCTCATCACCAATGCGGCGATGCCAGCGAGCACGCTGGTCAGCGACGCTCCCGTCCGGGAGATCGGCAGGGTTTTGGCGTGCCGGAGCAACCTCGGTCAGGTCTATATCATGTTCCATGGATGCGTCGAGCATAATCGTCATGACCTCCTTGCCATCATTTTGACTAATCATAGATAGGTCTCGAGGGTTTCGCTCGTCGCGTGGCTGAATCCACGTGGGCTTGGGCATATGCGTAACATCTTGGATGTTGACCGCAGCCACCGGCGAATGGATTGATCCCCAATTCGTCGTCGTTTCCTCGTCGCGAGTTCTCGCAGTCCTTACCTCACTGAACTCAGAAACGCTGGGGTTACGGACCGGAATGACCGGTGATGATCGCCGGTTGGCTCCGTCATACGACGGCTTGGCCCGGGCACCATCGTTCGCTGGGAGGGCGGGGATCCAAGACTCGTGCTCGTCGGGCCTGCCAGTAATGACCGACGTGTCGACACTGAACTTGGACGTGAAGCGAGGTGGTACATCCGGGAGGACTTCTGCTTCTTCCTCCCCCATCTCCAGAATGCTGCGAGTACGGACGGAAGTCTTGGTCGAGCGATCAGACTGCTTCGACTGATCGTGATTGCTTTTGGAATCCAACGCATCCGTTTCCTCAGTAGCATTGTCGCCTGTTAGCATGTAAGACGACGGAACAAGAGGCATCTCTGGAATCGACGTTCTAGGTTGGCCGTTCGCATCAGTGCTGCTACCAAGAGCTACGGGAAAGAAGAGGTCCATCTTCTCGTCAAAGGTCATGCTCCTGGTGTCGTTGGGCAGCGCTCGTACTGGTTGGCCACCGGCGCTCTTGGGCGGCGGTGGGAGAGGCGGCAGCTGAGTAGGACTTCCGGGATTCGACATCAAAATGGACTTTCTGCCGATGATGGAGCCGCCTGACTTGCTCCTCTTGTGATTAGGAGAGTTCTCGGCAGGGAAAATTGGACGATCCTTGCCCTGCTGTCGGGGGATGGGGCGAGGTCGATGGACAACGGAATTCGAGGATTTCAGCGGTGGAGCGGGAGACTGCAGCAACAGAGACGTCTTGGCGGCCTGATTCGTAGCACCTTGGATGATATTCTGCACAGCTGTGGGATCGTTGTACTGAATGTTGTTGACAAACATGACCGTCTGCTCTTCGGGACCAGAAGGTTCCTTGGCCACGGGTTTCATTGTCATCGCTCTCGGGTTAGATGGCAGACCGCCGGTTGGCCGCCGTTGCAGAGGAGCAACTGATGGTGTCTTTGGAGATGCCGGCCTCTGCCTGGACGGCCGAATCGTTGGGTCGACCACGGTCTGGATAGGCCAAGTGGATGGGAGGTCCGGCTTCTTCGGTGACATCAAACGAGCAGCGCTCTTGGGCGGAGGGACCAAGGCCGTTGGAGGCGACGTGGTTTGGACAGAGGACGCGGTAGACTTCTGGCTCGCGGACCGATCAAGCGCGGTTTGACTCAGGGACGTCTCTACAGTACGTTGGCTCGCAGATCGCCCAACATTCTCGAAGGAATTCAGGGGTTGTTCCGGTCGCGAGGAGCGAGGCAGAGAGTTGCTGGACTCTGGAATCGGCTGCTGGGGTGTAGCCGGTCTTGTCTCCCGGCCTTGTTGGTTGTCCTCGGGCAACTGTCTGGGAGACCTACGTCTTATCTCTTCGACCCCCGGGGATAGCTGAGCAGATGAAGTCGTTGCCGGAGGATTCGACATCAGTCCCGCGGATCTAAGCTGAGGAGGCTCCGCCGGAGGTGAAACCGATCCCACTTCCTTCCGCTTCCCACTCTGAGCTCGCCTGAGGGCCTCGTCTGGAGTGATAGCGGGGGGGTCGGGAGCGGGGCGATGGGCGTTGAAAGTGCTGGAGTTTCGGTTCAACGTCAGTCCGTTACCCCTTCTTTCCCTGTCATTCTTTGCAGCAGTGGCGAGATCAATTGTAGCGATCTTGCTGAGGGGGTTCTTTTCGCCGGTTTCCTGGAGAATTGGATTAGAGATCGCGTTCCTCAAGTTCGAGGTGGACCCAGCCCTGTCAAAGATGCTCCTCTTGTTCGAGAGGCTAGGCTTAACGTCGATTCTCCGGCTTTCTCTGATAGGAGCGGTCTGTGAACGGGTCGGTGGGAACAGCTGGCCCTGGACAGGAACTCCGCCGACCCCGATGCTGGCCTGTCCCGGGATGGATCCGGCAATGGTAGGTAGAGCGCCACCAGCACCTGCCATGAAGTCACTCGGCTGGTTGAACGTTGTTATAGTGGCCATCGCGCCGGCCTTCAAGTCCTCGTATCGCGAGGGCGGATAATCGGTGTCGGAGGTCGAGAGATCTCTGCTAGAGCTAATGTTACGCGGTGACTGGGCATCTGGGTGAACAGCTTGCTTTTGGCGGGCAGGAAGCAAAGCTGCAAAGTTACTCGTGAGGATAGCTACTAAGCGTTAGCCAAAAAAGAGATGCAGCAAAGCCCAAATTGCCTACGTACTAAGGAGGATCGACAGGCCAGTGGCAGGGAGAGCAGTTCTGAAAAGCAACTCCGTGTCAATACCCAGAAGCAGCGGGACGCTCGTCTACGGTTGGGACATATGGTCAGTATTCTGCAGCATCAAGATTACGACGTATTACTCACCCCAGTCCAAAGCCCGAAGCCCACAATCGTCCACATGACGGCGCTTTTACTCTGTACGGGCGTGATGCCGATCGAGCTGGCCCTGAACGCAAGCATGGCGACTATGACGAAGTCGATAGCCATCACAGCGGCTCCCATAGCCAAGAGATTGTTCCTAGCTACACAGACAGTGGCGAGCTGTGCCTTTTGGAACGCAACAAAGACGCCACCCATAACGAATCGCACACCGAGGACCGTTTGGTAGGCCACTGCGCCAGCAGGCGCGCTGGCTTTGGCGTTGATGGCCCATAACAAGAACTGTTCGATGGCGAATCGCGCTAGTTGATCGAAGACGGAGTTGAAAATTACGACGACTTGGCAACCGGAAGTCGAGCTCGGATCGAGGGTAAGGCCGATAAAGTCGATTTGAGCCCATAGGGCGGATGATACAAGGAATGTGATGAGGACCAGCCTCAGGCCGTCCCGAAATATGTTTGAGCCATGGCCCTTTAGTAAAGGAAAGACGAAGGGCGTCGCGGCCTGGATGACGATCCCACTATTTTGCTATCAGTTAGCGAAGTCGTTCCCCTCTCATCTCATGCTTCCCCGACCGACTCTTCCTCCATCTCCCCCCATGTGCCCCAGACTCCCAACTATTCCCAAATTGAACGAGGACGTCAAGAGGGCGGCGACTGACAAGTTAAGGGCCGCAATTAAGGCTTGGACGATTCCTGGAATGAACATTTTGTTTGTCGAGGCCGCGGACCGGCCGGGTAGAATCGAAGGAAACCCAGTCAATGGGGGTGGGGGAGGATGCTGGAAGACTAAAATCTTAGGAAAGAAAAGAAATCATGATGAGAATGCTCTCGCACTATGGTAGCATTCGACAATCAAGCAGAAAAGAACGTAACAGGACAGATACCCCACGAAATGGCGGATAGGATGGTATGAAGGACAGTTGATTGGAGTTTCGATGGGTAAAGCGAGTTGGGCGACAGTTCTCTCGATCCTCCTCGGGGACGCAGGAGAGTGGAGAAAGAGAGAGACGAGCACACAAACAAGGACGGAAGAGAAGTACGGCAGGTAGAGTGCTCGGCAGACGGCGATAGGGAAACGATGTGCGTTTGCAGCAAGCGGCCTCTGGCGGCAAGACACGACGGGAGAGGTGCTGATCTTGCGGCTGCGTCTGCGTCTGCGTCTGGGTCGATTGATAATCCTGGAGGAGGCGTCACATCAGGTACAGGAGGCTCACGGAAAGGGGGGGAAGTACAACAGCAGAAGGCCCCCTTGTTCTCGCCGCTCGTCGCCTACACAAGGTTATTCTCGATACGGTAACCCGGCTCAGCCAGATGTCACCTTGACAGGGAGCTCTAGGCCAATCCCATCTGTCCAAAACGGGAAATACGTAGTCGGTGTGGGAGTCCCTGGTTCCTGAAAACCAGAGGCCAAGAGAGAGCGGAAGAGAGAAAGAGACGAAATGAGCAGCTCAAACCGGTAGAGGACAGGGTGCTGTGTGAGATCTCTCGATACATCGTTCATGCCGGTAAGAACCAGGGTCTTTATTGGGTCCACATGAAGCCAACAGGGGTAGAGAACCTTGTTCTATCCACCTCGATGCCGTGGCGTGCATCGACTCCTGTTTCAGTGACGAAACCCACGATGTTCGGGGTGGAGGGGTCCAGGGTCGTCGCCAGAGGCTCCATCCATCAGTCAGTTTTTAGTCTGCTTTTTTTTTTCTTCTTCTTCTTTTTTCCCGTCTTGTCTCATACACTAGCTTTACACCTTCGTGCACTTGGGATTATGTAATGTGACACCCTGTGTCGGTCGGGGGGGGGGGGGGGGGGGGGAAGCAATCATCGGACCTTCTGTGGAATGTGGGGTCTGTCTACGCCCAGATTTGAAAGGATGGACTTGGGCTGGGCGGCTAGAAATAACATCCCAGACGGCATATTCAAGATTATTGTACTCCGTACTTCGCTGTCATCTCCTGACAAAACAGGTCGATGGGCCGCCGAGGTGCAACCTTGAGACTAACCAACCCACCGACTTGCAACACGAAAGGAAGAGGGAGAGGTTGCTTCGACGCCTACTTGACTACCTACCTCCACAGAACTGCCCAGAGATGGACACCCTCGAGCAATTGGTAACAGCAAAAAGGGCGATGTGGCAGCACCGTTTGTCACTTGCCCAAAGTCTGAAGCTGATGCCGGCTCCCACAGGAGGGTTTGGATAAGAAGGTATTGACATGCAGCTACCTCCCCACTCGCATCAGACAAAGTCGAGTACCTAGGCGAGGTAGAGCAACTGCCAATTGGACAACATTGAACTGAGGATTGGCTTGCTAGACTCGGCGGCTGCTCCTCGGCTTTTGAGGGCGCATTCTCCTGGTTCATCCTACGGATCGAAACAAACGTAATCCAACGCCCCGACTCCCGAGGCAGTGCCCAGTCTGCCTCTACTGGAGTCGCCATGACGAAGGGTAACAGCTAAGGTAGAACCAGCTAAAGATGACAGAATCAGATGGCGGGCACAGGGAAGAAGCTGGTGGCGGCAGGAGTTGCTCTACAACCGCTCAGACTTGGTACAGAAGAGGGTGCCGCCGGTTCTGTACTTATTTCAGCAATTTGGTCAGACCAAGAAGTTTGTTCCCGAGATTTCTCAGGGGCTTCGGTGGTCTTGGCACGTCTTTTTTTGTAGGTGGTGGGGAAACGCTGACGAGGGCTTCCCTGTGACGGCGGGACAGCGGCCACGAGGAGAACCGAACGGACAGACAACTTTCTTTCTCCCTTTTCTGCCTCTTCGATTCGCGCCTAATTGCGTACGGATACGCACAAATATAATGGTTTGCATGGTACATCGTAGTTCACGTAGCAACTCGGACCCCGACCCGCGTTTATTCTGCAACGCCCATCAGCACTGATCCAGACCCTGACTCTGATCTTTCTCATCCAACGTCTGCTGGGGACACAGACTGCTTTATTTTAGAAGCTTTGACCGTACAGTTGTCTTGCGTTTCGGCTACAACCGAGTCCGGCCAGAGATTGGGGCTTAATCATTGGCTTCCTCCCCCCTCCAATCATTGTCACGTCGCGACTCTTGGACTCTGCCTTTATTTCGCTTCTACCGCCTCTGCATGCCTATACTTTGTTTCCTAACTTCCCTTTTAACCGGGTCCCTTGGGTGTGTCGCCTCGCTCGGTTATCGTCCGTCGAGGAACTCTTCTCTTGCAGTCGCTGGTTTCCACCTCACAAGACGACGCAGGTGCCGGGTGTGGGCGGCTTGTTAGCTGTAGCTGCCTCTTCTTCTGTCCTATGACGGCTTGTCTCCTACGGCCGCCTCGGCTTCAGAAGGAGCGTATGTGATGTGGCCAAGAAGTATCAAGACGGGTCCGATGGTCTCGCTGCCTGATCGACACGACGGTGAAGCTCGCCTGTGCCTTTATAGGTCGACGTCCTTTTTTCTCTTGCCAACCGAGCCTGTACTGTCTGATGGGCCGTTTGGGGACGGACTTGATCGGCGTCGGTAGTTACTGCCTATCTACCCCGTCCGATAAGCCGCCGACCTAGTATTACTTACCGAGTGGTTGAGTGTACACTCCGAGAAGATGTCAGCTATGTTGGTGCATTGATCAGCCCTGCACAAGGTCTAGAAACTGTCGGTGGAATGGCACATTAACGGGCTCTGAGCGATCGGCATGGCATGGCACCGGGTATATGATTAGCCTTTCGCCGACTCTTCTAGGTCACTGATAGCCCGAGGTGAGGAGGCAAGGCATCCGGGTTTGAACACCCCTTTATACCCCATCGTACACGGTAGTTCCGCTCCGCATTCGGCCTCTGATTTTCGTTGTAAAGCCAATGTGGTAGAGCAGGTGCTGGACGAACACCCTCAAGTAGATATCAGCGGCAGTTGGATGAATGGGATGACTGGCTAGACCTACTCAATCCCGTCAAGCGTGCTCTATGCCGCTTGCGGTTCTGAGCCTTCCCAGTTGGCTCAAAGCCGCACCTCTTTCCATGTCGGAACCAGACTCGAAGCTACATTCCAATACGGCTACCCGACCCCGTTCTCCAATGAGTCAACTCTACGGGCGCGGGGGCCGTGATATGCGTATCTGGTCCCATCACCATCACCCTAGTGTCGACGCTTGAGCCGCCGGGGATATAGGTATATAATTGCCCTTCAGAAACAAAGAGAGAGATTGTGATGTTGCTGCGATGCTGTGAGTCCCTCAATGTTTTCCTGTGAACTTGCCATCATGCCACACACCCAACAATACGGCACCGTCAACCGGTATAGCCCCCGTGATCATTACGCACTCTAAGCGATGAGCGAATACATCCTCGACTTCTCCTTGCAAGGCTACGCCTCCCCTCGCAGCATGAACACCTTGTGCCGATATTCATCCGAGACCCCAGCCCCCCCCCGTCTGCGTCGCAGCATCTAACCTCGACGGCCTAGTTTTGTCCTGACGACGGGCGAGTAGAACCAGGGGGTGAGTTGTATAACCAGAGGCTCCTGGACTCTTAAATTTGTAGCCGCGAGCGGAAAAGCCATTTCTGGTCCTTTGTGGATATCACAGTGTATTTACAATCCTGGAGTATGTACAGAGGCATTCTCCTCCCAACGACGTCGCTTTCTATACGATCGATATTCACAGCACCTCTTCCCAGTGCAAAGCACATGACTTTACCACATCTCCCAAATCTTGTCTGGCAAGACGACCCGCATGACCTCCCAGTGACCCAATGCGCTCTTCTCGTGCCACTTGGTCAGCTGCTCGGTGTTGTTGTTCGTGAGAATGCCAAAGTCGCCTTCCAGGAAATGCTTGTCGAAAACCTCGTGATAGGGCATTAAGAAGGCGCGGCGGGTACGGCTAGCGAGGAAATCATCTTCAACGGGAGCTCGGAATTTGAGCTTGCCGCTCGTCTTCTTGCAAAATATGACCATGTTGGTGAAGTCCTGGCCATCCTCGGCGATCTTCTCCTTAGTGGGGTGCTCCGACTCGCGGAAGATACGGCACGAAGGGAACACCTGTTTGATGGTGTCGACAATGAGCTTCGGAGCCGGGTGGAGGAAATCGCCGGCGTAATTCTGAATTTATTGGTCAACTAAGGCTTGCGTGGGAGAAAAGGAACTGGCAAGACTCACAATGGCAATGGCGCCGTCGGGCTTAAGGAGCGAGTTGAGGCCTTGAAGGAACTCGAGTGTGAAGAGGGGAACGGGCTCGGCGCCTCCGGTGAAGACGTCGTGGACAATATAGTCGAATCTGGCATCCGGGTCATCGGCAAGCTTGCGCGTGTAGCCCACTGCATCCGCAATGATGGGGGTGTGGTTCGACGGCAGCTGGAAGTACTTGGAGGCAAACTCATGCACAGCGGGGTCAATCTCAACAATTGTCGTGTCGACGCCGTGAGCGACGAGAGCAGCTGGGGTAGTGCCGATGCCGAGACCACTTATCGACAATTAGCCCCTGGCCTACAAGGTTCGTATAGATCTACAACTTACATGTTGAGGGCCTTTGCCTCATTGTCGGGCACAGCATTTGCAGTCTTGACAAGCCGGACAGCCTCCAGCATGACGAACACGCCGTAGATTGGCTCCGCAACTCGGGGCCCTTTGTGGATAACCCACTCGCCACCAAGGAGGGAGTGGTCGCATCGCATGACCCTGTAGCCGTGTTCTTTGCTCTCGAGAACGGAGACGTATCCGGTTAGAGACTCCTTGCGGTCCAGCAGGGTCCAGTTGTTAGCTTGCAGAGTGCTGTTGAGCGAAGCGGACGCCATGGGAGTTAGGGCATGCGTGTTCAGCACAGCCGTGTGCAAGGCGGCCGGAATGGCGAGGAGCAGCAGCTTGGAAGGCGCGTAGATGGAGTATGCGGCAGCGAGCAGCGCCTCGAGGCCGACTCTGGTCTGGAAGAAGGAGCTGCCGACATACGTCTGGAGGTATTCTCCTGACAGCTTCTCCATGAACTTGAAGAGCCCCCATGATCCCAAGCCAGGGCCCGCATCAGCGACGAACTTTGGTAGTTTCGAGAGGTCGGCCTTCTCCAGCTCATTTGCCACGCAGCTCACTGAGACTACAATGAGGGGGAACAAGGTGACGCTTTCTGTGAGCAAGGGGCCCCAATACGCCGTGAGCACACCACTCGTCAGATACAGGTAGAACTGAATAGTCGGGACCCAGAAGGCTACTACAGGAAGCAGCTTGGCCGGGTTGAAGGGCAGTGAGCGGTTCAGGAACATATTGCCGGCCCAACCAAAGAAGCAGGCAGCCATGACGAGCTTAGCATGGTAAATGGACGACGGGATGGAGCCGTAAACAGGCGAGAGGGCCAACTGAGAGACGTTGCTGTAGACGGCGGCAAGGGCGAGTAGAATGGCCGACTTGAGGTAGGCCGAGGCCTGCTGCTGGAGAAATCGACCCCTATTCTCGCCCTTGGCCTTGGCTGCCAGGCTCTTCAGCTCCTTTTCGAACCTCTCGGGCGTGAATCCCTCAGGGGTGGCATCCACCTTGAATGTTGGCTTTGGTGGCATCGCGGGCGACAGAATTGGTGACGTCGGGCGAGATTTGGAGGATTCGTGAGTGAAACAAATGAGATGCGTGCGAGTGGGGGGTGGTTGTGAGTGACTGAATATACAGATATAAATGAGGGTATGGATGACGAGCGCGTCCGGGCCCTTTGCAGAAGCTGGGGAGAGAACAAAAGATGATACAGCAGGCGAACAACAGCCAGGCTAGCGTTGCATATCCGGTGGTACCCAACAGCCCGCTGTTGAAGCTATTTCTTTCTCTTGAAGTAGGTAGGTAGGTAGGTAGTAGGTATAGGTATGAAAGGGCGAGAGCTGAGACTCGAAATCAGGGACAGGTCGTGTGTTGTGACTTGTCTGCTAGCCCTTTTGCTGCGTTTTGAAACGTCTCCTCAGCTCATCCTTCAATTATTGCTGGCCGCCAAAAAATCCCCGGGTCTTTGTGGCGTGAGCTTTGAGCTTGGTATGGCTGAGATGTGGCGGTGCAGTCGCACTCTCGGTTAAATTACTGCGCGGCCGGCCATCTTCCTTCCGCATCTAGCTGGGTAGGTAGGTAGGTAGGTACAGGATCAGCTGACGTCTCGTCTAGATAATAACGTCTGTTGTCATTCTTTCGCTATCGCGACGGGGTATTTGGTCCAAACTATGCAAGATGTCATCTTTGCCTTTCGGAATGGCTTCCGTAGCCAACCCCCTCCCCCCTTTTCGCAACTGCAACAAGACAACAAAACCAACCGCTAAAAAGGGATGCGTCACAGAACCAAAGCTGTGCCATACAGGATGCCATCGTTGCCCTGCGGGATGGCTCTCTTTTCGGCCAAACCCCCTCGATTACTCTTTCTACTTTGCCCAAGTAATGCAGTCCGCCCTACCCATGCATGAGGATAGCCAATGTCCCTGACAATACAGGATGTCATCGTTTCCCTGCAGACAAGCATCCATGCCTTTGCTTGGGCCCGGGAAGCCACGATACGATATGCGTGATTGCAGCTCCCCTTTAGATCTTCTCTCCCTCGATAATAGGCTTGGCCTCATCGCTGGTCCACCAGCTGACGCCGGACTTGCCGGGGTAACTGAACTTGTCCATGCTGTCAGCTTTCATCTCAACACTATAGCCAGGTTCCGTAGGGGTCTGATAATATCCGTCTTTGATGATGGAGGGGTTGAGGAAGTGTTCGTGGAGGTGGTCGACATATTCCAGAACAGAGCGCTTGCCGCTGACGACAATGTAGTCGATGGTGCTCAGGTGCTGGGTGTACTCGGGGAGACCGACACCACCCGAGTGAGGCACGATGGGGACGTTGTACTTTTTGGCCATCAGTAAGACGGCGAGGACCTCGTTGACACCGCCCATGCGGCATGCGTCGATCTGGCAGATGTCGATGGCTCCTGACATGAGCAGCTGCTTGAAAACGACACGGTTTTGGCACATCTCGCCGGTGGCCACGCCGATGCCGTAGGGCTTCAGTGCTTCACGGATGGCCTTGTGGCCGAGGATGTCATCGGGGGAGGTGGGCTCCTCGATGAACCAGGGCTTGAACTCCTTGAGCTCCTTCATGTACTCAATGGCTTCGGGTACAGACCAGACCTGGTTGGCGTCAACCATGAGGATGTTGCCGCTGTCGTAGCCAATGACCTCGCGTGCAATGCTCAAACGTCTCTTGTCCTGCTCGACACTGCTGCCAACCTTGAGCTTGAAGTGACGATAACCCTTGCCGAGGGTCTCCTGTAGCAGGCCCTTCATCTTGTCCTCGCCGTACCCGAGCCAGCCGGCACTGGTGGTGTAAGCTGGGACGGCGCGGCTGTTCTCGGCGTCCTTGATGCGCTGGGCCTTGGTAGGCTCTTGTTCTTTGAGGAGTTTGATGGCCTCCTGGGGGGTGATGGCGTCGGTGATGTAGCGGAAGTCGATACAGGCAACAAACTCTTCGGGGCTCATGTCGGCAACAATGCGCCAGACGGGCTTGCCGAGGACCTTGGCCCACAGGTCCCAAATGGCGTTGACAACGGAGCCGAGAGCCAGGTGGATGACGCCCTTTTCAGGGCCGATCCACCTCAGTTGGCTGTCATTGACGAGATACCTCCAGGTCTTGCCCCAATTTGAGACAAGATCCGACAACTTCTTGCCCTTTACTCTCTCGACGAGGTAATCAATTGCTTTACAGACGATATCGTTTCCGCGGCCGATGGTGAAGGTCTACAGAACAACACGTATTAGCGGTTATGTGCAAGACTGAATATGAAGAATGAAAAACATGCCATGCCGTGCCCAGCAAACTTGGAGTCGGTCTCGAGAATGCAGTAGGCGGCGGAGTAATCGCCGGCAGCGTTCATGGCATCAGAGCCAGTCTTGTCTAGCGAAGTGGGAAAGCGCACGTCGCGCGTCTGCCACCCCGTGATGGTAATGTCGAGACTCATGATGAAGAGAATGAAGGGGGAAAACCAGATTGAACGAAGTAAAGGAATGGAGGAACAATATTTCAAAAGAAATTGAATACCGAGGGTATCTTCAAGAGGGACGAAGAGGGGACGATGCGGGATAATGGGTCACTAGAAAGAGGCAGATGAGGCTTTATAGTGTCCGACGATGTATATCCTTCCCCCACCTTTGCCAATAGCGGCATGGCCTGGCCAGCGACATGCCACAACGCTTGACGTTTCCATCTGTTGCTTGATCCCCAGTCTGGAGCTGGGCCGGAGGGGCAGTAGAGGTGGGAGAGGTGGGGGACATGGGACGATGAGGGGCATGCGCCCGAAAGGGTCCCTTTTGGTGGAGAATTGCTCCAGACAGGAGACAATCCGGCCTAAAGACCGAGTGCCAGCGCTGGGGGTTAACCTAGCTGAGCGGGAGCCGGCTACGGACCCTCTGCTACAAGGCCTATGATTGATGGAGAAATTCTTCCATCACAACGTCTAGCTCGGCCTCCACTCCGCCAAACCTGCAGAGTTGGAGTTTTTGACGATGCAATGCGAGAGAACGAGGAAGTGGTTGAGCGCTTGCTACACACAGTCAGTCTACATGTGAGATGTGGCTATGAGAGTCTCAGTAGCAAGCAGATAACATCCCACTTAGGCATGCGCGTTGCAACACTCCAGGAAGGGTCTATGGAACGGCTGCGGCCTGCTTCCCGTCGTCAAGGGGACGTATATTACTCGCATGTGCAGGGGACATGGCACAATGGCACGGATCAAACATGAGCTCGTTAGGATCAATATGTCGTAAAAGTAGGGTATTATATACCTGGCATCATCTCCTCCAAATCATCTCTTCAAGGCGACAAGCTCCTGGCCCGTCGATCATACATACGTGGTAGACGATATTCTCTATAGGGACCATGTACACTTGTCTCCCAAATATAATGATCTGCTTCGAGGTCACGGTTTGCGAGAAGCTTGGGAGTGGACATGCGTTCTGGCTTGTGGCTTATTGTTACTATATCTAGCTCTTGTCCGCAAGAATGTCATTCAGAGTTACGGCTACGGTGCCCGACGAAGATCCGCCCGGTTCAGACTAGCCGGGAAGAAGCCTGATGATGAACAAAATCACCCGATCATGGATGAAGCAATGCGATGGCGGATACCGTTGGAACCGAGTTGTTCTTACTGCACCGGAAGCCAAAGCAGGGGCTGTAAAGGTGAGAAGTACGGAAATCAAGATAGGAGCTTTACGCAGCGATGCTCAACGCCAATGAGCAGGTCCGTAAACAGCTTCTGCGAACTTCTAGTAGAGCCAGTGAGACCCAGCATACTGGACAACATCTCTACAGCAACAAGCAGTTTGTCCTTGTTCTCATGAGTGAGCTTATCGCCATGAAAGTATCACGCACCTACATGGCACCTGTTCGCTATCCATTGCTTGGACAACATGCTCTTGAGACGGCTGGTTGACGCTTGGTGTGAGATGGGGGTTTAGACGCTTGCGAGCGGATTCGAGCAGCTCGACGACTTCCCCGAGGCCGCCAGACCGTGCCACTTGCTCGACCGGGACCTCAAAGTACCGACGGGCCCCCCTCTGGAATAACACCGCCCGGCCGCATGAGTCGGTGTGGTAAGATGCCAGGTAATCCTCCAAAACCGTGTCGTTTTCGGACGAGGTGGCCCAAGAACGATCAGCCGGGGCTGGCCACGGCTTCTCGGCGTCGTGCAAATGGACTGGATCGACGACGACGTAGAGAGTGCGAAGGGCACGGGAGCCCCACAGGGTGAGCAGGCCGTTGAGGGCTTCCGAGTAGTAGAAAGCACTACGGCCGTCCGATGCGCTAGTTCGATTTGGGCCGGGCCAGGCGAGGGCCAGCAGTCGCAAGGGAGTTGGCAGCTGGAGACGGAATACACTGCTCGTGCTAATCAGACGGCACGGCCACTGCCACCCGGTGTCAAGAATGAGCAGATCGTTGGCGGCGTCGATTTCCGTGTGGTAGGGAACAGAGGGATCCTGACCTCGGAGAAGAAAAGGACGGAAAGGCTTGATGGAGCTGTAAGCACGAGTTGCGACGGCGAAGGAGCGACGACAGGTGACAAGCATGCCAGATAGAGTGGCCATGACGCAGTCGCGATCGGCAAGATCGGGGTGGGCATCGGGTGGAAGGCGGTAGAGAAGAACTCTGTCTTTTACATTATAACTGTCGATTGAGCCGTCGAGGGCGCGACCCATTGGTTGGCGGACGAGTCTCGCATGGAACGCCGTGGGAGCGGGCGGGGGGATGGCAGCCTCCCAAACCTTGTCCTGTAGCTCCAAAGGGAGGTGCAGAAAACAAGTGAAGTCAAGCATGGCAGATGAGGCAATGCGATATGTCGAGAGCGACATCGTCGCCCGCCGACCCTGACCGAGGCGGAGAAGTCGGCATAGAGCGTGGAGAACAAGGCACGGACGGGCAAGGTGTTGTTGAACCCCCGGAGTCCGGCCGGGGATATATGACAGAGGGCGGCAGTGCAGTGAGATAGGGATACAGGATGTTGGTGTCAATCAACGTTTGTGATGACGACAACCAGGGTGGGTGACTGAAGAATCGGAATGAAGAAAAGAGAAGTGAGTCAGCCAGCCAGCCAGAGGGAGGGTCTAATGATGACATCAGCCAATCGTGTCCTTTCCGCCATTCCTGGCAAAGCCCACTAGACCTAGCTACAGGTACTAGGTAGGTACCTGTATGTACGATGTACAGTGCTATGCACTCGCTGTATCCGTACAGCCCCCCCCATTTGGCCCCGCTGCACACCCAAAACACAGCCAGGAAATGCCGTGCTCTACCACCTACACTACCTAGAAAATTAGAAAACGGACCATCGCGGGGGAGAGCGGGGCATGCTGGATCGCCGGAATATCGACGGGAACGGGCATTAACAAGTGACAATCATGCCCGAAAGACAATGGCAATAGGCGATACCTTGGGGCAACGTTTCCCACAACCGTTCTTCACATTGGGGCTGATATACGCGTCTATGGCAGATGGAAACCTAATCGCAGATGCTTCCAATTCCACCACCTTGGCCACTCTTCCAAACCAACCCGTAGATTGCATCCTTGGGGGGGGGAGAGCCCGAGTCGACATTGGAGATGCGACCCTTGTTCACCACCATAACCGCCCGCCAATACATCCCTGACCGGGTCTGAGCCTCGACCGCCGTCCTCCACCCCGCTTCGCTTTTTTTCCTTTTCTCAAGCGGGCGACGACGATGATGACGTGAGGTGCAAGGATGCACTCGGTTTCTTATCCTGCCCACCCATGCATTTGTCTGCTTTCTGGACCACGATGCTAGACTACCCACCTAGGTAGGTAGTTGGCATGTTAGTTTACAAGCACGTTCATGTACCTACCCTTACTCATGGTCGACGACACCAACACTCTGCCCATGTGCGCAGAGGAAAACCCATACAATCACATCCCTGCTGAGTCCGACGGCTTCTCTGCATCGAGCCACCCGTTATGCGCTGTCCACCTCACATCACTCTGAACTTATCCAGCCTTGACCTGGCTCCCACTCGCGATTGAACTAATTACCACCTATAGTACGCCGCAGGAAAACGAGGTATCTCTAGCTACCTACCCTACCCGAGGAACATGCCTACGTACCTCATCCCGGCATGCCCTCCAATGACTGCATCTCCTCGAGAGTCAAATCCTGTTTCGAGCCCAGTCCTCTTGACCTTCTCACGACTCGATCTTTGTAGTTTGGTTTTAAACTATTTACATGCACATGTCCTGCTGTCCGTACGTGTGTATGCCCGCCCTGACTCTCGTTTGCCCTTCTCTCAGAGTATATCATCCCTCCCTCTTGCTATCCCCTAACGCCCGCAAGCGAATCTGTACACACATGGAGCGAGGCATTCCTGTCTGTACCTTTTTGACTCTTCATCCGTGGTCATCATTTGCTTGCCCGACAGAATCGCGAGTCACACCAGCGAAGCTTAATCAACACATATACGCCACATGTAAAACCCCGACGTGTTTATTTGCTGCCTTGTAGCGACTGCGCACCTCATAAAAGCTTGACACCATAGGTATCGGCCTGCTCTCGATTTCCGTCGATTTAATCTCCCCATACTGTCAACCTTAGGGACATGGATCCTTCACGCGGGCCTTCGCCGCTATCGCCAGCCGCCAGCCCAGACAAGCCCCTAGAGCCTTCACATCGCCTGCGACGCAAGTTACAGAAAACATTTCCCAAACAGAGGTTCCTATCCATCCGACGTCCCGCACCTATCGACTCGTCCGTGCCAAACAAACCTAATACTGGGGTGGCAGTGGCTGCCCAGCAAGCCGGAACAGTCGGCCAACCTTTATTGCGCCTGTCACCAGACCTCAGCGATGCCAAATGGCAACAATACCTAGGAGAAAGCAACGCAGTGCAAGATACTACGAGCACACCTAGAACGCCCGACAAACCCACAAAGGTTTCCTTCGACACGTCCGGCTCGACCCTCGTTCCAGAGTTCTCTCACCTTGCCGTCACCAGCGCAGCACGTCGGCCCTCTCTCGACAGCTCACTCAGCTCGCCAACCTCATCGATAAGCACGAGATCCAGCATGAGACGTCGCGCCAAGACTCCCATCTACGCCATCGGCCAGCTCGAGAGCCCCAAATTCGGTAGGGATTCGACGGTTGCCGACAAGGTGTCAAGCGTCGATCTCATTGCCGACCAGTACACGGCGCTCCTCGAAACACAGGACAACAGCTCAGTAAATACAGACGCCCGACCCGACCCTCTCCCCTCGCGGCAATCCTCACACAGGCGGTCTTCTCTTTCACAGTCTCACTACAGTGTCAGGGAGACACCTGCAAGGTTGCGGCCAGATGTCTACAGGCCGGCACCGATACGCAACGTCCCGGCATATTCCCCGAAATCCGACGACGGCACTTTGGTTGCCTTTGACGAAGAGGCGATTTACTTCAAGCCGATGTCCTTTTCGCCAGAGCTCCCATCCACGCAGTCACCCTCGTCGTCGTCGCCACCGCCGCCGCCGCCGCCGCGAAATCGGGCCCGACTGCAGCGCAACTCTTCATCCCAAGCATCATCGTCGAACCACAACCTAAGCTTGCAGATTGCCACGGACCTACTGACCCGCGAGCTATCAGCGACCATGTTGGACATGTCGAAGCAGACGGAGACGGATTTGTCATCTCTCCAAGTCTGGGTCATGATCGAAGCATATGAGAGACTGAGAGACCGGGTCATGGAGACGACGGAACAACAGAGCGAAGACGCCAAGAATATGGAGGCCATGTTTGATACTTGGCTAAGAGCGCTGTACAACATGCATGATAAGATGACCAGTGACGCGGCATCCCGTGGGAGCCATTACGATGAAGCTGTGTTGGGAATGGAGGATATGGACTGACGGCACCATCTGGCTTTGATACCCATGAAATGTTGATGAAGGCGTTCACACGAGCTTTGGGCTTATGAGGCTATTTAGATAAGGTACCTCAGTAGGTAGATCGGGGAGACAGCAATGTCAATGTCAGCGCCAGCCCCACGAAGGCATCGGGCCACCACAGCTTAGAGAGGAACAACTAAAGAAGTAAAACAAGAATAGGGGTTGTCAAATAAACGGGATCAGGCTCTCTTCCGTCCATCGACGTTCTAGCTTATGTCGGAATGCGGTGTGGCTTTTCAACGAACCCTGCGGTCGAGCCGCCAGTTAACCCAGCACGGCGGGCGCCTTCTCCACTAGGTACCCAAGTACCTACCTGAATTGGAGCTTCCTTCCACCACTGCCAATCGCGCGCGTGCATTCTCTTGTCCTCTCCAACATCGTTATTGCAACCGGACTTGCCATCCTCCAACCGCCTTCTTCGCCAACAACCCACCCCTTCACTGATATCATATTGCATACAACCATGGACGACGACTTTGGTGCCGACGAAGACTTCCTAGCAGCCCTCGCATCATCGAACCCTGTCCCCGCACGCCCCCAGACTCAACCGCCTCGTCCTCGCCCCCAGCAGTCAACCCCCCAGAAAATACAGCAACCGACACCGCAGCGGCTGGACAAAGCGCCGCCTACGAATGCTTCATCCCGCAGCAAAGTCGTTCAGCCGACGCCGCAAGCTCTTCCTCAGCGAGGATCTGGATCTGCCATTCTCGTGTCCCCTCGCCAAAGGGGCAACCCAGTGCTTGCTTCGTTAAAGTCAATGCCATGGGAATACAGTGATATTGTGGCCGACTACAGTCTTGGCCTGACGACATGTGCGTTGTTTCTGAGGTCAGTCGGCTCCTGTCGCCATGTTTCTTACGCCACTAGCTTGCTAACAGATGGCCGTGTCAAGTCTCAAATACCACCGCCTCCATCCCGAGTACATCTACACGCGAATCCGAAACTTGCAAGGCAAATACAACCTGCGCATCATGTTGACCATGGTTGACATACCAAACCACGAAGAGGTACTGCGCGAGCTATCCAAAACATCACTGGTCAACAATGTCACCATCATCCTCTGTTGGTCGGCTGCCGAGGCCGCGCGTTACCTTGAACTTTACAAGTCGTATGAGCACGCCAACTTCAGCGCCATTCGCGGCCAACAAGCGTCGACGTATGCTGAAAAGCTTGTCGAGTTCGTCACCGTTCCCAGGAGCGTTAACAAGTCAGATGCGGTCGCATTGGTCAGCAACTTTGGCAGCTTGAAGAACGCCATCAACGCAGATCCCGAACAGATCGGTATCATTGCCGGATGGGGGGCTATCAAGGTTAACAAATGGGTCAGAGCTGTTGAGGAGCCCTTCCGAGCCAAGAAATCCGCAAAACGACAGTTGGATCGGACGGAAAACGCCGAGGGCGGAAGACCGGCTCGGATATCGAAGCTGGATCAAGCCGTGCCTCTCAGCAGAGTACCGCTACGCGAAATGGAATCGATTAGAGGGACCTCACAAGGTTCACCAGTGATTGACAGGCTAGCTAGTAGCCAGGGGAAGTTGGAAACGGGCAATCCTAACTTGGACGATGAAGAAGAAATGATTGCTGCTGCCATCGAAGAATCGAAGCGGACAGCCGCGGTACACACAGCTGCACGGACACAGACACAGGTACAAGCGGAAGAAGCAGACGGTGAAGGCCCCAAGGGCGATTTACTTCCAGGCGGAGTTGCTGCAGCACTCGCAAAGCTGCGGAAGCAGGGCTGAATCATCCATTGGATGAGATTGCATAAACAAAAGGACCCCGGTTCAGTCTTGGCAATATATAGGCCGAAGCTTAATCGACTTTTGCAAAGTCGGTTCGCCTCTCGAAACAGCCTCACGCATGGCGCATTCTCCGAGTGTTGCAAGCTAGCTTGCTTGCAATTTGAAAACCAAAGGCTCTTTACTGGGCCTGGTGTCTGTCTTGGCTAATGCATGATCACGGCAAAGAATAGGCAGAGAAATCGGATCGAAGGATGAACTAAACTTTTCCGATTCTCGAAAATACCCTTGACGATGGTCAAACCATTCCCCATCAAGCCGGTGAGGGCTTCGAATGACTATACTAGACTGATAGCCCAGTCGGGCAGAGGACAAAAAGTCAATAGCTGCGGCATGTCATCTTCGCTGCAATCTGGGTGACATGCCGCACTATTCTCACGTTCTCTTTATGCTCGCAGCATGAAGAAGTGCGGGAGGGTGGATAGGGGCATTGCTGCAGGTGCAGAATTTAATTCGAGTCGAGAGTCGGAGATGATGATCGTCACGGACGCAGTTCTGTCTCTACAATGGGACCCTTCTGACCCTATCAAGTGGCCTACCGTAGCTTTGGTTGATGAGACGGCGGATATTAGTCATGGAACCGCGCCATTTCTCGTCCTGCATGCATTCGCAATGTACGACACACCACGGCCTGTGGGTGAGGTTGTTAAAGCGCGTCGCAAAGCAGGGCCTCCGACACCCAGTGGCTGGCAGTCCCGGTCCGGCCATCTGACCGGGATGCAGTCTTTTAACCCGCCGGCACCAAAGATGAAGGCCGCAACCGACTGTCACCGTGTATACTCCGCCGCAGCATACATATACAGCTGCCCCAGGTGGAGGATGAACTTGGTCAACCGCACTTGGAGGCTCGGGTAGCTTGCATTCACCCCCCTAGGTATGCAACGCAACGCTGCGTTTAAACTTTGGGTAACACCAACAAGGCCCCCTCCCTCAAAGGCTTCTCTGCACGTGCTTGGCTCACCAGGCACGGACGTGCCTGGTGACTATGCCACTGCCAAATGCGCGACGAACTCGGGAAGATCTGCCCTGCTCGTGTTGATGTCAGTCATTACGGCAACCGACGGATTCCGCCCGCGTGACAGTCATTCAGTCGCTCTCCCCTTGGTTACATTGCAGCCTTGCCGAAGTGCAGCCACCCCTGGATGCGCTTGCCGCAAGAGAATGTCTGGCTTGTTCGTCTAGTCCTAGCTACACCGTAGTCATCCGCTGAGGGTGTTATTGGATGGAACAGCAGGGACCAGAAGCCGGAGATGAGAAAGGGGGGGCGCAGCGGTGAATAGCACATACTGAACAGTAGACAAGAAAGCACGAGCGGCCGCAGGCGCCAAAGCAGAAGCGCGGAAGGCAGGAGAAAAGCAGGAGTGCGGTAGAAGGCCTAAGCATGAGACAAGAGCAAGGTCGAACGCGGAGTCGAAAGGGCAAATTGACTTTCCGTCCGATGCCATGGTGCCTGCTCACACTTCAATGTCTGTCTGATAGTCTAGTCAACTGGTCCCTGGAGTTGCATCAACGGACACGCCAACCACTTCCATACATTATACATTCGTGTCTCTCGGCAATCCTGTCCAGTATTCGCCCGCACACACACACATATATATATATATCCATACGTCCTTGGCCATCATCCTTGCGTCGCTTTCACCAGTATCTCCTCCTCCAACACAGGAGCTCTCAGTTTACGACATGATGCATATTTCAGGACGTGCGTTGGCTGTCGCTGGGCTTGCCATCCAGGCGTACGCCTCGCCTCAAATCACGGAATCGGCCGCTGCCCCAAATTATGTTAACCAGCCGGAGAGAGCCAACGCCGTAAAGGAGGCTTTCCAACGCTCGTGGGACGGATACCGAAAGTTTGCGTTTCCAAACGATACCCTGTTACCCGTGTCGAAATCGTCGGCCAATGACAGGTAAGTCATCGCAGATCCTGCATCAGAGCGAAATGAAGATGGACTTCGCTAACATGCGTCTATAGAAATGGCTGGGGTGCCAGCGCAGTGGACGCCTTGAGCACTGCCATCATCATGGAGAACAAGGACGTTGTCGGTCAGATATTGAATTTCGTGCCCAGCATCAACTTTGACGTAACAGATAGCGAGGTCTCTGTGTTTGAAACAACCATCCGATACTTGGGAGGCTTGTTGGCTGGTGAGAATGGTCATCTTCCGACTGGCATCATGTGAATGCTAAGCCTGCTGCCGGACAGGACATGACTTGTTGAAAGGGCCGCTTAAAGACGTTGCAAACAACATCACCGGAGTAGATGCGCTGCTCACCCAGGCAAAGCGGCTCGCGGATAACCTTAAAGTTGCTTTCGATACTACCACTGGAGTGCCGGACAACACTCTTGTCTACGACCCGAAGCCACGCAGGAATGGATCGGAAACAAACAGCCTCGCCACCATCGGAACTTTGGTGCTCGAGTGGACTCGTCTGAGCGATCTTACCGGGGACAAGCAATACGGTGAACTGTCACAAAAAGGTGAAGACTTTCTTCTGAAGCCCAACGAAGAGGTGTTCCCTGGTCTGCTGGGCTCGGATGTCTTCATTTCCAATGGCACCTTTGCAAACCGCTTTGGTGGCTGGAACGGAGGAACTGACAGCTTTTACGAATACCTCATCAAGATGTGGGTATACGATCAGGACCGTTTCTCTTTCTACAAAGATCGATGGGTTGCAGCTGCCGACTCTTCGATCAAGTTTCTCGCGTCGAGCCCAACGACACGACCTGACCTGACCTTCCTGGCCGCTTACAATGATGCGAATCTGAGGTTTATCAGCACCCATCGTGAGTTCATAATGTCACTCGGCATACCGCATAAGAGCTGACTGTAAGCCAAGTGGCATGTTTTGATGGCGGCAACTTCATTCTAGGCGGTCTTGTGCTCAAGGAGAAAAAGTACGTAGACTTCGGCCTCAATTTGACCGCGGCTTGCCATGAGACGTATAAGCAGACAGCGACTGGAATTGGCCCAGAAATATTCCGCTGGCAAGATGACCGGCCGCCAGTCAACAAGACCCTAAACCCCGACCCGCCCGCCAATCAGACCGAGTTCTACCAGCGTGCTGGTTTCTGGATCGGGAACGGCGGGTCGGGTTACGTTCTCCGCCCTGAGGTCATTGAGAGTTACTACTACGCATATCGCGCGACGGGCGACACCAAGTATCAGGACTGGGCCTGGGACGCATTCCTGGCCATCAACAAGACCTGTAATGTCGGCGATGGTTTCTCGGGCATCACGGACGTCAACAATCCCACGGGCGGGATGCCCGACGACTTCCAGGAGAGCTTCTGGTTCGCGGAGGTGCTCAAGTACAGCTACTTGATCCAGGCCACGGACGCCAAGGTCCATGTCGAAGTCGCGGACAACAAGTGGGTGTTCAACACCGAAGCGCATCCGTTTCGAGTGGCGTAGTGCGGAGATTGGGTCACTGAACAGGGGTACGGTGGGCGTACATAATCATTGAGATGGGAGTTTTGTTGCTAGCCAGTATAACCATTGTGTATGAATGTGGCTGGACCCCCTTTGCTTAACGTGGAATTGGTGTTTGTTTGCTGTCAACGCGCACCTTACGAGCCACCATCTCTCTTGGCATACTCCTCCTCTATTGCTTCCTCGTAAAGCCGGTCAGCCTCAAGCTCGGCTTCCGTCTTTGGACGGGTCGTTCCGGCTCCAGTGTCCCCGCCGGCGCCGGTGGCTTGCTCCGTTTGTGAGTGGCTCTGGTCATTGGTGGGTTGGGTGCTTTGTACTCGGGCATGTTCGTCTTCAGGGACTTTCGGGACGCCGAGCTTGATAGGCCGGCCCATGTTGGTAATGCGACGAAGATAAGTGAGTGAGATGTGAGGTGGGAAGCGCCTGTGCAGCAGCAGCGGCTTCACAAGAGGGAACGATGCGATATGAGAGAAGTGGCTGAAGATGAAGATGGGGCTGGTGCAGGGCCAAGCCGTGAGTATTTATGTACTTGTAGGTATATCGCGGTTGGGTGGCAATGGTAAGTGGTCGAAGTGGTCGGGCCCAGGTGGCTGCCAGCGAGGACTTGTGAATTTTTGCGGCGAAGATGAGGGTGTGATGGTTCTCAGCTGGACCGACCGTGTCTACCCAGAAACCCCGCAAATCTCACAGCGCCGTTCGGATCCGAGGTTGTGGCGAACCGATGCACCCTATCGGCCCCACCGGCTCCGGGGCTACCTAACTAGACTGGATACGTTACGTGGTCTTCAGTCTTGCGAACCCATGCAGAGTACTCCGTAAGGGTGGAAGAAACCATTCAGTGGCAAGTCACTGCGTACGTACACGGTTTCAATGCTCATGTCAAGCGTGGCACCTCCATCCATCTGTACATTCTTGGCCGGTGTTACTGGGGAAAGTGTGTGGAACGGGAAAGCGTCATTTCTGCAGTACCAAGAGTCGGGGCGGTGTGCTCGAGAACTGTCGGTCATGTCACGATCAGAAACACAGGAGCTATTCGGTCGAGTGTACGCTAGTGCAATGCCAAGGCTGTTTTTCTGAGGTGTCCTCTCTCTCTCTCTCTCTCTCTCTCCCTCCCCCTCTACTTCCTCACAGCGGTGCCGTGGCATCTTGGGCCATGAGAAGCTCCAGCGTTCCAGAGCGTACAGGTGCTGTGACGCCTCGCCGTTGAGCTTGCGGGGGCCCGGGAACACCGACAATGCTGCACCAGCAAACGCAAGGATGCCATGGGCGACTGCATACACCTAGTGTAGTTCGGAGCAGGCAGGCCAATCGAAGGTTAGTAAATGGTTGAAGAACGGCGTTGCGCAGAAGGAAAGAGTTTCTCGGGCAACATCATGATTGGTTCTCCAGAGGAGTATGAGCTTGGACCTTGTGATGTAAGGATTTTCAGGGGTGTGTCCAGGAGCTTCCCGCTGCATCGGATGCAGCACTCAGAAGAAACGCCTACCGCCCTCCATGCATCGTGATTCAGCAACAGTCAGTGCTGCATTGAAATCTACTACACCGTGCCGAGAACCGAGCGGAATTCGATGCTTTGGTCAGTGAGATGAGTGGCGTGATTGGGGTTCTCCCCCTCCTTTACTGTCTTGTTTTATTTTTGGTTTATATCTTTGCCAAAAGTGTTCAGTTAGCAGAGAGAAATAACCCCAACTGCCATACCCGCCGTATCAGACGGTAGACACGGAACCAATCACCGGCGACCCTCAAGGCCTTCTTGGACCCGAAAGAGGCAAGTGGATGGAACATTCCTGAGTTGGCCCACTTCAGACTGTATTTGTACATACCGTAGATCCCTGACCTGGGCTCATTCTCACACTACTCCCGAGCTCTGTGAGGCCGGTGGGGTGTCGCCCGAACCAATGGCAGGCCTTGGAGATGCTGTTGAACTCCGAGATTGACCAATGACGGTCGCGGTAATGCTGATTACTCGTCCGAAGTGTAACGCGGGACCGCAAGGTGACCCAGGACCCCCACAAGCCTGCAGACGATGACAGGCAGTCAAGCTTCGAACTGTCCCTTGCGATCGATGGGTAGCTACCCGTCAACGGGCGAACGAGATAATGTAAAGCGGCAGAGGAGAGAGAGGAGCTTGGCCCTTCTAGACCGCTGCTTTCTGGGGGGCTTTGCAAGGTTTCGGTCTGCTCCTCCGTTGCCCAGTTTGTGTTGTGAGTCTACCAGGTTTTTCTATTATGTTTTACAAGTCACCAGAAAGGAAAACCCCAGAAACCTTCGTGGAATTTTAAAGTGTTGGAGGGTCGCTCCCACACTGGAATGCCCATACCGCGCATCCCATCTCCCTTCCACACACGCGCGCGCACCCACAGTTTCTCTCTCACACAGACTCTTTCTCTCCCCTACCTCTCGCTTTCTGCTTGTGGCTACCTAATCACCAAGGTAGTAATACCAAGTAAATAAACAACTGAATACCCCGGACTCGATCTTTCGGTTTCCCATCTGTGTCACCTCAGTAGGGGGGAAAGGCAAAGACCCCTCTCCCTTCACAGATCTTTCAAACAACTTCTTTTCATCTCTTCAGTCCTTTACTTGGTCAGGGAAGAGAGATATCAGACTCTCCGATTTCGGGTCACCCTCGACTGACGCTCAACACATAGAGTGTGTATCACTAACTCTAGTGGTAGAGACATTTGTTACCTGACAAAAGAAAAGAAGAAAAAAAAAGTCATGGGCCTCGTCACATTAAAAAACCTTCTCTTCGGTCGCACGCCGCCCCCCGCCCGGTCTAAGGCCGCCATCGCTACCGACGAGCGCGCTGAAAGCACGATGTCGGATGAGACCATCATTGACGGCGGCGAGCTCGAGAGGCAACCCCTGCTGGGTCCCGGGGCCCGGACAGCGTCGACGGCGACCATGGCGACGACGACCTCGGAAACCTCTTCCACCTCGACAGTGTCTCCCGAGGGCGAGTCTCGTCGCTTCCGCTTCGACGCCCGCGTCATCTCCGACGCTACAATTGGACTTTCAGACGGTCTGACAGTACCCTTCGCCCTCACGGCTGGGTTGTCTGCCCTGGGGCAGACAAAGGTCGTCATCTTTGGTGGCATGGCCGAGCTAATTGCTGGGGCGATATCCATGGGTCTGGGCGGTTACCTCGGAGCCAAGAGCGAAGCGTAAGGCCCCTCTTCCTCGGGTTCCCTTGTTTATTCTCCTCGTCACTAACACCCCTCGCAGCGCCTCGTACAAGGAAACCCGCAACGAGTGCACCCGGCTGACCCGCGAGGACCCGGCTCTCGCCCGCGCCCAGGTCTTCGAGGTCCTCGAGCCCTACGGTTTACCCAAACATACCCTCGAAGAGGTAACGGATCACCTTTCCATGTCGCCCCGCCTCATCGACTTCCTCATGCATTTCCACCACTGCGAGCAGGAGCCCGCCTCGAACCGCGCCTTCGTCTCCGCCTTGACCATTGCTGCGGGCTACTTGCTCGGTGGCCTAGTGCCGCTGTTCCCATACTTCTTCGTCCCCGCCGAGGACGTCTATCTCGCTCTCTACATCTCCGTCGCCGTCATGGCCGTTGCGCTGTTCGCATTTGGCTACGTCAAGACGTGCATCGTCTCAGGCTGGTCGGGCGTGCGGTGTGTGAGACAAGCTGTCGTCGGTGGGCTAGAGATGGTTGTCGTCGGTGGTGCTGCTGCCGGCGCGGCCATGGGGCTGGTGAAAGCCTTTGATCAGCTGGCGCAATCTGAGGATATGTCGGCATTGAAGAGCAAGGTATTCTGATACTCTTTACTTTTTCCCCCTCTTATGTTTTTCTTCTTCTTTTTTATTATCAAACTGCTGCACACTTCCCCTTCTATCTTATCTGCTTTCACTATGTGTTAGCATGCATACCGAATGGGGTCCCCGGAATTGGAACACTCAGTTGGAAACCTCGGCTGGGAAAATGTTGAGGGATTCTCCTATGTTTGCATTATATGGCGTTTACGCGGAACGAGGTGCTTGATCATGGCCACCTGGGGATGTAGGATGGATGGCGGCGCCAAAGTGGCATTGGCGTAAGAGTCGTTTGTTCGACTTAACTAAAAGAATCTAAAAGTCAGGCACTGCCATATGAGAACAATAATTACAGAACACTACTCTGTTAACGTACTCGGAATTATCTCTATGATATGTCACTCATTATGCATTCTTAGTGCGAACCATGATAATAATCCAAACGCTCGACGGGTAGCTAGGTCCCCCAAGTCCGGTATCTACCTTGACAGGTACGCACAGATGAGCCAACAGGGTGTGTCGTCGGAAAATGTTCTTCGATACTGGCCTACTTACATCCCTGTACGGGGCTTTCTGTCTATGGTATATAGAGTTAATTTTTCAACCCAGAAATGCCGAAGCTATTATTTAAAAATCACCTCCAGAAGCCTGCTTGTAATTGTACACCACATCACATCCCAACATTAGAACTCCCTGCTCTCCCCAATATCGCACACATCAAACACGCCCGTTGGCGGAAGCCCTTTGCGCTTCATGGCATCCTGCAGGAGCTTCGGCGGCTCCAAGACCTCTTCCAGGGTTAACGCCCACGTGCCCCAGTGGATACCCATGGCGCGCTCGCACTTTGTATCCTGGAATATCTCGACAGAATCAAAGGGATTTGCGTGCACTCCCGAGAAGGCCACACGAGGGTAATATGCGCCGATGGGAATCAGACCGAGGTCGAACGGCCCGCGCAGGTCGCCGATCTGCTTGAACTGCGGACAGACGGGCAGGTGGGCGTACTCTGGGCCGTAGTCATCCACGTCGAGTGGGACCCGCGGCACGGCGCGGTATCCAGTGTCGCCGCCAAACCAGACCGACTTCCCAGCAGACTTGACACCCCACGAGGCCCACAGGGTGGTATCTTTGTCGAACGGTGTGCGGGCAGAGGTGTGCTGGCTGGGTAGACAAGAAATCTGGGCGGAGATGGTCTCGGGTATATGGTCGACGCCCTTCTCCACGACCAGAGAGATCTCGGCGTCCTCCCACCAGTCGAGCTCGGTTACATTTTTCAAGCCAGCGTTCCTAAACCACGTCTCAAGACCTAGACCGACGAAGAAGTGGGCCTTTGGGTTGTGTTTCTGGATGGTGAGGACGGACTGGTGGGACAGGTGGTCGTAGTGGCTGTGGCTGATGAGGACGGCGTCGACAAAGGGGATGTCAACAAGATCGCAGGGCTTTGGCGTGTATCGCTTGGGGCCCATGAAGGAGAAGGGCGAGCAACATTGCTCGAAGACGGGGTCGAAGAGCACGCGCAGTCCCGAAGGAAACTCAACGTAGTAGCAGGCGTGGCCGAGCCAGGTCGCGCGCAGCTTATTGGAGGCAGTGCGGGTAGGGAGGAAATCGGGCTTGACGACTTTGACAGTCGGCGGCGAGGTGTCAGGGGACTTTAGGTCGCCGATCAACCGGGGCCTGCATTATTCCATGCAGATTTCGTGTTAGTGGCTGGGCTTGATCGGCATCCTATGGCGGCGCGGGGCCGGCAGGGCCAGTGCGGTGATACATACCAGACGACAAGTCGCAAGAGTTGGGGGAAGCCAACACCATCGCCACAAGAAGGGTGCAAGTTTTTGAAGCCAACAGTGTTGCCATGCTTCTTGACGTGATGCGGCTTGGAGGAGGCGTCGTGGGGCGCGGGGCCTAGGTCGGGGGTCTTAGTGACGGTGGTCATGTATGAAGCCATTGATAGGGCGCAGAGGGAGGCCGGGGTAGTCGAAGCTGTTCGAGCACCAGGGAGCTTGGGTGGTTGTTGGAAAAAGGTACGGAAAAACTGCCTGAACCTGAACATAGTTCTTCCTAGGAACCGGTATAGAGGGAATCGGAGGGAGTAACGAGATATATGGACAGACGGAGTTGAGCTTCCTCTGAAAGTAAAGGTAGATTGAGTTTTGTTGCTGCTTCTCAGGTACTCGGCGTCAGATAAGGATGGATCAATGACGCTGGTCACCCATGACAGCGCCTGTTGGTGGAGTTATCGGACATAAAGTACGGATACTGGACACAACTGTACCGATGAATTGTCCGTATTAGGGAGTCCGGCACTAACTCCTTTGTCGCGTCGTCCTTCTTTACCTAGATACCTTGCTTGATACAGCCCTCACTCTCACATATAATGAGGTCAATCGTCCCAGTTGGTCCATCGGCAATCCGCCGCATTTGTTGCCCTCTCATAGACACGTTACGATCGTTTACGGGTTGTTTTTGTGCTCAAAATCGATACATCATCTTCTTGTTCGATCTATCGTAAACCAACCAGCTCTTATGCAGATTCGGCTGCGTTTTTAATATAGAGAACTGGCTGCAAAACAGCCACTGCTTGTCCCTTTCACCGAGTTGGTCAGTTCGATAGAATGAATGACAAGCAACGTCCCAAGCCGACCCCTTTAGCCATGGTCTTAGAAGCTCCAGCTGTGTCTCACAAGAGCAACTTCGTCACGCTCCCACTCCTGCCTCTCCATCGCCCGCTTGTATTGCACCTTTGCCTGACTCATGTTCACCGGCCACTTGTAATTCATGGCCAGCACCAGCCGATGTGTCTCCTGCTCTTCCTCTCGCCGCATTCGGTGCGTCTCGTCAGACCAGGTGTGTCTTCTTGGAGACTCCGAATGTTTGTCATTCAACATATCGGACTCTTCTTCTTGGTTCATCTCTTCGAAAATCGCCATCGCCTCTTTCACCAGCTCGAGACTCAGATGCCGCGGCGCACCAATTATTTCTGTATGTATGTCGCCTTTTTGGGGCTGAACTTCACCTACACTCTTGGCTTCGCGCCCACTAGGGCTTGCAGATGCGTCGAGAACACCAAGATTCTCATCCTCTTGACCGGTCCATCGTCGTAGCTTGGCAAGACGATATGGGATTAGTTCAAATCGAACTGTCTTAGTCAAAAGCCTGTTCCGAAGTCGGTACAGCTCGGTCTGGCAGTCCTGCATGATGCCGCTGTATAGAGTATAATTGGCTTTGCAGCCCTTTGCTCCGTCTTCCATGGTACGGCATTCGCGAAGCCATTCTTCCACTCTGATTTGCGCATCCAACGGTAGGCGGCGTTCTTGGACAAGACTCCGTATATCCCAGGAGTCCGCATCGTCAAACCCATTCTGCAAGGTCTTAAGCTTCTTGTCGAGTCGTGAAATGTCACTATGTCTGTACACTGCAAGAGAGGAGGCTTGCTGGATAGCCTGGTCGTTCACAGCCTTGCCGAGCTGGAAAACTGATCCAACTCTAGCTGGTGGTTGTGTTGTTGTAGTCGCCATTGCCAGGTTGCTCTTGGAATTGTCATATGGCTTTTGCTAAAGTTCCCCTGCATTTAGGCATGGTATTTCCATGTCTAGATATTTACCTCGTCGACTGGTGATTATTTTTGCGATGCTTTCTCCGAAACTCACAGTGCAGTACCGAGCATGACAACCCAACGATGGGCGCTTTTCCCGCCAAGGTCCTCAAATGGAGTTATCGGCCATGGGCTCTACAAAGTCAACCAACGCACGAAGGCGAAGCGGTGCTGGACCCCAGACAACAAGCAGAAATTGAAATTTGATGGTGACTACGCAGGTTCCCTATAACCGTCATTATCCGTCGTCATGGTATCGAAAAACAAGAAAACCAAGTATGCCCTGGACCGAAACTGCGCCTGAACGCTCAGCAAACAACCGACAGGAGACTGTCCTCACAAAGGGCGTCCATCGAGCCGCCCAAGGCTTCCTAAAAACAGTTTACAGATCCAGATTCCTGGTATCCTCTCTCATCTCGTCACTCCCCAGCTCCTTTTCGAGCTCGTCGGTAACGAAGCCCTCATAGTCGTCGAGGTTTCTCTGCACATGGATCTTGAACTTGATGACATCATTGAGCATCCGATCAATCTCCGTATGAAGCTCTTCTCGCAAGGAGTTTGCGCGAAGAACAAGCTGTTCGTACCTGCAACCCTCATTAGTATCAAGGCAGAGCCACGCACGACACATGTCAACTTACTCGATACTGGTATTCATCTCGCGTTGCTCCATTAGCTGTACTGATTCGGTCAAGGTCGCTCGCATTTTGGCGAGTTCCTTTTCCATCTTTTCGATTTGTGCGTCAGAGGCCATCTTTTGCGTCGTTGTCACCTGTGACATGCCGGTTAGCAGCAGCACCCTAATATCTCTAGCCTCTGTTGACCATACCTCCTTCGTTTTCTCGTACTCCTCCTCTGCGGCACGGACACGGTGTTCCAGGGCCTCAACCTCGTTACGTTTGTCCTCGATCGCCTCCTTGATACCATCGAGTAGGTCATGGTCCTTCATCATCATGTCTATGGCGACGGTCCTCCTCTCGGAGATCTCTTTCCTAAGTGTGAGGAAGCTGCTCTTGACCTGGCCACGCAGGTCGAGGTTAAGAATGTGGGCAGGCTGGTACCCAGTGACAGGATCGGCAAGGAGGCGGTCGCTTGAGGAAGCACTGCTGGATCCCTTGAGTTGCGACGCGCTGAAATCTGGGCCGTCATTGACCGTGACCTGTAGCTCGTAGTCCTTGCCGTTGGCGTTGACCGCCGTCGCAGGTATCAAGCCAATTTGGTACGCCAGGGTGTTATACCTGTCGACCATTCGTTCGAGTTCATCAAGCTTTCTGCTCGCTTCAAGTTCTTTGTCGGCGACCTTTCTCTTGACTTCCTCTAGCCTTTGAGTAGCGGACTCAATGCCCTTCTGCAAGCGTTCTCGTTCAGACGTCATGCGATCGATATCCTGCATGCTGATGCCTAGATCGTCCACAGCCTTTTGCAATCCTCGCCGCTCGTCCTCGACTTCCCGCAGCTCCTCATTAAGTTTTTCAAGCTCCTCTTGTAGAACCTGTATCCGTGTTTCGTATTTGTCGGATCTTTGCATTGCGAGTGCATTGTATTCCTCGAATTTGACCTTGTCTTCTTCCATGATTCTGAAGTGATTGTCGAGTACAGCGGGATCAGGAGTGGACTTCTCGAGATCTTCGATCTCGCGCAGCAGCCGGCTATTCTCCCCTTCAAGCATCTCAAGTTCGGAGGTGTATTTGGAGTTGGACTGCTCGAAAGCCTGTGCCATCCGTTCTATGTGAGGGGCCAATGCTCGATTGGCATCCTCATCGTCGGCGTCCTCGTCCATGGCAAGCCAGTCCCTATATGCGCTGCTTAGAAAGTCGAAGATGATATGGTCACCGGTCACATCAATGCCACTCTCGAGGCACGCATCGTCGTATCGGTTACAAGCATAACCATCCAACATCTGCGCCAGTTGCATCATCCAGTGCAGCAGTCCCAAGAAAGTACTCCAGTTTTGACCACCAACAGCTGCGATCTGACTTTTGGTGATGCTTCTTTCGTACGGATATCGAAGCTGCTTCAGAATTGGCGGTACCTCTTGGTCGATATTCTTCTGGAACTTATGGCTCGGATCGATGCGGCGGTACAACCACTGGAACATGTAGTTGAAATCCTTCTGTGTCGGAGATTTGATAATATTCTGAGAAAGAGTATGCTTCATCTGCATTTCGAAGTTGTTCTGGGCGAGGTAGTCCAGCAGTTCCTGTCCTATTCTGGCCTGGTATGATCGGTCTCTCAACGGGCGAGGGTCTCGGGGCACGCCGGCAGGTTGGGGTGCTTGCTGGAAGAAGCTCTGGTGGCTCATTGGCCCAGCGTTGGAAGTTCTTGCACGGTATACACTGCTCCTCCTATCCGCATCTTGCGAAGAACGTCCCGGTGCTGGTGTCGGAGCAAAGGACTTGTCGCGCATCGAAGTTCGCTTCACGGAGGAAAGGCCAAGGTCGGCAAGGTTGGTACCGGACGAAGAACGCTGGAACATGGGCTGGCTAGGTCGTGATAGCGCCAGCGAGTGTCTGGAGCCTGACATTGAGCGTCCATGGTTGTTTGAGTATTGCGCACCTGCGCCTGAGGCGGATCGTTTCATGGCGGATTGGGGTTGTGGTAGGCCGGTGTTGTAGTTGATTCCCACTAAGGTCTGCGCGATGTATCAGCGAATCTAGTTCCATGAAGGCTATGTTGTCGCGACACGTTCGTCTCAGGGGTAGAGCTGACCTCTCTTGGTCGGCGCACGCTCCACAGGCCGGTGTCTTGCGACATGGTGGGAGAGTGCCAGACGGAAGTGATTCGGGGGTCTAGTCGCAGCCCACTGACTGACGAAGAGACTGGGATATTGAAGTGAATATATCCGTAATATTTGGCAGTTGCGAGTGGTTTCGCAACAGTTGATAGTCAAGGTGTCGCAGTTTGCGCACACGCGGTTGGGTTGTCGATGGGTGTGGGTTGGATAACGAACGGGAGCAAATGTTGACGGTGTTGTTGCTCTGGAGGTAAGTAAACAAATCACGCGGCCCGTTGTTGATTGGCTGCGCACCCCCTCTCCCCTCTCGAACAACGGGGCCTGGACCACTACCTATGTATCTCACTGATGCCCAGCACGTGACGAGGGGTAGAGTGGACTTCCAGACGGACTTGCTCGGCACTTCGGCGCGTTAGGTAATCAATCTAGACGCTCCCCAGCCGCTGCTGGCGCGAAGCCTCGGTCCAGAGCCGGGCCACCCATTACCACGTATCTGTGGCAGGCGATCCATCCGTCGGCTTTTCCTCCATCCTCCAGTTGCATATGCCACTTGCTCTTCATCGCCCTTGTCACAAAGCACCTCCTCCAATGAAGGAGAATGCGACGGGGTTGACAAGGCAACATACTTAAGATGGCGATTCGAGAGGATATCGTCGCTTCGGCGGTACGCAGGCCCTCCCCCTATATTTGGCGACTTGAGGCTAACTTCAACCCAGACGCAGTGTTAGTATACTACAAAGCGGGTGAATATGTGCCAGCAAACTGACCGTCTTGTAGTTTTGCAAGACCCAAGCGTTGCGAGCTCATCGATTGAAAACCGCGTGGCATTCCTGCGGACGAAGAACCTTACCCAAGAAGAGATCGATGCCGCGTTGGCAAGAGTAGGCGCTCAGCCCGTACCGGCTGCTGCGGCGGGTTCGACGACAGTCGCTCAGCAACAGCAGCAACAACAACCGTACTATCAGCCCTACCCCCCTCAGTATGCCGCCTGGCAGCCACCGCCAACGTCCCCTAAGAGAGATTGGAGAGACTGGTTTATCATGGCAACTGTTGTCGGCGGTGTCAGCTATGGTGCATATACGTTGGCCAAGGTACGACTTTCGTGTTTGCAGGTCATTGAAACAGGTGTGGCTCACAGTTTGTTAGCGATACGTGTATCCTCTGATTGCGCCACCGACTCCCGAGAGGCTTGAACAAGACAAGAAGTCGATCGAGGAGCAGTTTGACAAGGCTTTCGGCCTCGTCGAACAGCTCGCAAAGGACACAGAGGAACTCAAGGCGGCGGAGCAACAACGCACAGAGAAGCTGGACACGGCTCTGGCGGACCTGGAATCGATTATGCAGGAGCTGAGGTCTGCGAATACGCGTCGGGAGATTGAGACACAACGCGTCAAGGACGACGTACAAATTCTCAAGGACTCGATCCCGAAGGCCATGAACACCCAGAAGGACCTCACCGACTCGAGACTGAAGGAGGTGAACTCTGAGCTTACTAGCCTCAAAACGCTGATTACCCAGCGCATGAACGCGGCGTCATCGGCCAGTACGAACAATCTACGGACCGGCGGAAGCGCTGCGTCTACTTCTTCAGGACTGAACCGCCCTGCTGCAACGGGTGGTGACAATCAAACGGGCACTACCGAGGCGGCTGCCAACTCTGATACGCCCAAGACAGTTGGCACGCCCACATATAACCGACCCTCGCCTTTCAGTGGCGCCACAGGCGCAAAGGCGTCAATTCCGGCATGGCAGATGGCCATGGCTAACAAGGAAAAGGATTCCGTAGTGTCTTCGACACCACCAAACGAAACTGGGGACGGCAGCAGCTCACAACAGCAATCAGCCGGAAGTGTGTAGTACCGTATCGTGATTTGAGTCGACGTCTGTACAGCAAACAACATCAAGGATTTCATTGCGTTACGGAGTGGGAAACAGCCGATATAATTGTGCTTTGGGCTCGATTGTATACTTGTACTAGATATGAGCATTGAAAGCTAGTACTCTGATAATGGCACGAAGTATCTGAATGACAAATTTGGCGGCCCAGGACTAAGTGCAGAAGCCAGCTATGAGCCCTAGAACGCTGCTTCAGGGTTGTCGACATGAACGCGAAGCTGACGCGTTCTTTGACTTGGTTCACACGGGACGACTGCCATTCGCGTGCTGCTACCTTGATCCTTCTTATGCGATGAGGGTCTAGTGAGGCAAATCTTCGGCTTACCCTTGGCGGTGAAGATTGGGTGCCGAAGGGCAGGCCGGGCTGTATGTACATTGCGCAAACAATCGGCTTCGTTGCTGAGCTGTGACTTGACGATATGGCCGACAACTGATTGTCTGATTGTCTGACGATGTCTCAAGTCGGACGGCAATGAGGCTGGTTGCACCGGAAGCAGCCAGCAGGTGCCGACCATCGGCCGGTGCTTTTTGCCGGGGCCGTCCGTAGCTTTGGTTATGTTTCCTTTTTTTTCTGAGCGACGTTTGAGCAGCATGGGCATATGAGCAGGGGGCCACTCAAACGATGTAGCCTGAATCTCTTTGTGCTATCGATTTGGCAATAGGTGCAACTCTTGTTCTATACTGGGTACCTGGCTCCTTGCATGGAGCAAAGGTATACACTGGGTACTGAATTACTATGTACGGTAGGAAATGCAGTACGTATTGAATGAGTGGTGTTGCAAACACCTTCGATCCGTGACTGATCCCCCGACTCCGCTTTCCGCAACTATTTCCTCTTTCGTTCATCCTTGCGGTTCTGCCCCCAATGATAGACGCACTGCCATGGCTGGTTTCTCGCCGAGTCAGGATCGAAAGTGAAGACAAAACAGCTCAGCTACCAGGTCTATCCCCGCACCGCATATACCATCTTGGCTATTCATCGTTACACTAGGTATCCGTATAAGCAACTGACCTTCTGCACTCACTCCACCCTTCAACTTCGAGGTGCATGTCCCTCGCAAATATACCTAGTTTACCCCGTGCCAAGTAACTAAAGAACTGCACATCGTTCTCCCCGGCCACTTCTGGGTTCTAGACTCCTTCGCATTACGGTGCTCTTGGCTCCCCCTCGCCACTTACATTCCCTATCCGACCCTTCGCTTATCCCCCAGTGTGGTTGCTGGCATTGGCCAAACTAAATTACTATTAGTGATGGAATTGTCTTCCCCCTCGGTGTGGCCTCTCTCACGACGTGACGACATCGGTATCCTCCGGCAGAAGACACGTTGGTCTAAATCGAGGAGCTAATGGTGCGATGAGTTGGACTAAGTAAACCATGTCTGTATCCAGCTGACAACCACAAGTGATTCGTCGATTAAATTCCGTCGTCAACCGAGGCACATGCCAAGCGACATGTCACCGACTTGTTCACAGTTTACGTCCCTCGCCTCTCGTACATCAACCACTCTGGTCTCTTTAGTTCCCCGTTTACCTTCCATACTTTTTGCTTAAACTGTCGCGGTAGCATTCGGTCTCATGTGCCGATGTTGCATTCGGACTCTTCTTCCATTCTTCGTCCTGTCTTCAAGCACGTTCCCACGACAGCGACTACTTCCACTTTCCTCTAAGCCCTACACTACAATCTCAGTCGCCCTCTTCGCGAGTCCATCTTGGCACACTGTCTCCAATATCGAAATACGTTCAAGGGGCCGATCCGTGGGGTGGTGGTGTGGCTACCGCATCCGTTGTCAGGGGACCGCAACCGACCGTGTATCCATCCGAACATCTTGTCGACCCCAAGTCCTTGACCGTTGCTACCTCACAGTGGACGAAATTACAGCCTTCTTATTCCGGGGTAGCGTGTCGTTGATGTGTTTCAATCCTGTAAGGCAATAGAGCCTTCTTGCTTCTTCCTCTCCGTTGAATACCCTTAACTAGGCGCCCTCTGCCGTCCCATTCTTCTGTCGAAATGTCTACATCATCGTTCACCTTCCCAAATCCCCTCAACATGCATCCTGCGCAGCTCAAATTATTACTCTCGCTATTGCCCAAAGTACCCTTGATGGCGCGGGTGGCCCTTCTTCACGTCTTGCACTTATCCAAGTCGTCGCAGTATCTTGACCTGCGGAGCGACCTCATTGTCTCGGTCCTACGTTCATACCTGCAGCCGAGCAAGCCACGGTCCATCACTTCCACCCAGAAGCTCGCCAACCGGGATAACGGCGTAAAGGGAAGAATATGGGTCTCCACATACGCCAGTTCGGTCCCGGAAACCGATGTTCGTGATGCGCTGGTTGGGGCCATTCAGTCACTGAGGACACCAGATACACCAGAGATTGCTCTACGATTGCCGGACATTGTGCCCGTCGAGGGTGAGTGGACAGGTTACCGTTCTGGTGCCACGAGCGAGGAACGGCAACCCCAGATCGGAGAAAAGGAAAAATACGAAAACCTCCAAAAAGAGGTCACCAGTCCCCTGACGGTCTTATACTTTCATGGTGGAGCATACTACCTCCTCGACCCGTCAAGTCACCGTCCGACTACCAAGAAGATAGCCAAGCTGACTGGCGGACGAGTGTTCTCCGTCCGTTACCGACTTGCCCCGCAGAACCCCTTTCCGGCGGCTCTGCTGGATGCTCTCATTTCCTACCTAACACTTCTATATCCGCCTTCCGACGCCTACAATCAACCGGTTGACCCGAGACATATAGTTATTGCTGGAGACAGGTAAGCCGTACAATGCCGTCGAACCCAAGGTTACAATACTAACCAATTCACAGTGCCGGCGGCAACTTGAGCCTTGCCTTGCTACAACTCTTATTGGAACTGCGCCGACAAAACAGAAGAATCCGCTGGCATGGCGAAGAACGAGATATTTTACTACCTGGCGGGCTTGCTCTGAACTCCCCATGGCTCGACATTACACAAAGCTCGGCAAGCTGGGACGTGAACAAGGACTTTGATTATCTTCCGGCTGCTGAGGTATATGCTAAGCACAGTCCGCCACCATGCGATGCATGGCCCGCGAACCCCCCACGAACGGCTCTGTACGCAGACGATGATCTTCTAGCGCACCCGCTGGTGACACTTGTCATGAGCCGAAACTGGAAAGGCGCGCCGCCTGTATTCATTTGCACTGGATGGGAGTTGCTGGCGGACGAAGATAAGTACATGGCTCGCAAACTGCACGAGGATGGCGTGCCAGTAGTGTTTGAAGAGTACGAGGGCATGCCGCACTGCTTCTCCCTCATCCTGACAACAACGCCAAACGCCAGGCGTTGCTTCGACGGCTGGACTGGTTTCATGAAGAGGATCATAACGCATCCGGATACCATCAGTTCCAAGGCTATTTCAGTCAAGGCCAAGACACTCGAGGAAGTCCCTCTAACCTTTGAGTCTTTGTTGAGTGATATCAGCGAGGAGGACATGCGCCAGAGGGTCCTAAAGAAGACAGAGGCGAGTTTGGCATCCTCTCCAGAAGTAGTACCAAAGCTATAGAAACATCAACCTATCAATGAGCTACGAGCCCCGAGAAAGCACCGATGGTTCTATATTCAACATCATACGATGTAACTCTTCTTGAAGCCATGGGCCAAAGAAGGCATGACGGGATGAACGTATCTCCGAAGTCAAGACAAGGCTCCAAATGGCAATTGTAGGAGCTTGCGGGCGACACGCGCAGATACCGAGTCGATCCCCTCGGTATTTGTCTGCTTGTGATGAGCTGGCTAGTGGACAATGAGCGTGCAGTTCCGGCAGCCACCCATGAAGAAGAACGCGGCACGATATCGAACGACATAGTTGAGTTGGCACCCAGTTTCGGCGGCGACTGCGCTCGCCCCCAGTGCCTAACAGTCAATGGCTACAAATTTCCCCGAAAACCAGGTCCGCCACGCAGTGGAACCACCCCCGGAAGCCCCCTCTACCTACCTACCTACTGAGGCAGGCACGCACGTACTAATTACCTAGGTAATATCCGTATACATACCTAACGCATACCCATGCCCCCCTTCCCTGTCAGAAACCTTGTTTAAGCTACCTAGATAGGTACGTAGGTACGACGCAGAACGCGACGCAGCGGCGCGCGACGATAGGGAAGAAAAGAAAAAAAGAAAAAAAAAAAAGAGAAAAAACCATCTCGTTTCCCATCACTCACACCGGGTGGTGACATATCGAGATTTCTGGTCGGATTTCACAGTCCACAGGCAAGACCACACCACCTTTCATTGTATACCCGCACTACCACGTGGATTGTATTTCCCCAGAGACTTGCAACCTACAGAATGGAGCGCCACCAAAAGACTGTTTCCAAGATCGCCGCCTCGGTGCGGTCCTTCTTCGACCGCCGAGAGCCGTACCGCATCTTCCATGGCTCGACCAACAGCACCCGGCCCTTCCGCCGGGACCGCTTCGTCGACATCAGCGCCCTCGGTAACGTCCTCGAGGTGGACAAGACCCGCCGTACCGCCCTTGTTGAGCCCAACGTGCCCATGGACCGCCTCGTCGAGAGCACCCTGCGCCACGGCCTCGTCCCGCCTGTCGTCATGGAGTTTCCCGGCATCACGGCCGGCGGAGGCTATGCCGGCACTGCGGGTGAGTCTTCAAGTTTCAAACACGGCTTCTTTGACGATACCATCAACGAGGTCGAGCTTGTCCTGGCCAATGGCGACGTTGTCCGCGCCAACCGGAGTGAGCGCGCTGACCTCTTTCGCGGCGCCGCCGGCGCCGTCGGCACTCTTGGTGTCACCACCATGATCGAGCTTCAACTCATCGAGGCCAAGAAGTATGTCAAGACGACATACCACCGCACTCATAGCGTTGCCGAGGCCGTCGAGACCGTTCAGGCCGAAACCCTCAACGCCGACAACGACTACGTTGATGGCATCCTCTTCTCAAAGGACCATGGCGTCGTCATCACCGGTAGGCTTACGGACGAGATCCCCGAAGGCAGCAAGCCCCAGACTTTCAGCGGCGCCTGGGACCCTTGGTTCTACATGCACGTCAGGGACCGCACACTCACCGCCGGCTCGGGTCACGGAGACGCCGCGGCACCTGTTGTCGACTTTGTGCCGCTGGCCGAGTATCTCTTCCGCTACGACCGCGCCGGATTCTGGGTCGGCGCCGCCGCCTTCGACTACTTCAAGTTCGTTCCCTTCACGCGCTTCACTCGCTGGTTCCTCGACGACTTTCTGCATACTCGCATGCTCTACCGTGCTCTGCATGGCAGCGGCGAGTCGGCGCGCTTCATCGTCCAGGACCTGGCACTGCCGTACAAGAACGCCGAGCGTTTCGTCAACTACACGGCCGAGACCTTCAACATCTGGCCTCTATGGCTGTGCCCGCTGAAGCAGACGGCTCCGCCGACCTTCCACCCGCACACCGGCGAGGTCGAGACACTCCCCGCAACAACGGCGGGCGGGGGCTCCAGCGATGGCGGCAGCATCGTCACGGCACCGAAGCCCATGCTCAACATAGGCCTCTGGGGCTGGGGACCCGCAAACCCTGACGAGTTTGTGGCGAAGAACCGCGCGCTCGAGCACAAACTGCGCGAGCTAGGCGGCATGAAGTGGCTGTACGCACACACGTACTACACCGAGGATGAGTTCTGGCAGTCATACGACCGGCAGTGGTACGATGGCCTGCGCGAAAAGTACGGTGCTACGACGCTGCCGACCGTCTACAACAAAGTCAAGGTCGACGTCGATGCGCGTAAGAATGAACTGAAGAGTTGGCGCAATATCGTCAAGTCCAAGCCGCCCATCGGCGGGCTCTATGGCATCTACAAGGCCATTCAGAGCAAGGACTATCATCTGCACCGCCATGCTGAGTGGAAATACAAGGGTGAGAAATGAGGGGCAGAAATGTGGCAAAGCTCGTCTTCGACGTGGTAATGACGATTATGTCCGGCAAAATCCCAAGTTGCACAGACTCATGGTGGAAACGGCCAAGTAAAGCTGGCACACCTTTATTGTCGTGTGATATTGCCCATAGGTAGGCCCTATAGCGGCAGAGAAAACCGGCCTCAAAGTTTGAAAAACCGGATATGTATTAGTAGCGTAGCATCACGCCCACCCGGAAAAAGGGGGCTAACAATTTGGCATATAGACAAAGCGTGATATCGTACGGCGCATCGGGTATTTTGGCCTGGAGATATTTCAGCAAAAAGAAAAGAAAAAGAAAGAGAAGAGCAAGTATGGCGCAAAGAGAGAATGCAAAAGCCGTAGGTCCAATTCATTCATTTCCACTTCCAGCTTCATCCATGGCGATGCTCAAATACGCCCGTCTGGCCCGGTATATACAAATGGCCCTAATATGCGGTGCTATTTCCACACGACATGGTTTTCTCTCCTGTCGAGTACTCCCGTCTGGTCGCGATCCGTGACGCGCTTCTAAATGTTCCTCCGCTGATTAAACTACCTCGCGCTAGCCGTGCTTCCTCAGAAATCATGATGTCGCAAGATCTATGCATCCCAACTCTATCTGTTCGCGGTTCCCAAGGTCCAAAAACATGCTTTTTCTGCAAAGGTGCAAGGCTCTATGCCTTGACGCTGTAGGTACGCTGGAACTTCTCGTTGACGTGCTCAAGGTAGTAAGTACCGGGTGCGATGGTGGAAGGGTCGCCTTTGGGCTTGTAGTCCTTCTGGAGGTGAGCCTGGTGACGGAGATCACACATCTACAAACCTTCTGTCAGTAGGCCTTCTCTTGTCTTCATGGGCAGGGGATCATTCTTACCGCTTCGTAAGCCTCAGGGGCCAGCTTGCGACGGGCCTCAAGCCTGGCGGGAATGTCAAGGGCCTTAGCGAGGGGAGAAACGTCTCCGTTGATGCGCAGGGACAGGAAGCTGGCAGCCAGACCGGAGCCGTAGCTGAAGACACCAACCCGCTTGCCGCTGAGAGTGGCGGCGTCGACGTAACAGAGCAAGCTGGCAACGCCACCCCAGACGCTACCGCAGTACATGTTGCCGATCAACGTAGCAACCTGGGCACCTGGAGCGACTCTTTCCTGGTACTTCTTCTTGGTGAGGCCCATAAAGGTCTTCTCGACGACCTTGTCGGTCAGCGACTTCTCGTAGTCCATATCGCGAAGCTCGGGAGCAACCTCGGCGAAGACGGAGCTGTCGGCATCGGCGAGGTAGTCGTGGTACAGCAGACGGGCGTACGACTTGGCGACAAGCTTACAGTTGGGAGCGTGGAAGGCCAGGTAGTCGAAACGGTCCAAGCCGGTCTTGGGGAGTTTGGCCTCGCCGTTGGTGCCGTTGCCGTTGGCATGGCCGTTGGCAGCCTTGGAAAGCTTGGCCTCGCGCTTGTTGTATTCGCGGTAGGCAGCATCGAGGGCCTTGGTGTAGCAGGTCAGGGAGTAGTGGCCATCGACGTAGGGGTACTCGCTGGTGAGGTCAGGCTTGTAGAAGTCGTAGACATGGGACATGTAGGTGCCGCGCAGACCGGGTTCGACAACCACGGGGGCGTTGGGACCAACGAGCATGGCGACGGCGCCGGCGCCTCCAGTGGGGCGGGCGTTGCCCTTGGCGTAAAGGGCAATGTCACCAGCAACGACTATGGCATCGCGACCGTCCCAGGCTGAAGACTCGATCCAGTTGACGGCGTTGAAGAAGGCGTTGGTACCTCCGTAGCAGGCGTTGACGGTGTCGACGCCTTCAATATTGGTGTTGTCACCGAAAAGCTGCATCAGCACAGACTTGACCGACTTGGACTTGTCCAGGATGGTCTCAGTGCCAACCTCGAGACGGCCGATCGAGTTGGTGTCGATGTTGTACTTCTTGATGAGGTTGGAGGTGACAGTCAAGGCGAAAGAGTAGATGTCTGCAAAGGAGCACCTCGTGTTAGAACGGGCAGGGAAAACATAGAATCGACAGGTTAACTCACCCTCGCGGTCGTCGCAGAAGGCCATCTTGGTCTGACCGAGACCAATGGTGTACTTGCCGGCGCTGACGCCATCAAAGGTCTCAAGCTCGGTCTGCTCGACATACTAAGTGGTGGCAAGCATTTTGTCAGTAGGGAATTCACTGTGGCGCGGGAAATTCCGACGCGGACAGCGCGCAAAATGATGTGGGCAGGAGAAGCAAGACACGAGGGGTAACTTTGGGGGAGGGTGGACTGCTGCGATTTCGGCGACGAGGGGCAGCGCGTGTTTTTTTCCGTCCCCCTGTCCCTACCCCCCCTCCTCCTCTGTGGCCTGCGGTTCTTTTGTGGTGGTGCGAGTGGCGTGAATAGTGGCAGGAATGAGACCAACCTGGCTGGGGAAGTAAATCTCAATGGCCTTGATGCCAATGTTCTCGGGGCGGGAGGCCATTTTGGGTGGCGCGTTCGAGTAGACTGAAGATTGGGGCGAAGGGTTTTGGGGAGAGAGAGAGAGACTTAGATGTCTAGAAAAAGGTGAAAGGTCAGTCTCCAGTTCTCACTTATAAACTTGAACGACTTTCACCGCCGTTTCGACCACCCGGCAAAACAGTGACAACAGGTACCCAACGTGCAGAACGAAGAGACAAGGGTCTTCCAGCATGGGGTGGTAAGTGAAGGGTAGAGGAGGGGGAGGGGCAACGAGTCTAACGCACCTATTAGCACAGAGAAGGCGACTTTTCGACGAAGAAATGTATGATGCGGTAAGTTTGGAAGGAGGAGAGACAGTCGAAAAGGAAGAAGCTGGAGAGAAGGATAGTGAGAGAGGGGAGGTGGTATTGGGATGGGACGAGAGAGCAGAAACGTATCGAGGGGTTGAGGGGCGTTTATCTCTGGGGTTTGTCCTTCCCTTTTGTTTTTTTTCCCCTGCTTCGTTTCCCACAAGCTCTTCTGCAGGCAATAGGAGACCAACGGTTGCTGTGCAAGGTAGGAGAGAGGTAGTGACGGGGGAGTAGTGTTAATATTAAAATCCCCACTGACGTAGCAGCACACACCACAGCGTCGCTCGGAAAAAGAGTCAAGCATCCGTTGATGGGATGGGATTGATTTTGGTCTACTACACGTACATGCCCAGATAGTACGGATACTACGAGTACGAAGATACAAGACGGGACGCGCACCGCATCCCATTCGTACCTCACCATTCTCAAATTGGGACATACCATAAGAGGAATGGCGGCAGCGGGGTGTGTGACAAGCAGCAACTTGGTTGGGAAGGGAGGGGAGTGCGCACAACACGACACCAGCACCCAGCCCGATAGGGTTTTTTTCCCTCTTTTTTTTTTTCTTTCTCTCTTTTAATACGTATGTTCGAACAGTTGGTTTCCCCTTCTTTTCCCCCCTCCCTACGCAGTAGGTTGATCTACGGAGTAACCATGCACACCCTCACCCCCCTTACCCGCCCTAACTCCCCAAGCAACTCCGGGAGCTTGATGAGGTACTCCCGACAAGGCAATCGGACTATATAAACTAGTAGGTACTATATGGGTCAAGCCGCTGGCATGAGGTGAAGATGACCTCCCAAACCTCCTCAGGCAAAGGCCGGCAGGCAAGGTATAGGCGATTGATTACCTTAAGCAGATATCTGTGCCAATGACCCATGGTTGTGGGGTGCCGTCGCTCCGTGGTGTACGAGTACTGTAGAGGTGTTCGTATGTGTGCTGCCACACCGGCGGAAGGAATACACAGGCCCTCAACGCGGACCTTGCTCGCTTGGCATTCTTGTCGCCTAGCTAAGTTGTCGAAGTTTGTCATGCTTTCTGAGAAAAGGTAGAGGATGGGTCAAGCCCTTCCCGAAGCGTACGTCGTTCCGCGATGAACCATATGCCCTGCAGAGCTCAAATAACGTTGGCGCGACGCGTAAACGGGGTGGGCGGCGGAAGGATGGGAAATGCGAGATGTCTTCCCTCTATCGGTACGTACCCGCACTGAGCACCTACCTAGGTATCTAGGTACTTACTAAGTACAGGGTGGCAGGGGTACCCTCATGTTGTTACCCCCCATGGCTGACCTCATAATAGAGGGGGGATATTCACCAAAAGAGAAGCCCCGTAGTAGGGGGTGAACATCAGTACATTAGTAACCAGGCAGGGGTAATTAACTTCGGCCGGATACCATACCTACATACCAGTAGTAGGTATCCATTCTCTGTGAGAGTGATAGCAAAATACCCACAGTGGACCTGGGTGGTAGCACTAGAGCAAGAGGTACCGTTAGGCGGGACTAACCTGCCAAAGGGTACCTACCTGGGTAGATAGTACCTTGGTAAGGGTAGCGTGCCTGTTCGCATAGACTGCCTCTCTCCAGGCATTGTATTCTCTCTCCATTGGGGTTGGTGCGGTGGTGTGTCAATGGGATCGCCGTAGGCCAGTGGAGGACAATAAAGGCGGTAGTTGTTCCCACCAGTGCTTATCTTGTAGCTTTTCAGCAAAGTGAGTGCATATGTGACCCTTTCACTGCATTGCAGAAGGAATGAGTTGTGTTGAAGAAACGGTCCGACTCATACACAGACTGGGTAATTTACCTAGACGTAGGTATCCGTAGGAGATGTGCCGTACGGTGTCAGCTTCGCTAATTACCTACCTACCTAGATAGTCGGCCATCCCCGCTCAAGACATTTCCCCCCGGTCCCGCTACATACCCCTTGGGCAAAGAGATGGGATAGAAAAGGTGGAAGATGAGGAGGCTGCACAATGCCCTCGGGGCGTGCGTTGAGGTCTCTCAGAGTGTGATTGATTCACTCTTACTAGTTTACTCCAGGCCTAGCGTTTACCGCCAATTAGTATCTATCATTTTGTGACTGTGGTGGGTGGCTAAGCTTGTTTGAGTTAACTCGACGACCAAACGGCTATGCGCCTCGGGATGCAGGTATTTTGCCCCGTCTCCAACACCTTCCTAACCGCTGATCCTAACGCATCTTCGCATCTTGATTTTATTATTTTATTCAACTGCTCTTTCTTTTTAAAGCCAATGCAGTTTGTAGAGAGCTCGCCTATTGATATAAGTAAGTCTAGAAGAGAAAGTATCAGATTTTTTATTCTTTTCAGAGGACAAGAGCTTGGACCTTTTCTTTTTCTTTTTTATAGATGTTCTTGCTAAAAGCAGTGAAACGGTATTATTCGCATCCCCCCCTGGCCAGGCACAGGCACAAATGAAACGAATGAGGGTGCACCCGTACACTACAGGTGCTGTGTAAACCACCTACCCTTACCTAGAACTGCAAGTGGAAAGCAAAAAATTTAAGGTACTAATGACAGCTGTGCCACCAAGCCACCGCACCACATGGCGAAGACGTCAATCCACCTTGATATATTATCTCGTCACAAAGTCGAGGGATTCGTCTTCACAGTGGCTGAGCTGATCCTTCTGCTGTGCCGAACTTGGATTCTGCAAGCTCACAGAAGGTTCACGAGAACCCTTGCAGCGTCAATGGCAAACTGCTTCTGCCACCCTGCCGCATCTCACTATCAACCCCTGTTGACATCTGGCCCCTGCACAGCTGACAACCGCCTTGCTCAGTGTATCAGCATCCTTGCAAAGTCGCACACCCCACCTTGACTTTCGCCGAGTCTCCGAATGTCGACAACCTCCCTATCTCGCATCTTCAACCTCGTAGTTTCGGCTTCGCATCGCCGCTTCGGTCCTCCGACATCCAGATCCATCTTATTTTACATCCTCCGATGATGATTGCGAGGACCAGCACACGCGGCTTATCCACGCGAGTGGCCGCCCCTCCGCGACATGCCGTACGAGCCCTGCAATTGTGTCTCTGTAAAAAGCCTTGCCGATTTGCACCCCGCCAGCTAGCTCCATCTCCGAGGCCCTTCGACCGATTCGACCAAGTGGCTCTATAACTCACCTCGACCGGAACTCGCATCGGCCATCTTGCCCAGGTCAAATGGCCTGACCCCTTCCCCGTTTCCGAGTCGTCTAAAGTTGGGAAACTCGGGCAGAATTTTCGGGAACGCAGCACCACATAGCACCGCAAAGCAGAGAGGCACTCACATGCCTTCTTTGCCGTCCAAAACCCTCGCACCCGCCACGCCCCCACCCCCTATCGTACCATCATGGCATTGTCTCGGAAACCATCGGTGCCTAGTGTAAAGCATAGTCAGACCCCTTTCTTCGACGCGCCGAACCGTGAATGATGGTGTTCTGCTTCGCTGCCATCTCCCATAAGAGCTGTTGTTGCAGCTGCCCGTGTCCATGTCCTCGAGGCTCTGTGACATGGCCTAGATGCATCTGCTGGGTGCGCTTGTCTGGCCAATGATAACCGTTGCATGTGCTAATGACTGTCAAGACGGTGTTCGTCAAGATACCAATACTAATACCGATAAAGGCACTGTGGCTTGACGCCATTGCACTGCCGTCAGGCTGGCTACCGACTCACGACGACGGACTTTTCACAATCTTGCGTCCAAAGCATAGTCGTGCATTGTCAATACACCCAGCTTGGCGTGAGTACTAACTCGTTGGTCTGTGAAGCAAACGCATTCGCTATGACAGGGGATCGTGGTGGTCCTCTGGGTCCTCCCCAGAAGCCCAAAAAAGAATAATGTACAAGTTAAAACTCAAACCTCCACTGGGGTTCCGTACCCCGAGTCTAGCTTTTGCTTGGCTTCGTCCACCCCATTTGGGGGTTTGACATCCGGGACCACTGGGCTGCTCTTCGTCTCTTCCGCCGCCGTCACCGTCACCTTGACCGGGGCTTCCGATTCCGACCCGGAGCCGGAACCGGAATCGGACGAATCAGAAGAATCAGACACCTCCTTATGGTGTCTGCTCTTCTTCTCGCTCCTGCGCTTCTTCTTTCTCTCCCCCTTCCGCCTGTCCTTTTCCTGCTTCTTCTTTTCCTCCTCCGCCTCCTCCTTGCGCTTCTTCTCCTCTTCATCCTTCTTCTTAGCCTCGGCCTGCCGTTTCTCCTCGGCGGCCTTGAGCTCCTTGTCCTTCTTCTCCTTGCGCGTCTCCGTGACCCAGTCCTCAGCTCCGGCGACAGCCGCCTCGGCGCTCCGCTTGTGCTTCATCAGGTAGCCCTGTATTTCAGCAGGGCTGAACTCGTGCGCGGGAATCCTGTCAACAAACGCCTTGGACAGAGCCTCAACGTTGGCCACGGTGTCGGCGGTGCGCTTGGCAGCCTGCGCGGCAAGCGTCGTTTTGGTCTCGAGAGTCAGTGCCTTGTCCGGGTGCTGCATGGGGGTGTCGTCCTCGTCGCCCTCGAGGGGCGCATAGATGGCTCGGAAGATCGCCCCGATTATCTCATCGTCGGCCAGGGTGAACCTGACGATCTGGTCTACGCGGCCGGGACGGATGAGGGCCTTGTCGAGCTTCTCGACATGGTTTGTCGTCATGATGAGAACGCGGCCCTCCTGGCTGGCTACACCGTCGAGGATGTTGAGCAGGCCCGAGAGGGAAAGACGGCCGCTGGGCTGATTGGCGGGGTTACCTGGAGTCAGCTGTCCAGGAACCATCTCTCCACTTCCTTCCTTGTGTCCAGTCGTGTCGTTCGTTCCGACATCCTCTCTTGTGTGCGTAAGGCCGGCGGTGTCGATATCCTCCAGGAGAACGACACATCGCCGGGGCAGCTCGGCGAAAAGCGTTGCAAGATTCTCTTCGTTGGCCGAGATGGAGCTCAAGCTCACAATGTAAATCCTCATCTTGAAGAAGCCGGCCAGCGCGAGCGATAGCGAAGACTTGCCGGTCCCAGGAGGACCGGTAAGAAGATAGCCGCGCCTCCAAGGGATGCCACGGTTTGAATACCACTTACGGGTCGTGGGGGACAGGTAGTCGGCGACATCGTCGACAATGTCTTTCTTCGTCTTCTCGTTGAGTATAACGGTCGAGAAGGGCCGGGAAGTTCGGGCCATGCAGCGCTGCCACGTGGGCTCGGTGGTACCTACGCGCGTGCTGCCGCGATAGATCATGGTCTTTTGCGAGTCCTTCTCCTGGTACTCGGCCCGGGCCTCCTGGAGAAGTTCCTTGAGAATCCAGGGATTGCGGCCGAAGCACGAGAGGCTAATCTCCTCGCGCTCGCTAACAACCAGGTAGGAGGCCTGCTCGCGGTTCTGGCTCCGCTTGAAGAGCAGCAGGTGACCGCGGTACCAGAAGGAATGGCTGCCAAAGCTGGGTGTGTAGGCGAGGGGCTTCTTCTTCTGGCCGAACTCAGAGGGGGATCCGTCCGTGGAGGAGACATCATCGTTCTCCTCCTCGTCATCGTCCCAGCGCCAGAGGAACCAGGAACGCGAGCTCAGGTTGGTGTTGACAACGAAGCGACGTGAGTTCTTGGCGAAGCGTTGGGCGGCAACCCAGGACATGAGTATGTTGTATATCTCATCATCGGTGCGGACCTCAACGGTAGACATGAGATGCTTTTCAACTTTTTCCCACAAGTAATCGCTGAAGTAGCGCCAGGCAAACGTCGCGCCGCCACAGAGGATGACGAGGGGGATGTATACGTTTAGGTCGATACCGAGGTACTTCTGGAAAGCGGTCGTGAAGATGCTGAAGCCGGGGAAGAAAAAGTCGAGCAGCGCCAGCTGCGGCGCGGGTTGGGGCAGGCTCGACGAGATGTTGATGGGTTCCGCATACGCGGACTGGGCGGATGTGCTCATGACGAAAACGGTGTCGAAGACTTCTACAAGAGAAGCCAGTCCGGAGAAAGGAACGTCGATACTGGACTGCTGATCGTCTAAAGACGGCCCGTCCCTGCTGACGGATGCTGTGGTTTATCTAGGCCTGGAGAGCGGGGGCCCGGTGGTTCTTTGTATGATAGTCAGAGATGAGTTTCGTGAGTGATTGAAGTGGGACATTGCATGACCGACCGGTGGATGTGAGGAAACCGTTCGATACTATATACTCGGCTGCCGATGAGTTGTAAACCTACACGTGCAGGTGAGGCAACCACGTCAACGAGCAGCGAGGCGCCCACGTTGGTGATCACGGGTCCAGCCCGTAAGGCGGACGTACCATCTACCCCACCACGCAAAAGGAATGGGAGAGACGCATATCCCGTAGGATGGCTGACTATCCAATTGGCATCGAGGCGATACTGCATGAGGCCGCCGAATGGGAAACCCCTTCACGTGAGTCACTCCGGACTGCGCTAGGACAGCGGCGAGAAAAAGCAGGTCCTATGCAAAGTACTCTTGCGCGCTGCCTCCGCAACAGTTGGAGAAGCTCTCTCTGAGGGTGATGATCGGACCTTGACCAGACCCCGCTAGTTAGGCAACAGTGCCATCAGTGAGCTTGGAGGCAGGAGACTATGACGAGGGGGCTAATTAGAGGGGGCCCCCAAACTCAGCTAGATGGTTTACGAGCTCCTGTTTGGGATGGTAAATCGCGAGTCTACCGGTAGGGCTCTGGAATCCACCGTGACCAACGGGCAAGTGGAAGAATGCGATGCTTTCTATGGGCTGCAATACACTAGTGGGGAGCAACACAGCCGCGGTAGCTGTGGCTCAGGATGACTGCATATCCACCATGTCGTACCCATAAGTTAATCACCATATAAGTGGATGAAAAGAAGCACAAGAGCGTTTTGGGACGAGCGACTGACACGCTAGGACTAACAATAGAATGTCGGGTTCCGAACCAATCCTGAGCGTATGGCGTACGAGATGCACACTTTGAGACCAATGATGTGGTGACTACAAAAAGCTACGCATATTAAAGATGTACAGTCAAGGATCCGTAGTGTATGGGGACCAAGCCCAGCCACGGCCGCGAGCTGCTAGTTACAGCGGCTTCTCCGGATGACGCAGAGCAAGCCGCGGAGGGTTTGAAGGTTGTTTTTCCTTTTCAAAAATTTATTGAGATGAGTCCCTCATGCCGATAACCCGAGATGGCATCACATTAAACCATGTTGTCATGCCGCTACCAGGTCCACAACGATGGCAACCTAGGAGTATCAAATTTGGTTGGTACAGAGGCATTTCCATATGAACACAACGTGGGAATAAGCACTGAAATCATGTATCATAAGTCATCAAATCCTTCGTCCTCCAAAACCCCTCCCCGCCTGCAAGAAGGTTCTGTGTTTCCCTTCGGTGTCCTGGGTACCAACCGGGGGGAGGGGCTTTGAGTAGTATTTTGGCCGTTCAAACGCCCAACCCAAACAAAAAACATACGAGCAAAAGAAAATCAACACCCGATGTACGTCGTACACCTGAACCTCGTGATACTGTTGTTGGATACGGTATAGACAATTTTCAAAGACGGTCTCTCTACTCCCAGTCATCGTACTTTCCTGGGTGATTGCCGCCGCCGCCACCACCACCACCAAGGTCGAAGAAAGCCGGGGCCCCGCCGCTATCGGCAGGGGGAGGCGGTGGAGCTGGCGGATAGAACCCGGGGTCCAAGTTGAAGAAGCCGGGGTTCTCGTCGTACACGGGAGCACCCGGAGGCGTCATGAAGTGCGGAGGTGCCGGCGGTGGATGGTTGAACGGGGGTGGGTGCTGGTGCGTGTGCGGGGGCGCGGTGAAGCGAGGCCGGCCATGTGTATTCGGTCCTCTGCGACGCCGTCCGCTGCTCCGGCTATCGGACCTGGAGGCGATCTCGGAGATGCTATCGTCCCATTTCGGTTTGACCCAGGCGTATGTGGTGTATGAAACGTTGCTGTAGATGCTGGCACTGTCGTCGTTGTCGTCGTCATAGTCCCAGCCCCCCTGGAACTCGCAGACTTTGGTCTTGCGCAGGGACATTGGCTTGCCGAAAGGGGCTCCGGCAGTATATTTCATGAGGGAGACAGCCCAATGGTCACTCTTGATATTGGAATGGGACACCTGGGACGACCTCGACTTCTTGGAACTTCCCGAGCTCAAGGATGACCTCGAGGACGAACGGGAAGAGCCAGCGGATGAGTAGCTTGAGATGGACGAAGCATCGTCCATGTGACGATGGTGGCCCATGGCTGCGATTGGACACCTGCAGGCTGTATATGGTTTAGGTTGGGCGGGCTATGCAAAGCAAGCAGCGGCGGTAGCTGCAAGGCGCACAGAGAGAGAGAGAGAGAGAGAGAGAGAGAGAGAGAGAGAGAGAGAGAGAGAGAGAGAGAGAGAGGATTGAAAGGACGAAAGGGGGCAACTCGGTACGACACGGCAGAACGAAGGAATTGGAGGCCAAGCTCGGATCCCTCGCAGCTCAGGTTGAGTTTGCTGGTCACCGAAGAAGAGACGAAGCAAGAAGTAATAAGCAAGCAAGCAGCGAGCGAGCACTGAGCAGCAGGCCGCCGGGATGGACCTTGATCATATACTTGTCGCGCTCTGCACTGCAGGTGGAACGGTCGAGCGTAGCCGTGAGTGACCACATCTGTGGTCGACGTTGCTCGCCTCGTCTTATCCTTGGAGGCTCGGGCAAAGCAGTGGTCTATGCAGCACAATGTGCATGATGCAAAGTGCAAAAGCAAGGGGACGCCGTGCCTCACGACGCTACCTCGCCAAGCGAAAGGGTTACCTACTCGAGATCGAACCAGTAATGGTCAATCAAGGGATGTGAACAAGGCTACGGACCTTTGCATGCGGGGTTCAACACCCACCCAGCAGCAAGCCTGGGACGTCGAGCACTCACCTTCCGCCCTGTTTCCATGGCAGCCCTGCACCGATCACCATACCTACACTACCCGTGTTTCAAACCGATCTTTTGAGACAACTCAAAGTGTATTGGGGCAGCATAGGCATCGAGACTGGCAGCTACCCTATGCCGAGTTGCACGACTAGACGCATACCTATGCTATATCAGGAGGCCGCGTAGAAGGCGGAGAGATAACCAGATAAGAGAGGGGGGGGGGGGGGGGGGGGGGGGGGCACCTAAGATTGAGGAGAGGGGGAAAAGGAAATCGAGCATCTTCGGACATCGGCTTGCACTTTGAGTAACACAAAGGCAATACCAGAACGGGCATCGTAGGCCGCGTGATAGTCTATCAGAGAAGCTGGCTACTCGCAGAGCCAGTGATGAAACATCGGCCAGTGTCGAGCAGCATGCATCTACACGAGCAGTAACCCAATCCAGCGCTCCGCCGCAGACCATGGTCGCCAATTGCCATCCACCATCTTCGAGGACCACGAGACCCGAGTGTGTGGGACAGAAAACGAGGCTGCAAGTGCAGAAGAAAATGCTCAAGGGACAGCCAACGGAATCCATAATTTCAAGCACTCCTGGAACCAAAAGGGCGGCGATTCACTTGCATCTCGTTCCTGGTAATAGGTAAGGGGGGATGACTGGATGAAAACGGGGCTGTTCAACGTGGGAGCGACAGCCAGTCGGCAACACATCTTGTCTTGACGTGCAGTAGTTCGAGGCCCTGCGACCATACAAAAAGAGACCGTGGCAACCATGTCGTCCACTTCCAATCGCTTGAACAAGAGGATGAAGAGTGCACGCGCGAGCTTGTATTGCCTTCTGGATTGGAAGAATTCCTCCGGACAGACTGGCTGGAAGGGGGCGCGCCCGTCCTTCGTCGCCTGCTTCTCGGCCTTCGGTCATTAGATGCTAGGGAGGGTCACACCGAAATTGGGTAGATAGGCACGGAGGACGTCATGACTTGACATGCCCGAGAACCCAGCCGTCCGTTCGGCCCGCTCGTGGTGCTGGCTGCTGGCTGTCACAGCCGGTATGTTCACAGCTATTGACAACAGCTGCTGGGCTCGGCTGTGAGGGTTGGATGGGATGATGGATGGATGGATGGATGGTGGGCAGCTGAGCTGAGGGGGCAGCTAGCGGTGCCGGGACTGATACAAGGCGTATGCGACTTGCTTGCGGTATATACCGTAGGTATATACTCACGTTGGTGCCTAGAGTGTACAGAGGTATGCGTCGCAGCGTTTGCTTGGCTTCTGCCTGGCTGGCTGCCTTGCCAGAAGAGCCAGGGTCTTGGTATCATCATGAGGCTCTGTCTGGGGGAGTCGGGAGAAGAGAGCACCCAGAAACCTAGGTCGACTGTACCACCTGCTGAAAGCGAGGTGGAGCATCGTTGGTGGCATTAACGACTGCCCAGCGGCGAAGACAGCGCAGAGCAGTTATCAGCGACCAAAATGCAGCGATCCAGAGGGCTCCTTACCGCACAGTCTCCCGACGCAAGCGGCGGCTGGGAAAGATCACCGTTCAAGGGTACTCGGTTCAGGTTAAGTTAAACTCCAATAGAGGGGATGTGATGAGATGTACGGATACTGTAGTCTGTAGGTACAATGTACGGAGCACTCCGTACGTGGTGGATAATCCTCGTGGAGTCTTGAAGGGGTCTTAGTCCACACATTGTTGTTTCCTTGTCGAGGACCATCCCGTTCTAGTGTATCCGTATCCGTAGTATGTACCATGTATATCCCGGATGCTAGGGCGAAGCTCATGTGCTGGTAGTCAAACTAGGATCTGCGACTGGCCCTGCTGTCTTGCCCGGCTGGGGCTGGGGTTGGGTGCTCTCCCGTCCGTACCTCCGGTTTATCCAGCTGGCTAGGTACCCTAGGTATCTATCTGTCGCCGTCTCCTGTCCCAAGCCTGCCTTTCCGAAGCCGCGCCGAAGAAACACCATGGCCACTTGAAGTGGGAACCCCGCTGTTTGCCAAACGTCTGAAACCTTGCACTGTGACAGCGCCGGCAAGGGACTTGGAGTGCGCCGACGGTCGGGACAAGCACGAGAGAAGGGGAGGCAAGAATTGATCAAAAGGCCGAGGTTGTATCCGTAGTCGCGACAAGAATAAGGATGCCGTCAGTGATGGGAACGATGCCAACAATATACATCAGGATTGACGGCACCCTCTGCAGATCAGGTGTGATACGAACACCTCGGCAATTCAACTAGGCCGGCCGAGTTGTCTGGTGCCGGTTCGGCGTCTTGGCCCCTCCGTCCCAACGGCTACTACCACCGGTACGTACTTGAATCACGACGAACGAACGAGAACAGAAGACCATTGTTTTATGATCGACCACCGGCACACTCTTACTCTCAAGTTAACCAGGTCCAGCGTGCCTTGTAAGATGGGCTCTGTTCAGGTAGCACGTGGGTCCGTCCACCTGTATCCGTACCTGTGTGTAGTGTAAGAATACCTAGGTGGTTCACGTTGTGGTGCCTCGGGAGAGGATACAGATACGTGCACATGTAGAACGAGTCGGCCAATGCTACCCTCCCCACCCTTCAGACACACAAACGAACCAACGAATGCCAGATTCAGTGAGAGGAGGCGGCGGGGCTGCTGGCTTGTCGCTATGGGTTGAAACTCACAACACAGCCATCCAAGTCATTCCTTGATTCTTCTTGAAGAGGGGCCGGCCTCCTCCGGTCCGCGCCATCCGTTTCTTTACGCCGCGGTTGCGCACCATCCATCCGCTTCTATCATAGAGTGTACATAGTAGGTAACTATTCAGTAGACTTAAAAGTACAAAATGTAAAAAAACAGCCGGGTCATTCTGTAGGTTCCGGAGCCCGTCGCTGCGTGGCAATTCCTCTTGCGGTATCCGTACATGCCTCTATCTACCTATCTACCTTACCTGACTTACCCCATCGGCCGGCCGCCTTTTGCATCTCGAAGAACACACGTTCCTCGTTGGACGGGAGGTACATGTTTCATCTGCGGCTACACATACTTGTATCTTGTACCTCTCCTATCCTCCCACGGCCTTCACTTCAGCCCCCGGGCTAGAGACCGAAGTCTGGTATACTACCTACTAGGGGGTACCTGGCATCCTGCATTCACCCAAGGACAGCTTGGCGGCCCCTTCCTCTCCTTCCTCCCTCTTTTTCTTTCTTTTGTTTTTTTCTTCTTCTCCTCGTCTCCGTTCTTTGTCCCACCTCCTTCCCTCCTAGAATGAAGTACAAGTACTTATTCTTAGTGTCTGCACACCAGAGCGAAGTATTGTACTTCTACCCCCTTCACCCGGACCGTTTCTCTGGTAGTCCCCAAAAAGCCTCCAGTGGGTGGATTGGCTCTCTTTTGCCTGTACCTACGCTAAAGTGCCCGCTTACCTACTAACCTACTTCATGTAGGCAGGTACCGGCAGACCATCGGTACGTACCGAACTGAGGTAGCGTACCTACTTATCTAGTAGTAGGTAAGTCATCGTACTTACCTACAGTAGGTACCTAGGTGATTTAGGTACGGTAGTGTAGTGTAGCCGGTAGACAAGAGAAAAAGAGGGGCCCACTTCCTAATGCCACCAATAGCACGTTTGGACTCTTCGTGTCGGACCCCAAACCCAAACTGTTCCTGAATCGTCCAACCTTGTCTGGTATTACCCTCCTGCACCCGCACTCCCACTCCCTCTTTTCGCCCTGTTCTACGCCTATTCCTCCTTCTCCTCTACCACCCAAGCCTACCATTCGCCTTTCCTTTACCTTTGCCTTTCCTTCCCACGCTGCCAACCCATTTCATCACTTCGCTCCTACGCAACAAATACCAAACAAAACTCGTCAATTTTAATAATTCCATCGCCTTATACGACGACTACTGACCTGCGGCACCCTAATCCCATTCACACGGCGACGACTGGCTCGGAGCGGGCAAAAATTCCAGGCGACAAGAGAGGCACCGAGGGACCGGATCTGGGCCTCTGGGGTCAGCCGCCGACGCCCATGTTGTAAATTTGGTGCCACCATCCTCCTGATCGGCCGCAGCTCGTCGTTGATTCGCGACCATAACCACGACATCGCCATGGATCCTTTCCAGGGCAAGACGGGTAACGAGCGGAGGGCCTCTCTTCGAATGTCTGCCAGAACCTCACTCACGGCCGACGATGATGACGACTACGCCTTGGCAGCCATGGGTATCTCGGATGGCTTCCGCCCGGACAACCTCTCCGCTGCCCATCAACCCATCACCTCGACCACAAACCCGTTGACTGGCTCGGCGGTTGTGTTACGAGACTTCCCTGTCACTCAGCGAGTCACACCCGCCCGACCTTCGAGCATCGCGAAACCCCCGCGTTCCCACGATCCACTGGCTCTCCGTCACGATGGCTCCGCATCCCAACCAAACGGCGCGCCCATCTCCCGTGTTTCTAGCACTTCGACTGACTCCCCCATCATTCGATCCGAGAGCCCCTACGAAGGGCCATCCGGCCCCTCCCATCCGTACCAAATGTACCCACAACGGACAAACAGTGTGGCAACATCGACCACTGCCCGCATGTCTGTACGCTCGTACGCAGGACCCCGCGGGCCGACGCACCCCTACACTCTCTACACGCAGAACACCGTGCCTGTTGATACGAACGAGGGCGACAATATTCCCGTGGGCTTTTCAGGCCGTTCTGACGGCTACCATCGACGAATCGGTCCTGAAGGAGAAGAAATTGCCGACTTGATTGGCCCATTGGGACACACGGAAGAGCTCCCACCATACACCAGGTATCCTGAGCAAGCCTACGCAAGGAAACAACCAGGCGAGCCACAATCGGTACAAGGGCAGCAGTCACCACAACCCGAGCAGCATCAACGGCACCAGTCGCCGCCGCCGCCGCCGCCGCAGCAACAGCAACAGCAACAGCAACAGCAACAGCAATCACAGCAGCCTCCACTTCTTGTCACGAATGCCTCGGTTGCACCCATTCCCGGCGCCGGTGGCCTCGGGCTTGCTACTCGCAACCCAGAATTCGAGTCACGAGAGGACCTTCGCCTGCAGCCGTCCCGGATGTCATCTCGGACGCTGACCTCTGATACTGCCAGCCATCACGAAATCAACACTGCCGCCAAGGTTTATGCTGAGAAGGGTGAAATTAAGTCCGACCGCAAGTGGCAAAAAAGAGCAAAGATGCGTTTGTTTGGTGTGATCCCTTACTGGGCTATTTGCTTACTCGCAGTCGGATTGGTAATGATGTGAGTACTGGTCTTTGAACTGCAAGGTTTCTCTCCAAGGCTAACAAGTCGCTCAGGGGCATCATTTTGGGTGCTGTCATTGGTACTTTCTTCGCCAAGCACAGGAGACCATCTGGGAGACACCAAGACGAAGATCCCATCCCCCTCATTATCCCGACGGCAACAGTGGATATCAGACCCCTGGCTACACTACCGCCAGACCTTCCACCGATGGATACTGGCATATTCGGTCTGCCGCCTCTAATTGCGAGCCAAGCACCAAACACCTGTTTCAATGACACCACACAATCCCAAGCCTGGACCTGCAATATTCCCTTTACTAGCTACGTCATGGGCGTTTCCAGAATCGCCAACGAACTACCCATATCCGACTACACCTTGAAACTTACCACTTTCAACGACAGCGGCCCATATGACAAGTCGCGAGTCAACATGTTCTCCTGGGGCACTCAGCCACCTTTGATCATAGATCCGCTCAAGATGCGGCTGGTAAATGATACCTCTGAACCAAGCCGGGGGGCCGCTTGGTTCGCTCAGATGACGTACAACAAGACAGTCATCGTGCCGGAGGATAGGTTTCCTGGCGTCAGCACACCGAAGAAGCAGCAGCCACAATCCAAGCGAGGGTGGGGTGGCTCGTCGCCCCGACTGGGAGAGTACAGCAGAAAAGGCGTGCAAGGAGCACAGCCGGGTGACAGGCCATGGATCTGTACTTGGCCAGGCACCCTTCTTGAAGTCTTTGTCTATCCGGCGCAGAACAACAGCTATCACAAGCCGACCTCGACCACGCGCGCTACCCCAACTCCAACTCTTCCACCAACAACCTCGACGCAGTTCTTGGTCCGTCATGGCTTACAGACTGGGGCGCCTCAATCAACCTCGATTCCCGATGATCGGCCTCCGTGGGTACCACCGCCGCCATACCCTCAGGTTATCAAGTTTGAAGAGCGTCGCGTATCACTTGATGGGACAAAAAATGCTGTTTGTCGACAAGTCGAAGTGTGCGAGGACGGCGTGACCACTGTTCCCGTTTTGACGGACGAGGGCCAGCCGGTTGAAGTCACAATCATAGAAAACCGGCAAACTGTGGCGATTGCCGACTCAACAAAGCGTTGGATCCATGAAGACAGCCTCATGCTGTCTCCCCGAGACCGACCGGTCAGGACTAGTCAGTTGAGCGACTGTGGGTGCATATGGTGGTTTACCTAGCGCGGAAATCTCTGACGACAAAAGCATCATGGCTACAACAACCCGGATTTTACCATATGACTAATGTACCCCCTGGCTCATTCTCTCATCCTCTCACCTGCACGCTCTATTTTATCGGCAAAAGAGGTTGTGTTCAACATGTTTTATAGGCGTTATTCCGGTCTGGCTGAGCATCATGGGCGTATTTATTTGTGGCACAGTCGGTAGGCGATTGTATATACCTAGCGGATATCTATGGGCGGGCAAACAATTCCCCCGTCCTTGGAAGGAGGCCCCTCTTTGATGTGTGATGACAGGAGAGGACGCTGTTTCAGTCACCTCCGAGGTTGGCCAAACACTATTTGAAAAAACTTTATTTGATGTTGCAGGTTTGGGTTAGTCTTGCACGTCAACTCATGTTAGTATTAGTTTCTGAAGAACGGGGAAATAAAGCTGTAGTTGATCACCGCCACTGATGATGACCATGCTTTATGAATCGACAGCATGCCTTGTTCTTACTTTGATTCCGTGTTGCTGCTCATATCGGCTGCCAGACCGTCCAAGAAGCTGTCGGCCAGCTTTTTAGCCCTCCTCACCTCGACGTCTTTTCGTCGCTGCTCAATCTCCCTGCGCCTCGCCTCCCTATTCTTCTCCCGCTCCGTCCTCGCAGCCTCCGTCCGAATCCTCTCCTGTTCGAGATTTTGAAACTCCTTTTGCCGCGTCTCCTCGTCTTTGCTGAATTTGTAGAAGCCGGTACCCTTTGTGCGAATCTCGCTGTCAGCGTCGTAGTGACTGGCCTCAGGCGGCGTCGCGCTGCGATCGCGCTTGCGTGCCAGCTCTTCCATTCTGTCCGGGTCCTCGGGATTAAAGGCCATGGTCTGAATGGCGTCGCCGTAAAGGAGCTTCGAAGGAGCAGCAGGGCGAGCGGACATGCGCTCAAGTTCCTCGGCACCAAGGAGGCCGCGACGGCGCTGGCGCTCGAGGCGTTCCTTGTCTGCTCGTGTGCCGCGGCGAAGACGGCCAAACTCGTCTTCGTATTCTATGACTTCCGTCTCACCGTCCTCGTCCTGATCAGCTCCGTCGTCGGAGCCAGAGCTCGTTTCGTCGTTCCAGTCCTGGCCCGCTTCCGACTCGGCCCATTTTCGGTCAAAGTCAATGAGGGGAGCAGCCTCGTTTTCCTTAGGGACATAGTCGCCACGCTTCATAGCAGCATAAAGGCGTGCCTTTTCCTCCATCTTTCGTCGTGCTTGGGCGAGATTGGAGGAATCTTCTTCCGTGCCGAGAGGTTCTCGAAGGTTGAGCTTGTTGGATGCATCTGTTGAGCCGCTGCCAACTTTGTTTTGCTCGCTGTCGGCGTCGTTGTCGCCATCGCGACGTTTGCGTCTTGCGCTACCAAATATATTGTCTTTCGTTTTCGAGGGTCGCGGTCGGGCGGGCGTGGAGGATGTGGTGGACGATGCGGACATTAGGGATGTGAGCTGGGCTGTAAAGTCGAGGGAGTTGCTGAGCGCAGCGCTGGCCTTGCGCTTTTTGGGCGGCGGTTGACCGTAGAGGTTTGGGTCTTGAGACATCTTGACATGTGAACCAAATCGAAGAAGCTTCGTTCGCTTGTACAACGCTTGCTACGGAAAGGCTGGAGGAACTTATCGGAAGGGTGGCTTGGCGTACGAAGAATGACGATGTTGTTGTTAACATTGGAGTTGATGTCGAGGCGCTGTTAGTTATTCCCCACAGAAGGTAAATCGTTATCGTTATCTGGGCTTGCGGGATGCACGCGTCTGGTTTGCACCGGTCAGAGACGGGAGACAAACGGGAGCCATCCGACCACCCAGCCAACAAGCCTCTTTGGTCCTAAACAGGTGGTCGGGAAGCCTACCTGATCAAGCTTTTATTCCTCTGGAAGTGGCCGATTATCATTGGCTCTCTCTGGATTCCAAAGTAGCTGCGCGGAAGCTACAAGTACGTCTCAGCTCAATCATGAACAGGGGCCCCTTGGGAAAAGGAAGTCATTTCTCCGTTAGCCGTGCCTGGTTTAGCTCAACAACACCTTTTGGTATTCTTCAAAAGCAGTCGCTGTCATTAAGCCTAAGTAGAGTAGATCACGCACAGGAACCCCATACGAAAGCAGACCATCGAGGAACACTTTGCCGAGGCAACCAGAACAAGCATGTTCATCAGCTTAGAGAAACCCTGCACGCTCGAAGCACAGCTCTCATCCCTTCATCGTAACGTCGCACGCGCCCCGTTTACCCGGACGACACGTCGTTACCATCCCCAGACTTGCTTAGATGCTGTCTACGTTTCCGCGCCGCGCCTGTCGCCGTCGAGGTCACGATCGGTGTCCCTTCCACGACTTCTGGCGTGAGCTTGTGCAGTTGCAGTTGCTGCAGCCGCTGCTCATACGGGTGTGATGGCTGGTTCTGATATCGGTTCCAGGGGCGACTCCAGCATATCCTGTAAATGTAGATGCCAAAGTCCACTGTAATGAGCAGGATGATGGGTATGATAAACATGAAGCCCAGAGCGATCTTTGGTAGACGTTGTAAGCATGCTGGCTGCGACAGGAAATCGAGGAGGGTGGAGTGAGCGAAACTTACGAAGGCGCCGGAGATGTATCTGACAACGGTAGGATAGGCGGATGACAGTAACGAGTACGTCATCATGGCGTCGTACCACGATGTTGGTTGCGCGTGAGTATCCATGTAGAAGGGGGATGCGAGAGCAGCGGAAGCCTTTTGAGATCCTCGTCCGTTCTGCTGAGGGTAAAGGAGTAGTGCTGGCTCGATCCCTGTGACAAGAGAAAGTGTGAGTGAGGCACACACACACACGCACACACGCACACACGCACACACACAGAGGGAGGGGGAGAGGGAGGGAGAGCGACTGCAGTGGCTAAATGCAACTCGAAGGAGATAATATTGTTGATCCCACTGTTAGAACGGTTAAGTGGGCGTGAGAACGGCGTGTGTGACGACGGAAACTGCGGTGTCTGTTGAGGGTAGAATGACTGCTTATTAGAGAATCGTTGAGAATACCGGCAAGGTACCTAGCTACCTAGGTAGGTAGGCAGTGTACGGACGGATAGTCGTGGACGGTTTGTGCTTGGTGGCGGGAGGGGGGGGGGCTTGGGGGCCTTTCCCAGGTTATTGAATAATGGGACGATCCGTAGAAGAACCATTGACCACGCCGGTGGCGTGAGACTGTCTGTTAAGGTATAATGGACGGACTAAGGGCAAAGAATGAGGATCGGATCATGGGGCAACTAGCAGATGCAAATAAATACTCATACGGATGAAGGTAGCTATAGAGATGTGTCTAATGGGCTGGCTGTCTGTCTGGAGTCGTTGGGTGTGTTTTCCAGGGGACTGTGTGTTTGGGCTGAACGTCTGCAATACTTAAGCCCGCTTCTTATTCTACCTACGTTCGTGCCCTTCTGCCAGGCAGATGGACGGATGCAGGATGCAAGGGAGAACCACAGCTGCAACAAGTCTACTTAGCTCATAGAGGCACGCGTGTGCATGTTCTTGGATTGTCCGTCATGTCTTGAAACCGAAACCAACCCTTTTTCTCCTTTGGATGGTGGCAGCCACATTACCTCACCTTGGAGACCCTGCCCGTGTTTTCTTAATGCATTTTACAAAATACTCCCGAACCGTCCTCGTAGTCCCTTCCAGCGAATGTGCTGGCTTCGGTCCTCCCCTTGGCGCCCCTTAATGTGACCCCTCCAGCTGTTCGGCAGTGACATGGTTGTTCCCAAGGCACCTCCTATTAGGGTAAACCTAGGTAGAGGTTCTTTAGGAACCGTCCGCGAAGCTCCGATGCAACTCTTCACCGCCTGCCCAATCGGCAGGTTCCGCCATAATTCCCCCGCCATGCGTCGATCGCAACTTTTTTGTATTTTCAGGCGGCCAATCCTTCGCTTCCCTTGTGTGCGCATATCGCACGTCTCCCTGCCCCGAACCTTTGTGTGCCTGCAGACTGCTTGGCTAGGCTGGTCTTTCTTTCTCTGTTTCAATACTACATGACATAAAGCAAAAACTCCGACGGCCCGAACATCATGGGTAGAGCCAAAAACAAGAGCACCAAGCGTGAAGAATATCGCAATGCGCGTAGTCAGGAGGGCGTGGCAGAGTTGCCCAGAAAGAAGTTTTATCGCCAACGCGCTCATGCGAACCCCTTCTCGGACCATCAATTAGTCTAGTTGAGTCTCATGCCATTTGATTCTCCAGGTCTCGCATGGTTGCTTACCGCGCACTCTCTCGACCGCAGCCCTGCGAGCCCAGAGTCCATGAATTGGACGCAGTACTACCCTGCCTTCGCCGCCGAAGACGACAGGCCCTCTTTGGCTGGTGCGGCATCCTCCGATGCAACTGCCTTGGATGCCTCGAAGCCAAAAACTTGTAGTTTGAAGAAAGACGTTGAAGTGGTGGACATTGGGTGCGGCTTCGGCGGGCTACTCGTGGCATTGTCCTCCATACTGCCAGAAACCCTCGTTCTCGGTACACACACCCAGCATGCTTGCTGTTGGCTGGTCTGCCTACTAATCCTTCTGGATAGGCCTAGAGATTCGCACTTCGGTAACGGAATACGTCCAGGAGCGCATCAAAGCCCTCAGAGCGCAGAATCAGAAGGATGGCTTATACCAGAACATTAGCTGCCTGCGCGCTAATAGCATGAAGTTCCTCCCCAACTTCTTCAAAAAGGCGCAGCTCTCCAAGATCTTCATCTGTTTCCCCGATCCACACTTCAAGGCGCGCAAGCACAAAGCCAGAATTGTGTCGACGACGCTCAACTCCGAGTACGCTTTTGCGTTGCGCCCAGGCGGCATTGTCTATACCATCACCGACGTTGAACCCCTGCACCAGTGGATGGTCGGCCATTTCAACGCCCACCCTTCTTTCGAGCGTGTATCCGAGGAAGAGCAGGGCGCGGATGAGTGTGTCAAGGTGATGACATCGGAGACGGAGGAGAGTAAGAAGGTGACACGGAACCAGGGGCAAAAGTACGTGGCTCTGTTCCGCAGACTCGAAGACCCCCCATGGTGAGTAGGAAATAGAGTGACAACATTCGGAAGCGAGATAGTCTCAGAAAGTAAGAAGTCGTGGTCGAATATCGGCCCTGAGAAGATCAATAATACCCTTCATTGTTCATTGTGGCGGCACCGTTGAAGTTCTAGGATGTCCACCAGCGTTGTCCGTCGCGGAACTGTATCGAAAATCATTTCACAAGGGTGTTCGCCAGCGATCTACATCGGGTTTGACGACTTTGGTTGCCATGTCAGTTCGCCCGTGATGGGCGAGTTACCCTCAAACAGTTCATAGCGACGAATTGCATATCCATTGCCGGCCCAAGTGACAACTCGGGCCCACCTCGAGTCACGGACCCTGCGGCAAGCTGTAGCAATGAATATACCTGGGTACCTACCTAACTGTCTAGCTAGGCACTTAGGTACCTTGGCCACACCTCCAGCAGACCTGGAACGAACCACAGCTCAACACCACCCGCTATCCACCGTCTGCCATTCACACGTGTCTTTCGATCCGCACCCGCCTCCCCTCCCCTCCCCTTAATCGATAAGGCCCAGCCAAGCCAAGCTTCCCTCCTACTTCATCCAAACCATCCGACCCAGCAGCTCCTACGAGCGCCGCAAACCTCGACGACATACGATGTAGCGGCAGCCTATCGCCCCTTGAATCGTTCTGGATTATGGCCCTGCAAGGCAGAGACCTGATCCTTGCCTTCATCACATGCTTCATAGCTTGGGGCTACGCCGTCAGTTGGTTGCCGACTTTGCGATGGATGGGCTACGCCTTGGTCGGAGGAGTCGTCTTGGCCACCGTCATCTTGTTCGCCTTCATACTGCTCACGTCGCGCGGTTCCAGGCGCAGTTTGCGACATCGATCTCCACGTCCGAATGGCCCTGCGTTCCTTGCGCCAAAGGCCTGGGCCCGCGAGGTTGCTAGTCTCCAGACACGACAGGCCTACTCGAAAGTGCCGCTCGACCCTGACTCCCGCCGCATCTCCAAAGCTCTCGACGACCTTCTCGAGCTCATAATCCGCGACTTTGTCAGTTCGTGGTACTCCAACATCAGCAAAAACCCCGTCTTCTCAAACCAAGTCGACAAAGCTGTGCGCGATGCCCTTATCAGTATCCGGGAGCGACTTCTTGAGCTCGATCTTGTGGATATCGTTACAACGCGAGTTGTTCCAATATTGACAGCACACTTCCGAGACTTCTACGAGGCCGAAAGAGCTGTGCGGGGGAAGAAACTGAACCGATCCGTAACGGAATCTGAGGAGCTGGATCTTGCCATCGCCTCCAAGTACAAGGACGGAAAACTTCATCCCGCAGCTTCATTGTCGTTCCCTGACACGAAACTCGTACAACAGGATTATTTGCGGAATATGGTCTCTGGAATCTTGCCAAAAGTTCTTCCGCCCAACGTGCTTGCTAGTCGAGCCGTATCCACCATCATTCGAGAGATCGTGGCTTGCGCCGTGCTGTTTCCTGTGATGCAGATTCTGGCCGAACCTGATACCTGGAACCAAGTGATGGAGAACTATGGCCGCTCCATGTTGCAAGATCGATCAACGGTCCGAAAGCTCAGAGCGGCATTAGACCAGCATGCCTCCCCGACGCCAAGGTCTAGCAAGGCCACCATCATCCCCCGGCTCTCACCCACCGATAGTGAGAGAAAGTTTGAAAAGTTCATTCGGGCGATACGCAAAGTCAACAATCTCTCTGATGCCAGGAGATTACGAAGCGAGGTTGCAAGCCAATTAAAACGTGATTCCCTGGAAGAAAATCAAGATCAGGTTTATCTTCGCCGGTTGGAGATGGGCAAGCGGCTGTTAGATCAACGCGTCCAACTTCTTGCAGCGGGCGGTAGCCGGCAAGCTTCTGCAACTCTGCCCGCTCGCCCGGCTAGTGTTCCTCGGACAGTCTCAAAACTCGAAAACGCATCACTGGTCGACTTGCTTCGAGACGCATCCGGCTTATCCTATTTCATGGAGTTTATGGACCGCCACCGCATGATGCCTCTTGTCCAGTTTTGGCTGGTTGTGGACGGCTTCCGAAACCCTTTGGAGGATGAGGGTCAAGATGACGAGCACTTGCCCTCCAATTTACCAATGTGGACTGATTCTGACCGTCTGGACCTGGCCCAGATCGATCACGCATATCTAGCCAAGCCTGAACTGAAGGTCTCACAAGCCTGCCGAGATGAAGTCCGAGCCTTTTTGGACGCCGGCAAAACGGCAACCCCTGAGCAATACTACAAGGCACGCGGGGCCATACTGAGGGCCCAGGCTGCTGTCTTGGAGAAAATGCAAGCTCAATACTTTCAGGCCTTTAAGAAGTCCGATCTCTTCTACAAGTGCCTAGCAGCGCAAGAAGCATCGGCAACCGTCGCGCACGCCCCCGTCGCAGAGGCATCTGCATTGTCGCAAGCACATCCACCAATGTATCGAAGTTCTCAGTCGTATCAGTCCAAGCCAAACCCTGTCGCCCGCTTGGCCCCTAGACTTTCACGCCCGCTATCTAGGCGTTCCGGATCCGCATCCGATTTGACGAGTCTCAATACTAATGGCGGTGGCTCGGAATCGGTACCGCGGCAACGTCATTCTCTCGATGAAGAAACCCCAACGCCGTTGTTTGATGATGACGATTTTGACCAAGACGGCATGATGGACTCTATTCAGAGCCTTGACCAGGATGCAGGCAAGCCTGTTCCAGATACCAACATAGTGCAGGCCATGGAGGAAGCGTTGAACAACATCATGGAGGATAACCGACCGCAAACAGCTGAAGAGTTTCGAGCTTCGCTTTTTGGGCCCGACGATACGCTCGACCGTTCAAGCTTGTTTTCCGGAGACAACGACTCTCAGCGTGGATCGCTTGAGGTGTCAAGATCTGCTGCGCAATCCTCCAAGGAGGCCGAGAAGCCAAGTCTAGCGTCCCTAGGGCTTGTTAGCGCGGCATCGCGCATAGGAGTTTTCGTGGACGATGACTTGTTCGGCGACGAGGATAAGTACCTCTCCGACGAAAGAGACGACGGGGACGATGAGGGCAACGGAGATGTAGAAGACGAGGTGCACGAAGCAGCACCAGGCGATCTTGGACTAGCAGAAGCCATCACAGCGCTATCCAACGACATTGACCGTCTTGTTGCGCAAGATGCCATTGTTGAGTCACTGACGAAGAAGGCGGAGCTTACCAATAACACAGCCGAACTTCGGATTCTCCGGAAGTCCAAGGCAAGTTTGCAACGCGAAATCCGTCGCAAGGAACTCCAAAGGCAGCAATACGTCGTGCAGGAGAGCGATAACAGCCTGTACGGACGGTCCACTATCAAGATCAAGGCTATTCAGGTGGGACGAGAAGAAGACGGCAGAGAGTTCGCCTTGTACGTGGTTGAGGTGCAAAGAGATGCCGGTGAAAAGATGCCGGCAGCGACATGGGTGATTACCCGCCGATATAGCGAGTTTCATGAGTTGCATCAGAAGCTTCGCTCAAGATATCCTTCAGTCCGCAATCTCGACTTCCCACGTAGGCGAATGGTCATGAAGTTCCAGAGCGAGTTTCTTCGTAAGCGCCGGGCAGCCCTGGAACAGTATCTTCGCGAGCTTCTGATGCTGCCAGAGGTCTGCAGGAGTCGGGACCTGCGGGCGTTCTTGTCTCAGAGTGTGATCGCGCAGGGTACAGACATCATGGATCGCGAAGACAAAAAGGATATGATCACAAGGTTGTACGACTCTGTGACAGATGGCGTAGAAGATATTCTGGGTAATATTCCAGTCCTAGACCAGCTGTCACTGGCTGGTCAAAACCTCATCGCGGCAGCAACAAACCAGCTCAACGCCATTCCAATGGCTGTTAACGAGGACGGCGTAAGCGCTGCCGAAGCCGAAGCCGAATTGAATGCGTTTGAGAACAAGGAACTAGAGTCTTTCATCAAGCCCATCTGCGACATTTTTCTCGAAGTCTTCGAACTCAACCGAGGCAACAACTGGCTCCGTGGGCGTGCTGTGGTAGTTGTTCTACAACAGCTTCTTGGCGGCACGATTGAGCGCAAAGTGCGGGACAATGTCAAGATGTTGGTCCAGGAAGACGCGGTACTTAGGTATATTGCCCTCCTCAGGGACAGCATGTGGCCGGGTGGTGAGATGAATAAGAGCCGGCAACCGCGGACATTATCGGAGAAGAAGAAGACAAGAACGGAAGCTAGTTTGATGCTGGCAACTCTCGTACCAGATCTAGCCGGGAGCGTAGTTGGAAGAGTGAATGCTCAGGCAGCCAGCCGGCGGGTGTTTGCCACTTTCAACAATTCCAGGCTCAAGTAAGTCATCCTTCTCAGCCTCGATTGTTGTCGAGCGTAGCGAGCTAACGATATAGTGCACATCTGGCCTTCACGTTTATGGATGAACTGGTGGAGATCTTATTTGGTTAAGCTCTGGGTTCGTCGTCTTGCGTGTTGGTTGTTTGAAACTATGAAATCCTCCTCGAGTGCGTCGGCGACTGGCAAAGTATGGCGTCTACCGGAAAGTCTCCGTTCATAATGCAAGCGGGGGCGTGTTGGATGAAATTACGGGGCTGCATGAGCAGGCGTCTGATTTCCAATTGCTTGGTCAGGCACCGCTAACCAGTGCATGGCTAGAGGAGACGGTCCACGATGCGGTCCATAATGTGAAATGTTAGATAGGTCACCTGCCGACGGCAATAAGATGATGATAGATGATACGAGGCTAAAATATTTGTGAGCCCCAAACGGCTGGATGAAACGTGGGCGTTGAATGACGATGCTTCGAGAACGTTGGTGATAGACTGGGCACAGCGTTCCGACTAATACGAAACGCGTGTGGAGTGATGGCAGAAACTTGCCCCGCAGGTCACCGAGCATGCGATGCGGTATGTGGCGTTGGTATACGGAGTAGACTGTAGCAAATTCCATACAGCGACTCACATCTGACGATGCAAGTACCTACTACGTATGATGGGTAAGTATAAACTCCCTAGCAGGTAGTGTGGAGTTGTGACCCACGTACGAGAGACTCTCACTGGCCAAAATTATGATAGATGTGCACAAGAAGCTCAAAGTACCGTCGCTGGGATAATCAAAAAGCACGGCCACATTTACCTGACGAGGGGGTTAAACTTTGGCCCGATACCGTAGTAGTTGGTGTTTTTACCTTCGGTACCGGCGAGCGCGGTCGTTTGGATATGCTTCTCCGCCAGGGATGGGACCATGGTAGAGGGAAAGGGGGAACAGGGGAGAGAATAGAGCAAAAGAAATGAGAAAGAAAAAGGAAAACAAAGGGGGGGCAGCGGGGGTTCGTCCTGTTACAGATCCAGGATGGGATGAATAGGGACTTGAGTACCCGTGAGTTTCGAACTCGGGCTGGCCTCGGCGTTGAAGAAGCAGTCCGCAGGTCGGTGAATGTCGTGATGACTGGATGGTTACTGAGAGATTGGCTATTCTCGGGCTGGGTTGGCAGTCGAATTGAATGATTCTGGATTACAGCAAGCGACGTCTTGTCTGAATTGTAGTATCCACTACTCCCGGTATCTGTAGCCTGGCGACAAAAAATATGGCCGCTTTTCCTTACCACTACCATATGGCAACCGGCCATATTTTTTGTCATCCGGGTGCTTGGCCATCCTTCATCCTAGCAACTACGGATACTCCGTATTGAATAAGACATCCACGATTCGTCATGATGAGTGCCTATTCAGTATCGGCGAGAGCAGACCTGTTGGCACAACAAATACCTTGGCATCTCCACATCCGTAACAGTGATCTCCAGGTTCGGCTCAAGTCCGTGGTAATCTCAGACACAGTCATCAGAATAGAGTGTGGTTATTGATACCGCGGGTTTTCACTATTGGTACCGTAGCCGCGACAAATGACACCACATCCGGAGTAGAGTCAGTGGCTAGGGTGGGTTAGGGTTACGAGTATGTTCTATTATCGGGAAGAGGATACGGTATCAATCACCGGAACCGGACTCATCAGACCGGTCCTCACGGGAAAATAGCCAGGATCGGAGATGTTGATACTCGCTTGCTTTTGGGTGGCTGGTGACACGGGGCAGGAGCTGTTTTGCTTGCTCGGCTCGGCGGTTCCTATACTGGATAGGGGCTAGGGAGTGATACGGATTGGGTGATCGAGCCGTTGTTCTCTACTAAAATCCGCCACAGCGGTTGACACAACACTAATTTGGACTTGAGATGGCAATGGGTATGGGAAGCTTACATGCGTGACAGGGAACATTTTGGCTATTCGGCGAAGATCTGGGTGTCATCTGGGCACGGAAAGATGTTGCCGGTCAGTTCCAAAGCAGCTACCCCTGACGAAGATCTCCCTGGATTGTGTTCTTCTTTGCGATACTGCTGGAGTCCCTTCGGCCGACGATCGCTGATCGTGGATGGCTGGCGCTGCACGCAGGAAGTTTCTCACTCCTTAGTCATGAATGATGCGTCTCGGAGCTTCTTGCTTTCCAAAGGAGCGTATTATCCTTGAAATGGAGGACTGTTGTTACCATTGCTTTAATCATCATCGTTTTGTTTTCATCGATTTTCATGTTGGATTATTATTATTATTATTAATAATAATATTATTATTATTCTAAAGAAAATGTTTAGCTTCCAGGCTAAAGAACCCTCAAGGTGCCAAGGACTTTTTGACAGACGCCTCAGTCGCATGTCACTTTGAGGTCGGAGAAAAGAAGTCTGTTGTCATGTGCAACAGTGTGCGCGCATGTTTTGTCAGTAGCCCTCGTTGTGGTCCAATCTCTGAGCGTGTGTAAGCTCTTGATACCCTGAGTGAGAAACAAAAAGATTTCCGATGATCAGCGCAACTTATAGATCACAATGCGACCTGAGCCAGGTGACAGCAATGCGACTGTTCAAGAGCGCGAGGTACACAACACACACTGGCGAGAAGCATGTACCTCACCGGAGGGTACACGCGGTAGCTCAGTGTACAGACAGGACTTCTATGCCAGGGTATGGTGTGATTTTATTGGTCGATGCTACCTTGATCCTCGGCGGCCCAACTCGCCCAGGCCCAGCGTCCTCCTCCCCATGTCCATCTTTCTTTTGCTCTCCACCCTTCTTCTTTTGACCTGTGCATGTGTGTGGTTCTTTTTCTCTTCGCCTCTGTCGCGGGTCATCCTCGCAAGGAACACAGGTCGTCCTTCAGGCCCAGGTCGTAGCTCGGTAAGCTAACCTTAGCGGCTTCCCATCCTTACCTCGACCAGGAACGATACCAAGCAACAATATCAAATAATTACTTCGGCTGACCGCACCTCACCCTAGCTCTCTGCCTCTGCCTCATCCTCCCTCAACCACACTACCTTCAATACCACCACCACCACCACCACCACCGCCACCTCCTCCTCCTCCTCCTCCTCCTTCTCCTTACCCTCACCTTACCCTCACCCCCATCCTCTCATTCTCCTTCTCCTTCCCCTTCTACCAGAGACACCACCTCCTGCGTCAGCCCATCGTAAGCCAACCGATTGGCGTAGCGCCGCTTTCCTGCCCTCCAAATTCCTGGATTCTCCAATCACAGGTGCCCGGCATCTCTTGGTTATTTCCCTCTCGCATTTCCGAGCGACGACTGAGCCACGAGATCCATACTCTTCCTATCACGTCAGTATACTTGCTCTTTTGCGCCTACAAAGCCTGATTTTCTCGTTAAACCCTTTTTGGTACGGGGTTTGTGTCGATTGCTGCTCATCGCAACTGTTGACCAGTTCTACCCTGGTGAACGCCTTGGGCTTCTTCCCGCCGAACCTTCCCCATCTACGGATCATCGCATCTGCAACCCCTCCTTCAGCCTGGAATCTTCTCTCCTCTGCTACTTTGACTGATTTGTCAAGGACGCAACCACCAGTCACCATGACTGAGGTATCCTCCACCAGGTTGTACCTGGGAAACCTTCCTCGTAATGGTAAGCTTAGCCTCTGCGCACGCCAGTCGCGCCGTTCCTGGTCGCAAACTACTGCTAACCCGAGCGCGCTTTGACAGCCACGAAGGCCGACGTCGAGGCCCATTTTGCGACCCATGGCACTGGTGAAATCACCGAAATTAAGCTTATGAATGGATTCGGCTTCATCGAGTACAAGGATGCAATGGATGCTCGCGATGTTGTGCCTGGTAAGTCGCCATTGTCTGTTCCTCAGGCTCCAAGTCGTCCCGTCACTGACTTCTTTACGAACCAGCTTTCCGTATGTCCTAACGCGCCGTTTCGTTGACAACCACACTCTTCCGCTCCGGTCCGCTAACCCTAGCGTCAAAAAGATGGATCCGACTTCATGGGCGAACGCCTGACCGTACAATTTGCCCGTGGAACCCGGCATCGGGAAGGCGGCAGTGCCCCCGGCTTCAACAACGAGCGCGCCCCCCCGAGACCTCGGCGCACTCCCCACCGTATGCAGATTACGGGGCTTCCCACCGATACCAGTTGGCAGGTCTGTTGATTCTCTCCCATTCTCTATGCTGGATTCCTGGATTCCCTCTCATTGGTGGCGCACAACGCGTCTGGACCTCCACGCTACCCCTCAAGATGGACTTTCCGGCACGTTCTGTGGCCTCGACTCCAAGCATCCGCTGCCCATCAGTCGATCGGTCTGGACTGCGCTACGCTCCCGAGGTTTGCTCCATCAGATTCGGGGTCGTTGCTCTGATGCGGCCCAGGCCCTGCTAGAGCAGTGACAGATCCTCAAGGCCGGACGTCGCCACCTTTGGCCTCACCCCCTTTGCCTGGCCGCTGGCTGGTTGTGATTCCCGGATTATCAGCCCTCTACGGCCATCACACCTCTCCTGGACACCAACTTACATGGACTCTGGATATAGGACCTGAAAGACTTCGCCCGCCAATCAAGCCTTGATGTTGTCTACTCCGAGACTGGTCGCGATGGCAATGGACGAGGGTAAATTCAATCCCCCAGAACCTACGTGTGCGCATTGCTGATTGAGGCCTGTTCAGCTTCGTTGAGTTCGAGACCGCGGCAGATTTGAGGACTGCCGTTGAGAAGCTCGATGGTCGAGAATTCAAGGGAAGCCGCGTCATTTGTGTCGCCGACGTAAGTAAAAAATGCGTGACTAAATCAAGTGACAACGAGCTCACATAGTTGCAGACTCAGCCCGACATGCCGCCTCGTGACTTGCGTGGCGCACGTTCCCGTTCACCCGGCGGCGGCCGTCGACCCTACCCACCTCCGGTCGATGACTATGACCGACGTGGTCCCCCTCGTGGCTATAGCCCGCGCAGAGACGGCTATCGTGATGGATACCGTGAGCGAAGTCCCCGCCGCGAGTATTACGATGAACGCGCTCGGTATCGCTCGCCTCCCCGTCGTCCCATCGACGATTATCCCCCTCCTCGAGGTCGTTATGACGACCCGTACCGCCGGGATTACCCCCCACCGCCTGACCCGTACGTTAATGGTAGGCCTTACGACCGCCCCCCAAGGGATTTCCCTCCCCGGGATGCGGGTTACCCGCGTGATGGGTACCCTCGCGAGTATGAACGTGGTGGCCGTTACTGGTAACTCACTCCTGCTCAAACGCTTGCCTCAAAGGGGCTGTCCTTGACTCTGAATATCTAGATCCTGGAGGCACCTTGAACCCAACAGTCTTGGCCCAGAAAACATCCCTTTCACCAGCAACAAGCGGGATGTAATATGAGAAGAAGGGGATGAGTTTGGTGAGCACGGCCAGGTTGTTTTTTCCCCTGGTTTTATTGTGGCATCCTTACAGATGCTGAATGCCGGGCCACGGACATGCGGAAGGATCTCGATGTCTCTCTGGCGCTAGGCGGAATACGGCTATACGCAGCAACCTGGATGCTGTTAAGCTGGGGAAAAGTAGTTAATTGCCCGATGTATTATGTACGATTACACGCATGGATATCCATCTGAGCAAAAAATGAATTGAGTTCTTTCCCCATCTCCAAAGTTGAATATGCTCCGTCTTGCAGCCTGATGTAGCATTTTACAACATGATTTGATCGAACGAAGGATCTTTTGGCCAGGCTTACAGATTCATTGGTACCTAGAGACGGAGTAGGAGCATGACCCACCTGAGAAATGCTGGAAAGCGTTTTACTTGGCAGCGAAATTGGCTATCGTGCCCACTTCAACCGCAGAGAGCGGCCGGCTAATAATCTGCCCATCTGTTCCCTCAACCATGGCTGGATACATCCGGAACGCCCCATGGTCCAAAGCATTACCACCTTGTGTTTCCTACACCACCAAATACTCAAAACACTTGCACATCGTGACCACCAGTCCGGCAGAGAGCCCACATGTCCGCATGCACGTACATGCAAGACATCCGTCTCCACCCAAAACCCAATTATGCCGTCTTCTTCCACTGGGTATAGACGCCGATTAAACTGCTTACAGTACCGGCAAGGCCAACAATGCCGTCGTCAAAGTTGAGCCAGGCAAGGGCAGAGGTGGGAACGGTCAAGTCGCAGAGGTCAGAGATGAGCTGCAGGCGACTAGCGGCGCGCTCACTGTCAATGCATGTTAGCTACGAATTCCGTCAAGGCGACGATGGGTGTGCACATCGCCTCCGAGTGACATGACTTACATGGCTATCCTCTTAGCCTCAACAACGCCCTCGCCCTCCTTCTTGTCGACCTTGGCCTCGCGCTGTTGAAGACGATAGAGAGTGTAAGTCTGGGCGATGACACTGAAGATGAGACCGATGGCCCAGAAGCGGAAGGCTTCCTTCTGCAGCTTCTTGGCGCCCTCCCACTTCTTGATGCCGGCAGCGTCAAGGACGGTGGCGGCGTCAAAAGTCAGGTAGCCGGCATAGCCCAGCTGTCGACCGACTGCGGCATATCGAAGGACGGGGTCGGTAGTCTTCGCGTCGGAGGCAACTGCGGCGGCCTTGAAATGCTCGATATTCTTGCCGAAGCGCATGATCTTGCGAGTCAGGCCAAACTGCTTCTTGATGGCCTCCCAGGGTGCGATCTCGGCCTTTGAGCCATTGGTGCGGAAGAGGTACCAGGCGTAGAAGCGGGCAAAGTACTGCAGTGTGCGGAGGACCTTGTCACGACCAACGGTTGTGGCAACAAACTTGTTGTAGTGAGCCACTGATGGGTGGTAGATGAGAGCGTCGGCGACCATTCTGCGAGATGACTTTGAAATCCCCGGGTCAGTTGTCGGGAAGAAGTCCGATGGCGATGTTAGAAAACGGTTAGGCGTTTAGCGATGGAGATGTCTTTTGATGGGGAACGGGTTGGGCTTGATTCACGGGGTTTGCGGGATGGAAATCACAAGTGTCTCTGGCAATGGAAGGGACGGAAACATGTTATCGGGGAGGTGATTTTGGGGACAGTATTGGGCGTGCCGACCGGCTGGAAGACATGCTACCACATGCCGAGGTCCGCCAAAGAGCCCGAGACATCAGCGACGACTAGGTACCAGCGCTGAGACCGGGGGGGCGCTTGGTTTTGGGTTCTTGCTGGGAACTTGCGGCGCGGAGAAAACCCCCCCTTCTCACGTGCCTCTCCCCTAGCGCATTGCACGTGTAGACTGTCCGGTTTTCCAGCCCAACTAGGTACATGGAGTGGAGTCGAGATGGTGGACTACATGGTACATGTGCCCATTTATGCCTAAGGGTTCAATGGCTTGATTCAAGAGGCTGAGCCATCAACGACCATGGCTTGTGAAGACAACGCGTTTCTGTGTTGATCTACGGATACCGGTATGTGTATTCTCCTCTCCGCATCCAATGTGGAGAGTCTGAGTTGCTATTAAATTACTCCGCACTGCTTAACAATATTGGCGGCATCAGCCAAGGCGGTTATCCTGCACCGAACTTTTCGGCTCACCCCATTTTATTTCACTTGTAATTGATGCTACTTGCTGTTCAACCTCCAGTCTCATGACTACTCTAGATCGCCGTGACTGTATGTATGTATAGGACCTGCACTGGAATCTTGGTAACGCCGATGCCGATCTAGCATAGCAACCCCGTGAAAGGCTGCAACCAACCAGAACGCATGGGACGGTTGGACAAAGGCTCTTCTCTTCCTTTTAGTTCGACAGACTTAAGCCACAACAGCCACAAGCGTCTCCAGAAACTGAGCTTCTTTGACGAGGAGTGGCATTGCACCTGTCAGGTCTGGCAACGTGCAGTCAGCCACATATCGATGGGATAAAAAGCAAACCGACATCTTACTCCAAGCTACTGGGATCGGACGGATAGGTAATGATTCTTCACTTACTAGCCTCGTTCAGCCATCCACATGATGTCACCCAGTCCCTTTCTCCAATCTCATACCCTCTTTCTCGAATTCTCTTTTCCGTCGTCCTTCTTTACCTCCGATTCGCCTATCCCCGACAGCAAACTCCCCTCAGTACCCGCAGTAATCCTGATGCGAAATACTATTAGGTACGCCCTCGGGGCCCCAGGGGACAAGGTTTACTTTCGTCCCAGCCCCATTGCATCCCCAGAGATGAAGGAAACCCGGCCAAAACCCAAAGACCAGCCACCCGTGGTCAACCGCAGCATCGTGCCCGTTCGCTGCATACTGCGCCGGGGATTTCCGAAAAATCCTCGAGGAGTACCCTGCGCCCTGTGCTTTCTGCCCCCTCGTCCCCATGTCTCGGGTTCCCCTCGGCCGGAGGTGCTTGCTGTTCGCTCCACTTTGTTCGTGGTGACCCGGGATCGCGCGCGATAATAGGACGTGATCCTGTGATAGCCGTATGCCGAACTGAGGGGCACAATCGCCCATGAGTGACTACCCCCCATCAAGCCGTAAAGACGAGAGCTTCGGCAAAGCTGAAGTTTTGTTCCAGACCCGGAACTACAAACACGAAACATTTCCTCCGATTGCCCGTCTCTGCACCACCCCGCCTCTCTTCCTCCTACAAACATTTATCTGCATCATACTTCCGATTCAGCCTAACTTTTTCGGTCCTTTGTGTCAATGCCCCATCCCTCTTTGTTCGAACTACTGCGAACCCCGCTATCATAAGCTTCAACCTTTCGTCGTCAACACGCTCCTCTTCGCCTAAACGTAGACCAAGGCATCCGTATCCCATACTCGTCGCTGAAGCTTTCATTCCGTCGCAATAACCCGGTTGCTTTCAGCCCATCATGTCGGCCTACACAACAAACGGTACTGGTCAAGAGACCGAAAAGATCAACACCAACATCGTAACCCTGACCAGGTTCCTTACGGAAGAGCAAGCCAAACATAAGGAGGCCACTGGAGATTTCACGTAGGCATCACACAGCTTCCCGCGCTCGGCAACAGCTTCCTGACCATTCCCATTAGTCTTTTGTGCCACGCGCTGCAATTTTCCTTCAAGTCCATCGCATACTATATCCGTCGAGCTACCCTGGTCAACCTGACGGGTCTGGCCGGTTCCTCCAACACCACTGGCGACGACCAGAAGAAGCTTGATGTAATCTCCAATGACCTCTTCATCGAGGCCATGAGATCTTCTGGCAAGTGCGCTTTGTTAGTTTCGGAAGAGGAGGAGGAGGTCATTTTCTTTAAGGACGCTACTGGTGCCCGTTATGCTGTCGCATGCGACCCCATTGACGGCAGTTCCAACTTGGACGCTGGTGTGTCGGTCGGCACCATCTTTGGTATCCATAAGCTGCCCGAGGGCTCCACCGGAACCAAGGAGGATATCCTCAAGCCAGGCACCGAGCTTTTGGCTGCCGGCTTCACCATGTACGGCGCTTCTGCACAGCTCGTCATCACCATGAAGGGCGGTACCGTCAATGGCTTCACCCTGGACAACGGCGTCGGCGAGTTCATCCTCACCCACCCTGACATGCGTCTACCCAAGGCCCGTGCTATTTATTCTGTCAACGAGGGTAACTCCCTCTACTGGGAGGACCGTACCAACAATTACTTCAACTCGCTCAAGACCCCTCAGGAAAACGGCAAGCCGTATAGCGCGCGCTACATTGGTTCCATGGTAGCTGATGCGTACCGCACCCTGCTGTACGGTGGTGTATTCGCTTACCCAGCCGACAAGAAGAGCCCCAAGGGCAAACTCCGTATTCTGTACGAGTGTGCGCCCATGGCCCTGGTATTTGAGAATGGTTGGTCCCTCTGCCTACAATTTTACCGACTTGCACAATGCTAACAACAATTGAAAGCTGGCGGTCAGGCAGTAGACAGCCAAATGAGAAGAATGTTGGAGGTGGTGCCCGAGCACATCCACGATAGGGCCGGCATCTTTATGGGCAGCTTCGATGAGGTCGAAAAGGTCAAGAAATTCCATCTGTAAATCGTCAGGATGAGATGTCAACCGACGCAGCAACACCTTACGCCAACAGATGAAAACATGGCACAATGATTACGGGTTGTGAAGCCCGATGGGCAACTAATCCCCCCTGTTCTTTTTCCATGTTCTTTGCGGCGCTCTGATCACCAGACTACACTATTTGCAAAGGCTGGTAAGTAGGGAAATGGGACAGGTTTTTCTTTGCGCAACATGAGAGATGGATTGAGCACTCTTCGGCTTGTGCTAGAGAATGGCACCCAGTAGATTGGACTCAAGAGTTACTGTTATATGAAATGAAGCAAGCTACTTTCGAACCGTGCTGGAATGTATTGGGCAATGACACTGCCGTAACGCTACCATACTCAAAAGACCTTGGGGAAGAGCTTCGGAGTATTCTTCTTCCACTCCTGGTAGTCCTTGCGGTCGCCGTAGCGCTTATCGTACTTCTTCTCGCTAAGAGGCACTCCGGAAACCTTGAGTAGCAGGAAACTGACGAAGGCCGGGCTCACATAAGACAGGCACACTGCGGTAAGCCGTCCAACAACGCCGCCCGATAGACCAAGAGCCACCTGAATTGGCTTAAGAAGAAGGCTACCGGCCGCCGCGGTGGCGATGCCGGTCCAGAGAGAGATCTCGCCGAAGTAGTTGGGATATTGGCTGGAGCAGCGTTAGTTAGATTTCTCTCGTGTGCATGTGTTACACTTGTTTCCGTTCTTCCAGCGCGTACATATCAGCATGCACCAACGGGAACCAAAACGTACCTAACGCTCCATAGACCTCCGGTCATGAACTGCTCATCATGGATCTTCTCACGTCTCTCCCGAAGCCATCTACTTTTCTGCCTGTCCGCCGTAATCTCGAACGCAAAACCAGCTACGTAGATGAGTAAGCCAAGAATATCAGAGGCCTTGACGGCCGGCAAAGCGGCGAATGCGGAGGCGGGAACGGCGTTCAGAGTAATGACGGGCATGAGACAGAGCGAGACCCATGTGGCCTGGGCGAAGAAGGCACCTGCAAACCTGGTCGGAGACTTTTTTATCTCATCGAAGCGGGAGTCTTTGCCTTCTTCCAAGATGCGCTGGAACAGATACGACCCCACTGGGTGAGCAGACATGTCAGCACTGGTTCCAAGGCTTTACTGACAGGTCTTCAAAACGAGAGACTTACGTCTGATGGCCCAGAAGATGACGGCACCACTGAGGGCAACCTGTCTCCAGTTCAGAGCTCCCGTGGCTCCAGGGCTAGTGAAACGCGCAAGAAAATCGGGCAGCATTGTCGAAGCATTGGCAAGGGTCGGCGTGTACTTTGCACGCAGGGCGGGCAGGTACAGGCTTAGAGCGGTAACGGAAAGGTAAGTAAGCGAGCCGGAGAAGTCGTAGAAGCGTTCATTCTGGGCGAGTATTGACGGCACAGCAAATGCTGCCTGAATGACATAAGCCGCAGAGACGGCGGGAACAAGAGTCCGTAGCAAGGGGCTCTTGAAGTTGGTTAGGTGGAGTAGGGACTGTAGAAGCGTCATGGTGATAATTGACGTGGAATCGAATATAGCTACCCCGATGATTCTCCCAAGACGTCAATCAAGAGAAAAGCACTTTGATGAGCTGCAGGTCAGACGCAAGCTGGTGCAGGATCAGCCCTACAGTTTTTGTATGAGGAATGACACTTGGCCAAGCTTAGCCCCTACGGGAAGGTCACAGTGTGGATGACGACAAGACCTGGAAGGGAGGGCCCAAGCTTCTTCGGCTTTGTAAGTGTTAGGTGCAGAATGCCGACACGCCGGATCCGGCTTTCGGTAAAGGTCTTCGGTGATCGGTGAGTGTGAGAAGGCTTGTACATTACACCGATGAAATCGGGGTCTGGGCGGGGATTGCCCCACCACAAGCTGCCCCGCGGTCGGAGGGATTTTGAATGAGTGTGTGTTTTATTTCCCAATGGCTGCCTTTCTTTAACAGGTACAGCAATATTGCATCAAACGAGGAAAACGAACAGAAATTGATCATGGCATCATCCAAGCAAATCTTTATCGCCATCATTGGTAGGAACCTCAACTGAGACCCCTCCCAAATGTCTCCCGCTTGCTTGCATACGGAAGACTGAATGTATTTATGCTGACGACTTCTTTGGTGGGCTAACAGGCGCTGGCGGGGTTGGAAAGAGCTTCCTCTCCCAGCTTGATGCATTGGCCAGTCGACGACCCTCTCCGAAGCTGAACCTGGTCTACATCTCGACTAGCAAGAAGGCCCTGTACGACGCCAGCTACTCCCCAATTCCCATCGCCGGCGCCATCGAGAAGCTTGCCGCCGTCTCGCAAGCCCCCCCTGCTCTGCCGCAGCTCGCCGACTACCTTGCCGCCGCCCCCGCCAAGGTCGTCCTTGTTGACAACACGAGCTCCCAGGACGTTGCCGACGCCTACCCCGATTTCCTCGGCCGTGGCATCAGCGTCGTGACCCCCAACAAGAAGGCATTCTCTGGCTCCTACCGTCTGTGGCAGGACATCTTCGCCGCTGCCGAAAACTCCGGCGCTAAGGTTTACCATGAGTCTTCCGTCGGCGCGGGTCTGCCCGTCATCTCAACTCTCAAGGACCTCGTCGACACGGGCGACCGTGTGACCAAGATCGAGGGTGTCTTTAGCGGCACAATGTCCTTCCTCTTCAACTCATTTGCTCCGACATCGGGCTCGGGCGGCAAATGGTCTGCAGAAGTGACCAAAGCCAAGGAGCTGGGCTACACGGAGCCCGACCCGAGAGATGATCTCAATGGTCTCGATGTCGCTCGTAAGCTGACCATTCTCGCGAGACTAGCAGGACTACCTATCGAGTCGCCCACATCCTTCCCCGTTCAGAGCTTGATCCCGAAGGAGCTCGAGTCCTGCACGAGCGGGGATCAGTTTCTGCAGAAACTGCCAGAGTTTGACATTCAGATGGAGGAGACCAAGAAGGCTGCTGAGAAGCAAGGCAAGGTGGTCCGCTTTGTTGGCAGCATTGACGTCGCCAGCAAACAGGTCAAGGTTGGTCTGGAGCAGTTCGACGCATCTCATCCCATCGCTGCTCTCAAGGGCAGCGACAACATCATCAGCTTCTATACGGAGCGGTACGGCAGCAATCCCCTCATCATTCAGGGCGCCGGCGCTGGTGGCGACGTCACGGCCATGGGTGTGACAAGCGACTTGATCAAAGTGTTGGGCCAGATTGTATGAAGTTCTCAATTAGCCCTGTGTGTAGAACCAATGGCCTACGCTAGAATTAGGAAGACATGTTGGTTCTCTTGGACATTCCACAGCAAACCGTGACCATGTTTTACCCCCTGTCCTCCTCGCATGGATGGACATCCTGTTCGACTCCCTGGGCCGCGTTGTTTATTCGAGTCATCTAGCCCATCCGCAAACCCAACTCCACCAGGATGGTCGGGTAGCTGCGTCCGGTACACTTACAGCAGCACGATGTTTCTCAAATGACCCGTCGGAGTCGGATGATGTAGGCCGATTGCTAAAGGCGGCTAGATGCGCAATTGTTAAGCTGAAGTCACCCTCTTGGGTGCCAAAGAAGCTGCAATATCGCATCAAAAACAAAGTCGTAGATGGTATCAGGGAGATGTGCTCCTTACCTTCGCATCATGAAGCTGATCCTCTTGATATTGGACACATCTAGGGGCTTGGCGTCGGGTTTGGGCCTGCCTCTGTAGGTAGGCTTCAGGTCATCCCATGAGATCTTAACCTCTCCAGCCTCGGGTATGAAATCATACTCCCAGCTGACCGTGCTTTGGTCACGGCCATCCTCTCTTGGCGGTAGTATTTCGTCTTTGATGGTGAGAGTGTACTTCTTGGAGTCACTTTGCAAGATGTTGATGGCAAGCCCGTCATATTGGCTCAGATCCAGATGGAGCGTGCCTAGTGTTCTTTGAGATGCGAAACCAGCCCCTCCCAGGGCTGTGATATCCAGGTTCCCAAAAAATTTGGCCTTTTCCGGTGACTCGCAGTGCAAGTGAGATTGGCTCTTGCCGCCGCGTACTCGATCATCAGAATCGGTCCAAAGACTCGAATCCCAGGGGCTAAGGACTAGTGTCAACAGCGCATGTTCACATTAGGGAGAAGAGACTACGCCGGAAGGCGGGGGACGGAGGATAGATTCGATGCGGTGTCCGTGCAACTTGTCTATGCACACCTACTTGTCGCCTCCGTAGAGGTAGAGCAGCTGCCAGTCGGGAGCCATGACTGGCGGTTTTCTTGTTGGATGAAGTTGGCTGAATGCCTCGGATGCTATCTCGGGCGGTTTGTGTTTTTAACATTCTTTAAGTGGTTGCGATTAAGGTTGAGTGGGTCCTGTCCTTGGACAGAGCGCAACAGCCAATCATGGTTGTGCCTGTCCTCCAAGGTGCGATACGTACCGTTTCTGGGGAGTGGCTGTGACTGTGGCGGCAACTTGTTGCATCCTTCAGCTCACTGCCTGCACCTATGAAGCATCTAAACAAAAGTGGAATACAATTAATTCCCTTGATGTGAGTCTCTGATACCATGTGGATCTCAAGCATATCCGGTCGGCAATGAACATCGGCAGGCTGCTGGTTTTGCTTCTATTCGGCCTGGTGTGAACATTCACATAGTCGATCAACTCTTCATGGCTAAGATGATCTTCCAGACTATGGCTGATTAAAGCCTCTGAAGCATTCTTGAGTAACTCTTTCTCCCCTCAAGCGCACCGATAGACTCGGATGGCTTAATGAACGGGACGGGCTGGGCACAAGGCTAAAATGATCACGCTGATGGCGTTTAAGAGCGAAAGACGAAGACGAGCTCAAGCATTAAATCGTCAATTGCTGGCTTTGGTTATTATTATTATTATTTCCGGTTGGACTCAATTCGGAACGACGCGGAGGGGGTAAAATTGAGATCTGTTTGTGGGTAATTTTTCTTTGACATGGTTGCCCGCACCAGATCTTCCGATCGTTGTCGAGGTTTGATCCTGTCATGTGTGCCTACGGATTCTCATAGTGACATCTGAAAGTCTATATGTCTTCCTGAGAGATTGCTTGTTAAATTGGGGTTGTTTTGTTTCGACGCACACCAAGCACCGCGGCCCTGTATCAGCCTTCGACTGAGAACTCGAGCTGAAATGGGACAGAATGACAACGGAGAAGATGGTGCTTTTCGGATTCAGACGAAGTGAGATGCAATCATTTTGTATATATCCAGTTGTATATATCCAGACGGACATGGCATCGAGTGCGTGAAATGATCTGGACCGCGCCGATGAACCATTCAGACAGGGGCTTCTGTAATATGTTTGTAGATCACTTCAGCCCTTTGACCGAAGTGTGCAAAGGCACGGTGCTACTTGGACTAGTCGCTAGTGTCGTCAAATGTGGTTATTGTACTGGTTTAGGCGAAACGGCGACATGTTTATACACTCTCCTCCATAACTCGGACGGGCTACGGATATGACAACCACCAGTCGAAAATAGTAAGAGCACATGCAATAGAGAACAGGGGGCGTGTGGATTATTTCGGTTTCTTGAGTTGTAGCATTGCGGGGAAACTGTAGCCTCGTGTCTCGGCACCGCTCGCACAAGGATTCGGAAGGATGGAGAAAGGATTTGGTCAACAAGTAATAACCATACTGAGCTTCGCCCTTTACAATGTCGAAGGCGACTTCTATTTCCGATATCTCGGACGAATTGTCAATAAACCCTAGCTCCGAGCATGGAGTTTACTTTCCCGCTAGGATCCGCAGCCCTGGACTTAACTCCGGAGAAGAGGGGGGATACGCACACGCCCCCAGATCCTTTTCTCACACTGCCTACCTACAGTAGGTAGATCCCTACCAGCACCTGCCTTGGGTACCTAGGTAGGGGTACGCTGCTCGCGTCCTCGCCCTCGGTCTCAGGCCTTTGCTTTCCACACCCATTCCCATGTCTTTCTCATTGGCGCTACCGTTCCCCGGCGACATTCGAGATGGACAATCCCATCTGTCCTACTCCGTACAGACCCCAATTTCGTGCCGCGACGTCCCGGAAACCTTAGCTTAGACCGGTTTGCCTCCTCAATGTCCTAGCTATGCGTATGTCCATCTGCGTCCATTGGAAATGCTGTGTCAACAGCGACTCACAATTTACGACGCAAGATGGCAGTCACGCGATGACGTAGTTGTCGGCAACTCTGCAACACTTCAACCTATCATACTCCCTACGCTTCTTCAGGCGGGAGGGTTATCGTGACCACGTCACGAGCCAAGTCTCCAGGACCCCAAACAAGTGAACGGTTCAATACCTGCAAGTATTTCCGTCGTTATCCCATTGCAATGTCCCTGAGCGAGTCATGAGGTGTTGTTGTTCCCAGGCCATGCGATGCCTTGCAGATGCAAGCCGCAAAGTCTAGGCGCAAAACCGAGAGGCTTTCTCGACGCCCGCCTTTCCGCACCACCCCAACTGAGCCGACCTCGTTACGGTCTGTCTTGTCGTGAACCATCTCGTGTTTTCTCGTATGGCGCTGTTCACATCGAGAAGATGTAGCCGAGACGAGGACTCCAAGCTTGATAGCGCCCGTGGATGTTCCTAAGAAACGGCCCCTCCCTCCTTCTTTTCTGGTTCCATATGGGAGACTCAGAGACAATTCCTCAACCCAGATCCCACATCCGCAAATCTGGTTCACCATACCTTGTTCCTGCCTGCTACGAGGGGCCAAATGTTTCTCCCGCCTCAGCGTCCGACTGAAAACGCCCAGCATAGCATGACGACTGCGTAATAGGCTGCTGTGTCATCCAGCCAGCGTTTTCGTAACGCAGAGTCCCATCGGTGGTCGTTTTTGCGCGCAGAAGCAATTCGTCGTATCCCTCATATCGTCTCAATGGCTCGTTCCATGTAAAGATCACACCATCAACCATCGGTGGGTGTTTGTCATGCCGCAGCCTGGTCGTGGTTCCTCTACCTCATGATCCCGCACCATCCCTCCATCTCATCCCCCTACCTTGAACCCTGCCTCGTACTCACCTGTGGCGTAGACCTGTCCGTGGGTACTGCACGAATGTCGTCGTTTGCCTCTAGCGTCGGAACTGTTATTGCGGCCATCCTAGCTGCCGTCAAGTCGCATCATATGGTTTTTGAGCGAGTAAATCCATGCACTGCGCCACATCTTAGGTTCCGTCTGGTGATTTATGAGCCCCGACTCCTTTCACACACGCGACTCGTGGTCAACCTTGTTCCAGAGCTGTTCCTTACCATGTTTTGTCAGCACCCACAGGCTTGACCACTGACTGTATCCCATGTGCAATGCTATGCCCGGATCTCGACCGGCTTTAAGACTCTCCCGCATCGGACTCGGCTAGAATCGCCTTTAACCCCCATTCTGGCATACCTACGCATGTCCGCCTTCCGGTCAACGGATTTGTCTTGCCTTCCGCGCCCTTCGCTGTGAACCATCATTATGGCCACAGCAGTTCTTCTTCTTCTTTGTTCTTTTAAGGGGGCTGGGGATTTTGACACAACAGGGCATCGTGATTTCGTATGAGCACCGGGAGATTGGCAGCCAGAAACGCGTGTTTGATCAAGATAGGGCTCTCTTGACCTTGGTGTGAAGCATAAGACACGTGTATTGTAACAATCTCGCCTTTTGAATTTTCGACTACCGTGTTCAGCCTTGTAACAGAGCTGCACTCAGTGGAACAGTTCACCCAAGTTGAAACTCCATCGCCTGGTCCCAGATCATAGCTCCATAAGGTCGAGCGCTTCGACCATTTCATGCAATCCAGATGCTCCCAAACTCCTGGCCCAAGCCACCCCGTATATATGGGAGAATGAGAAAGAAGAAAACAATAAGAAAAGTAACGAGTCCAGAATAGTAGCCACAAGAATGCCACGCCTCGTCCAACAACATTTTCGCATGGTCCTGTCTACGTCCGTCTCTATTGCTGGGCCATACCAGGAGATCCTGGCATCGATAGTGGTGTAGTGGGATACTCGTAACCAGCGTCGGAGCAGTTGGCTGAGTGGTCGAAAGAGTGCGAGAGCGGAGGGGTCTGCTCAACAATCCATCAGCATCATGGATCGCGGGAAGGTGGTTGTCGCATATAACTCACATGAGGGTTCGCGGTGTCGTAGGAGCCGGGCGCATGCATGTCGATACCAGGCATATAGCCGTAGTTCATGTATGGGGGAAAGCCGTCGTCGCTCGGGTACGATTCACGCTTTATAGCGTCGTTGAAGTGGTTCATGGGTGGCAACGTCACCGGCACTGCGGGCGCGAGGTATCCAGGGTACGCCTCAGCAGTGGACATGGGGTACGGTAGTGTAGTGTATGCGGGAGCCATAATCATCTCCTCGGGCGGGGGGTACGCAGAGTATGCAAGGAACGGGGGCGTGTTGGATCTCTCACGGCCATCCTCGTAGTGTTGGGCAAAGAAAACTTCGTCGTCTTGCATTGGAGGGGTGAACTGGCCCTGATTCATGGCCTTTGTCGGGGCTGGCGGTTTTTGTGTCTTGTTCGCAGGCTTCTTGGTCTTGGTCTGAGCAGGCTTCTCTGTGGTAGATGTACCTTCCTGGCCGGCACGCCTCTCGAGGTCTTCCAAGCGTCTCTTGAGTTTCTTACCTACGCAAGCATGTCAGTACTGGGTGTCTGGCAGAGCGCAGGTGTGTTCCACGGGTTGATTGTGACATACGGTAGTTGCGCTGGGCAATGCGGTTCTGGATCCTCCGGCGCTCAGCAAGGTCAGAGATCTTGGTCCAGTCTTCGTCGGGGTTGGCAGAGCTACTGAAGGCGCTGCTGGTACCATGGCCCGAGTATGCTCTGGGTGCGGGAGCAGTGGCCGGGTAGGCGTACTGGTGTTGAGACATGGTGAACATTGACATTGGGAGAAGCTGGTTGATGTTGGCTGAGCTTTGTGGATTGACACGAGTTGTAACTTGAGAAGAGTCTGTTTTGTGGGAGGTCAAACTGTTCGGGGTGAGGTGAAAGAAGGGGAGAGGAAGCTATTAAATAAAAAGCCACCCAAGGCTCACATACACACACACACACACTCTCTCTCTCTCTCTCTCTCTTTCTCTAGAGCTCGAGCGGAACGACCAGCAAGTCGGGAGCAATGACATGGCTGGCGGCGTGGGTGCGAGAGGTCCACAGGCAGGGGTGCTTGTCCTCGCAGGGCGTCAACCTCTGGAGGTTCCACAGAGCAGGCAGACGAAGGGTACCCGTGCCTGGTGCAGGGTATTGGTGAGAGGGAGGGGGGGGGCGTGGCTGTGAAAGGAGTACGAGAGTAAACGAATGAGCGACTGTTAAGAAAGGTGTGCTGTATTTCCAAGATATTGGCTGGGGTCCGAAGGAGGACCAGAGGACACGGGAGAAGGAGGGGAGTGGGAGCATGGAAGTGTGTGGAGGTGTGAGATGAGTGGTAGGGCAGAGGGAGCGGCACCCGGCCGCGGACACAAGAGGCAGGCAGGCAGGAGGCGGGGAAGGCAGAGAGGGAGGCAGCGGGGGTATGGGATGTAGCTTTCGGAAACGGAACGATCCAGGAGGAACGGCGCCTCGTTCAAGTGACTCTTGGGCAGGTGGGCGGGTCCAAGGGATTGATCGGAGCAGACTAGCGGAATGATGGGCGGCGCCCCAAGGCTAAGTGAACTGGACTAGGGCGGCCGCAGCAAGAGATTGACGGAGGGGACCATAACAGACGACGGCCAGGTCAGGTCGCTGTGTGTCAAGACACATACGGATGGATATCCAACGCAGTGCAAGTTTTATGCGGACTCGGGATGAACAATTGTATGCAACCTAACTAGGTAGATATCTGCTCTGTATCTATATAAGTTACCTACCTACCTGCCTATCTACCTACCCACTATGTCGTGTAGAGGGGCAGGGAATCTTGAAGAAAGGTGATGGGGTTGTTGTAGGGCAGGGTCGTCCGTCGGTTGTCCACGCGAAGATACGGTGGAGGTACGTACTGGTAGTCTGAGCTCGCACCCGGGACAGCAGCGGTGGAGTACGTACCCGAACCCTTGGTCAGGTACGTATTCTTGCCAATCGAGGAAATGGTTACGATGCTCCGTACTACCCTAATTATTATATTGTGGGCTGATCTGGGCTAGGCAGGACAGGAGAAGAAGACATGTGCTCCGTACTATGTAGGTAGTAGGTAGGTCGGTACCTTGTGAGCAGGGGGCCAGGGGCGGCCGCAGGAGCCGCGGTCTGCTGCTCGGGGTTCAAACAGCGGCGGCGGCTGCTGCTACTATTTGAATGCTGACAGTGTATCCGTACAGCACCGCTATACCAACCCAATGACTGGACAGCGTGTACGAGAAACGCAAAGGGGTTTGGCGTAGTGGGCCAAACGCTAACATCATCATCATCAACAAGAACAACAACAATGACATACCTTGCTCAGTCTCCCATATATAATCGGCATTGCTATTGCTGGACTCCAGGGGGAAGTGGCACGATAGGATAAAACTGTGAAAGGGGTGTCATGAGTGTAATTCGACATGCAGAAACAGGGCACCGAGCGGCACGACGAATGATTCCATTGGACCTGCAGTTGCTGCTTTGGGCTAATTTTGCCCACTTGCATCCGCTTTCTGTCAATACACGCTCGCCTCGCCTTGTCTATCATGTGTGCCACACAGGTAGATATTTAGGAATGCAGTTGCTGCTTTGGGCTAATTTTGCCCACTTGTAGCCGCTTTCTGTCAGTACACGCTCGCCTCGCCTTGTCTGTCATGTGTGTCATACTGGGTGGGTATCTAGGAATGCCCAGCCTTGTTCTGGTACTGACAGCAGTCTCGACTCCCCCGGCAGGGCAGGGCGTGCACTTGAAAGGTTGCGGCCCGAATTTCGACCAGCTATTATATCGGTCAGCATCGAATCGTGACAGCCATATCGAGTCGTCCAGTATGGTTGTGGTCAAGGGTCATTTCGGCTGTCTCGTATTGATTTGTAAGTTTCTTGATATATCCGAAATGCATGAGAAAAGTTTCCGCGTCGACCAAATACAGACGGCCTTGGAGGAGCAGCCAGACAGACACGTTGCGTAGTGCCAAGGATCGTGACCCCTGCCGGTTCTCAAGTTACACAAGAGAGAACGTGAATATAGTGCGGGCGGACATGAGGATGGTACCCAATTGATTTTCAGCGGAAGCGGCTTACCGTTCGTTCCCTGACGCGAGGCCCGTATAACACAGACTGCTCTAGAGCTCGGCGGCCGCCGTTTTGTCGTAGGGCTGCCCGTAGAGAGTCGAGTGCTGCTGCTTCGTCTTTGGTGCTTTTTCGCTCACACACACCCCTCCCCCCCTTCCTTCGTCCTCTGGTCACAAAGGCCCGAAGTGCATCTGCCAGCGAAGTCAAAGGAACCCGTTCCGCACTACCTCCATTTGCACCATCGCAGCGCCCCCAAGGATGAACGGCAGTAAGATAGAGGCCCATCCACGTCAACTCACGTCCCTGAGAATGCCAGATCCGAAGCTTTGCCTTGTTATCTGGTCTGTGAGACAGCCGATCCTTTCACCCGCCTCCATGGACTTGTCCCTCTAGCAAACGTCTGAGGGTCTCCGGTTTACAGTTCTGGAAGCACTGCTTCCCCGAGCTACCTAGCTCAGCCCGCAGGATGGGCCTAGCTTTTCTAAAGTTCCTCACACAGCGCGCTAAGATACGTTTCCTTATCAGGGCGCATGATGCCCGCCTTCAACCCCGCTTCAACGTCCCTCCCGAGATCCGCCCATAGCTAATACAACATGCTTTGGTCATTGGAACTTGCCACCAAGGATTCCGAAGCCTGTACACGTATCTCTGCTAATTTACCCGGGAGTGAAACCAACAATGGTAATGGCATCATAGGGCTCTAGCCACGATAAGGAAAGCGTCCCCTTTCTCCAAGGGTACAATGTCCGTATCTCGAGGTATGTCTTGCTGGGCTGGCACGGTCGCTAACACGACCCTTCATGCCCAGCAAGTGTCATGATGAGCCATCCCGTCGCACCACGCCTGTCCACCGTTAGAATCTGAGCCCGTAAGAAACTTCTTCATCCCAACTTCGGACGGCCCGCCCCCTTGGAAATATCACCGCAATGACACCAGTTCGGCTATGCTCGTACAGACAGCGCGCGCGCAGGGCGGATGGCCCCACGCCTGGCATCGCAGGTATCAGAGGCGCGGGGGTGCGAGCGCAGATCCCATGTGCCCATGATGTTCACGTTCACACAACCTGTCCCGGAAGAGCTTGGCTAGCTGGGAACCCAGCCATTGATCACTACCTGACCAAGTCCGTGGAAAGACGGGGAACATGCTGTCAGGGGATCGGACGACGATGATGACAAGAATTGTGTCAGGCTTTTCATCTGCGTACAACTAATTAAGTGAATTTCGCCCATGCCCTCTCCGTACTTGGATTGAGCCTCGAGAAGTCAGACATGGCAGTCACTACTACTAGGTACTACACTGCGTTCGTAGTAAGGGTCAAGGACAGGAGGTGACAGGGAAGGACATTTGTGGCCAGCCGGCAGAGTGTACGGAACGTAGTGGGGCCCCGGGTTGGGGCCTGGGCTTGGCGGCACCATTCCGGAAGAGGGAATTCGTAAATTCAACCAATCCCACGGCTTGAAATGGATATGTCGCTCTGGAGGCCAAGCTTTTTCGTCTTGGGACAGTGCACTGAACGTTAAGCGGCGGCACCAGGGTTCGTGCGGCAAGAGTCCAGGTCCGCCCCACTGGAGCTTGTCGCACGGAGAATGTGGAGTGTCTGTGGTCCTGGCGCGGAGCTCACCCCTCTTGTCGGATCCAGGATCATTTCGCTCATCCTTGATCCACGCTACCCCTAAACTTGGCTACCTACGGAGGTAGCAGTATGTATACCTATACCTAGTACAGGTATCCGTAGTTCAGCTTGGCTATACTGAACACACTCATCTGCCAACCAGGACCGAGAAAATATGATTGCCTGGAGAGAAGTGGGGAGCCTCCATGTTCGAGGCTGGCCAAATGGCACCTGCACGCCCGCATCGGCGGGTTTCGCTACTCCCCCATGTAAACTGAGTACCTAGGTGATTATGAGGTCCTCTACCGACCCGGCATGCAAAAGAGGTAAAGAGGAATCATGGCACCCCTTGTCCCAAAGGTAGAAAGAAGCTATTCCAACGACTACCAAGCCACAGCGTCGCGTCCATCAGGCTGTTTTGGCCCCTGCCATGTCCGAAGCCCAATGCCAGCTAGGAGTTCGCATCGCCAAACATATCGGCAAAGTTGATCCTGGCTGTTGCATCTTGTGTGATGATGCTCTTCTGATTGTCGCTCAGGCAATTTAGCTCAAGTCCTGGAATGACTCAAAGCGTGTGTTGTAAGTGAGCCGAAGCCATACTCAGGGCATCCGAACTCCGTGTTACCTACACGCAATTGCGACACAAGGGGGGGGAGGCGTCCGTCTCGGCAATAAGGGCGGCGATACCACGTAAACTAGCAACATTAAGACCAAGGTGACTTGACTACTTAGGTAGTGAAGAAGAGGACATGGTGCCCTATGGATACAGACTATGAACAGGCAGGCCCCTTCGTTGCAACCACTATGGCCGAGATGAAGATGAGCGGGTAAAATTGCGGCCGCTGAGCATGATGGTACCGTAGGCAAGGCCCGCGCGCGCATCTCCACAGAGGCCTAGCCGCCTGTCTTGATGTCAGCGGTGGACCGCAGTACGATGAGATGCTCCAAGCCCCTGAACATGAACTCGGCACCGTAGTATACAATCATCCGTCGGATCCTTTGGAGTGGAGACCAGTGCGAAGAGGCCAAAGAGGGACCGAGGAGGGAGGGGAGAAAGGCCGTCTCTTGCAATGCCATGTTATGCGTTATGCCTTGCCTTGCCTTGCCTTGCCT